CAGAGAGCATAAAATAAAAACCATTAAAAAATATAAATAAGTAAAAATTGGTTGCAGTTCCGATTTTTGGCTACAGGGTAACAGCAGAGAGCAGGAAATAAAAATCCCGAAAAAAACATAAATTAATAAAAATTGGTTGCAGTCCCGATTTTTGGCCACAGAGTGGCAGCAGAGAGCAAGAAATAAAAACCCACAAAAAAAAAAAAAAAAAAATCGGTTGCAGTTCCGATTTTCGGCCACAGGGTGGCAGCAGAGAGCAAGAAATAAAAATCACATAAAACATAAATAAATAAAAACTGTTTGTATTTCCGATTTTTGGCCACAGGGAGGCAGCAGAGAGCATAAAATAAAAATCCCTAAAAAAATCATAAATAAATAAAAATTGGTTGCAGTTCCGATTTTTGGCCACAGGTCGGCAGCAGAGAGCAAGAAATAAAAACCCTTAAAGAAAGAATAAATAAAAACTGGTTGCAGTTCCGATTTTTGGCCACAGGTTGGCAGCAGAGAGCAAGAAGTAAAAACCCTTAAAGAAAGAATAAATAAAAACTGGTTGCAGTTCCGATTTTTGGCCACAGGGTGGCAGCAGAGAGCAAGAAATAAAAATCCCTTAAAATAAATAAATAACAAAAAAATTGTTTGCAGTTCCGATTTTTGGCCACAGGGTGGCAGCAGAGACCAAGAAAAAAATGACTAAAAAAAGGTAAAAAAAAATTGTTGCAGTTCCGATTTTTGGCCACAGGGTGGCAGCAGAGAGCAAGAAAAAAAATGCCTAAAAAAAGGTAAAAAAAAATTGTTTGCAGTTTCGATTTTTGGACACAGGGTAGCAGCAGAGACCAAGAAAAAAATGACAAAGAAAAGGTAAAAAAAATTGGTTGCTGTTCCGATTTTTGGCCACAGGGTGGTAGCAGAGAGCAAGAAAAAAAATGCCTAAAAAAAGGTAAAAAAAAATTGGTTGCAGTATCGATTTTTGGCCACAGGGTAGCAGCGGAGAACAAGAAATAAATATCGCAAAAAAAATAAATAAACATAGATTGCAGTTCCGATTTTTGGCCACAGGGTGGAAGCAGAGAGAAAAAGAAAAAATTGCCTAAAAAAAAAAAAAAACAATTGTTTGCAGTTCCGATTTTTAGCCACAGGGTGGCAGCAGAGAGCAAGAAATATAAATCCCTAAAAATAAATAAATAAATATATTGGTTGCAGTTCCGATTTTTGGCCACTGGGTGGCAGCAGAGAGCAAGAAATAAAAATACCTAAAAAAAAAAAATAAATAAAAATGTGGGACTGTAGGACTCGGATATGGGGCTGGAGGACTGGGATGTGGGCTGGAGGACTGGGATGTGGGGCTGGAGGACTGAGGTGTGGGGCTGGAGGACTGGGATGTGGGGCTGGAGGACTGAGGTGTGGGGCTGGAGGACTGAGATGTGGCGCTGGAGGACTGAGTTGTGGGGCTGGAGGACTGAGATGTGGGCTGGAGGACTGAGATGTGGGGCTGGAGGACTGGGATGTGGGGCTGGAGGATTGAGGTGTGGGGCTGGAGGACTGAGTTGTGGGGCTGGAGGACTTGGATGTGGGGCTGGAGGACTGAGGTGTGGGGCTGGAGGACTGAGATGTGGGCTGGAGGACTGGGATGTGGGGCTGGAGGACTGAGATGTGGGCTGGAGGACTGGGATGTGGGGCTGGAGGACTGAGGTGTGGGGCTGGAGGACTGAGATGTGGGGGTGGAGGACTGAGATGTGGGCTGGAGGACTTGGATGTGGCGCTGGAGGACTGAGATGTGGGGCTGGAGGACTGGGATGTGGGGCTGGAGGACTGAGATTTGGGGCTGGAGGACTGAGATGTGGGGCTGGAGGACTGGGATGTGGGGCTGGAGGACTTGGATGTGGGGCTGGAGGACTGAGATGTGGGCTGGAGGACTGAGATGTGGGGCTGGAGGACTGAGTTGTGGGGCTGGAGGACTTGGATGTGGTGCTGGAGGACTGAGGTGTTGGGCTGGAGGACTGAGACGTGGCGCTGGAGGACTGAGGTGTGGCACTGGAGGACTGGGATGTGGGGCTGGAGGACTGGCAGAGCACAGAGGGTCGTCGTTGGCGGTGCAGAGTCTGGTTGGAGACCTGTAACCAGTGGTGTCCCCCAGGGGTCGGTGCTGGGTCCGGTCTTGTTCAACATCTTCATCAATGACCTTGATGAGGGGATGGTGGCCACCCTCAGCAAGTTTGCTGATGATACGAAGTTGGGAGGATTGGCTGACAGCCTGAAGGCCGTGCTGCCATTCAGCGAGACCTGGACAGGCTGGAGAGCGGGGCAAAGAAAAACCGGATGAGGTTTAACAAAAGCAAGTGTAGAGTCTTGCATCTGGGGAGGAATAATTGCATGCACCAATACAGGTTGGGGGATGAGCTGCTGGAGAGGAGCTCTGCGGAGAGGGACCTGGGTGTCCTGGTGGATGACAGGTTGCCATGAGCCAGCAGTGTGCCCTTGTGGCCAAGAGGGCCAAAGGCATCCTGGGGTGCATTAAAAAGAGCGTGTCCAGCAGGTCGAGGGAGGTGATCCTCCCCCTCTACTCTGCCCTGGTAAGGCCTCATCTGGAGCACTGCGTCCAGTTCTGGGCTCCCCAGTACAAAAAAGACAAGGATCTCTTGGAAAGAGTCCAGTGGAGGGCCACAATGATGCTGAGGGGCCTGGAGCATCTCTGCTATGAAGAAAGGCTGAGTGAACTGGGTCTGTTCAGCCTTGAGAAAAGAAGACTGAGAGGGGACCTGATCCAGGTCTATAAATATCTAAGGTGTGGGGGGCAGAATGGCGAAGCCAGACTCTTTTCAGTGGTGAGTGGAGACAGGACAAGGGGAAACAGCTGGAAATTGCAGCATAGGAAGTTCCGCACAAACATGCGCAAGAACTTCTGTGCAGTGAGGTGACGGAGCACTGGAACAGGCTGCCCAGGGAGGTGGTGGAGTCTCCTTCTCTGGAGATGTTCAAGACCTGCCTGGATGCCGACCTGTGCGACCTGCTGTAGGGAACTGCTTTGGCAGGGGGTTGGACTTGATGATCTCTGGAGGTCCCTTCCAACCCCTACAATTCTGTGGTTCTGTGATTCATATCATCCTATTTCCAAAACACACAATCAGATGATAAAACGATAGGTGAAGTTTTCTCAAACACTGTTTTCACTCTCTGCGGCTCTGCTTGAGGAGCATTTATTGTTCGTATAACAACAAAGAGAAGTATAATAACAACATATATACAACATAGAGTTCGTATAATAACAAAGAGAAGTAAATTATATACAGAGCTTCTCTGTGAGAAGGAAATTCTTTGTGAGAAGGACACTTGGACAGCCTCCTCTCAGAAGATGTAGGGTTTGTGACTATGTATAAACCTTATTTGGAGCCAGTTGTTGCCCTTCTTAGAAAAATTGTAATGTGATCAAAGGCTGAGCCTACCCTTTGAAACACAGCATGACTAATAAGGTGATCTGCAGAGAAGAGATTCAGTGACAGTTACTTGGATTGTAAGAAGACAGATGATGACAGCTGGTGAGTTTATGTTTTTATCATCATGGTTGTCTGTGCTTCTGTTCTTCCCTTGGTTCCATCTTCATGCATGTCAGTGCTGCAGCTGTGTTGATTAAGTTCTGAGAATGAATTTGTTCTCTTGTTATTTCAGCCACATATAGGGTCCTGTTTGTAGGTCTACCCAGCAGAGACGTGAGGAGTTTGAGCTTTAAATGTTCATTTGTTTTGCTCACCCTTTTCTGATTTGATTGTGGTAGTTCAACAACTTAATTTTAACTCTTATTGAATCTTTAGTACTGTGCTTAGCAGGACGAGCTGCCAGCAATGGTTGTGTTGCGTACAGCTATCAGGATTAGTTTCTAACCGTCCAGCTGTGTTGCAGCACAGAATTAGAAAGCTGTCCAACCAACACTCCGCTCTACTCTGCATTTTTCCTACGTGAGTTATTTTACTCAGTATCAAAACTGTAGTTGTTGTCTTCATAACTGTTCTTCCCAACCATTGAAACACATGTGAAAAAGGACTGTCTGTAGGCTACACAAATTTAATTGAGGTACCAGGTGAAAGCTGAGCTGAGTTTCCCAGGCTTCTGACGGTTTTCTTGATACACTGCTATGTCTCCCTGGCTTTCTATGTGAAAAGAAGCCTGACAAAGTCACAAAAAAACATTACCTGACAAGAGCTGGATAACCTACCTTCTCCTCAGCTGTGGGTTTTGTTACCCCCTCTTTGGCATGTGCAATTGTGGAGAAAGTTGACTCAGGACTGAGAGCAGTATGGGAGCAGTTAAGTCAAAGTACTGAAGTCACTGCGGATGACAGCAGTTTTTTTTTCCAGGTCTTTTTTGCTGCTGCTTTTCTGAAGCCTTGGTTAATCTGGGCCCCTTGTATTTCCAAGGTAATAAAGCTCCTCTCCCTTTCAAGCTTAGTCTGCCTCTGTGGTGTACTTCAGGTACAGGCTGTCCCTCTTAGGCATACAGGGATGTGCAACCCAGCTGGGATCCTGTTTTGATCAAATCTTGACTGCCACAAATGGATAGAATTGACTAACTTTAGGCAACTCTTCTCCTTGAGCAGGTTACTAACACTGTTTTGTTGTATAGTTTTGGTAAAAAAAAAACGTAGGTATGGGGACCAGACAGAGCTCTCTACTCATATTTTTTCCTGTTGTTCTTTCACAGGTCTCTACTAATAAAGGATCTTCCAGTTGTTCTGCTGAAGGACAGACTTCTTAAGAGTCAGCCAACTGCAGTTCTCACAACCCTGTCAGCATGAAACCTGATGCCATCTTTTATTCCCATTTCACAGATAATTAAATGTAAAATTCTCTTTTGATCTTGATCCCTGCCCACTACACTTTCCATCTCTCAACTTGTATGGGAATTGTTGAATCACAGCCTGAACCACTGTTTGATCACCTGAGGCAAGCAGTGAGTCAGCCACAGGAGCACAGGTGAAGGCAATTCACCACCTGGCTGCACCTCTCCCAGACCCCATTTAAGGGCTAACTGCCACTAGAGAAGCATCTCTGTTTGGAGATAGTGATCTTTGGAGTTTTTGCTGTAAGCCGAGGATGTAGGTGAGTATTTCATTTATTTTTGATTATCACTTTCCACCACAATGATCTTTCTAGTTATACAACCTGAAAAATACTAGCCTAGCTATGCTACTCTGCTAATTGTGTTTGTTGAGAGTACACAGCTCTCACTTCATACAGCTGGAATGTTCCTGAGGATGAGGACTGTCCCCATGCTCTCATTACAGTAAGTATGTTTGAGATTTGCTGCTTGATTGAATTCTCTTACTGTCTTGGTTTAATTCATTAGCAAATGTTCTGCAGGAAGTTAGTTTGGAACTGATGTTCCCAGGTATTCTGGATCATGTATGAACATATTCTCTTTCAGACAGGCATCTAATGTTCCTCTTAAATTTGGACTTAAAACTGTATACCCATTATGAATTATTTACCAGCACTCTTCTGGCTGCTCATGGGCTATGGAGAGTGTTTGGGAATGCAAATGAGGCAATCTCATTGTTCCGCCTGATCTTAAAATCTAGTGAATGAAACTTACAGCAACACTGTAATTTTCAGTCAATCCTAACACACTTAAGCAGTGCAGAGGCTATTTCTAAGTGCCTTCAGAATGTCTGTTGCCTGGCAATTACAGAAGAAGAATACAGTAAATAATATGGAATGATAATATTTGAAGAATGTGTATTTTCTCCCACAGTTCTTGAAGTTTTAATAGGGGAGAAGTATTCCTGCCTCTCATTGAGATACAGCTGTACCTGAGATGAAGGGCAGCAAATATTTAACAGACTACTAGAGTCTACAGTTACAATAATTCAAGGCCATTTCTAAGGGATAATGTGTACAAAGATAGAGAGTAATGGAAATTTCATACTGTTAAAGAGATGCACTCCCAAATGGCATGTGGGCATAAATAGAGGTAGTGGCTGTATTCTGAAAGTATTGGCACAAGCTCCTCATTTCTGTTTTGTTCACACAGTGGTGCCTCTGTTGGCATAATCTTCTCAAATGAAATGTACAGCAGATTGATCAGGGGCTGTTCACAGGGAGGAGCGTGATACGAGAGTAATCACTGTTTGCTATGGAGCTTGGTTTGATGTTTGTTTTTTTTTAGGTTGGCTTTTTTTTTTTTTTTGTTCTGATTACACTCCCGATCGGATCAGCAGGTACCTTCAGAAAGGAATCATTTCCACTCTTCATCATGACAGAATTTATAGATTTCTAGCTCTTAGGCTGTAGTTCTCTGTACGTGATAAGGAACAGGGGAGAAAAGGACGCCAAGGAAGATCACTTCACCTGGGCAGTAATTTTCATCTTCCCAAGATGTGAGTTTTGCTTCTGCTCTCTGAAATACAGGGTCACTCCCAGTGTCTTAGTAAGTAATTCTTTTTTCTTTTTTTTTTTTATTTCCTAGATTTTATTTCTGTCATGTAGCTTCCCTTGTCTTTGCCTTTCAGTGATATCCAGCTCAGAGGCAGAGCCTAAGCAGTCCAGGAGAAGTTCTGCATCCATAACACCTAAGAAGGATGTGACACCATAGTCCACAGGATCTTTCTTCTCTTACATATTCCTTAAAGAAACCAGAGAGGTGGGTTTTCTCAAGAGAAATATTTTCCATAAGTGAATATCACAGCCTGTCTGCTTTCTGATCTGATGTTTAAAATATCTATTTCCTAAAGTTCAGTTTCCTTCTCATTTAGCTAATCATTGTGTAATAGGCATTGCCTTCCTTTTTTAGCCAATGCTGTGAAGAGCTTGATATCCTGGAGTTAAAATGTCACTCACAAAAACCAAACTGTTAATTGAGCTTTCTTTCCTGAGAAACAGACTGCTTTCTGTTTTTTAACTACCTGGTTTGATTGTCATTCTTGCATGTAGCTGAATTACCGTAGCCAAAATTGCAGGCCTCGGTTTCCTCTGGTCGCTTTGTTATCTAAAGGTCATATTCATTCTGCTGTGTTATTCTCAAATGCTCTGCTATCAGGTGTTTGTGTTCCATTGCACGGGAAACCCACAGCAGAATCAGAAGAGAACAGGAATCAAAACTGTCTATTTTTTTTTTTCTGCATTGTCTTTATCCTGAGGATTTAGCCATCCATCTCAGTATTTTAGTGAGGTGTTGTGCAGCTCAGAAGTTTGGAATAGGAGACTTCTGTGGTTATTATATTTACTGAAATCTCTTTGCTTAGGCACATGCATTCAAAGCAAACCCTCCTAGTCACTGGCCTTCTGATCTCAGTGTTCACTTACCATTGCTGAAAACACACGTGGTGGGTGATATAGTGGTTCTAAGTGACACTGGGCATCTTGTTACAAAGCCTGGTGCTTCATAAATACACAGAATCATCATGCTGCATCATCATTTTCCTCTTCTCGGCCATATATTCTGTATGCTTTTATTTGGTGGAAAATAATATCCCTTCACCATAAAGAGCACAACATCTAAGCTGCAACTCATATTACTGCATTTAATTTACTAATGCTGTCATGCGGCTCCTGCAAGTCATAATTTACTGTGCGTATCATCACAGAACAAACTTGCTGGCCTTGTAATTGTTACTGGGTCCAGAAAAATGAGTTGCTGACCTTTTGCAAGTGCTATTTCTGTTGACTGCTGAAAACATTCAGAACAAAGTTACGTGTTTCTTAGGGGTGCAAGCCAGACTCTTATCTGATTGCTAGTTCTCCAAATCTTAGCATGCCTGTAATGACAGCATGAGAGACGTCAAATAAGTACTCAATTTATCAAGCGTATACTCTAAGGAAAGGTGAGCTTCAGACCTTGCCAAGCAGTACTGAGATAATGTCCGTTCTTTCTCCTTTAGCAATTGGTTATGGTGAATTGTGTCAATGTAGCTTACAGTGTGCTTTTAACAGAAGAGCAAGTTTATGTCTGCCTGTATGTTTCTATGTAGACATACTGCTGGCCAACGCACAGCCTGCTTCACTGAGAGGTACTGTTGGTGGGGGTAGCCCAGTGCTGGTCTGCACTGTAAGGTCCTGATTAGGAATGCAATAGTGAAAAGTAAGAAAGGCATTACTTATTCCAGTGGCTCCAGGATAACAGTTGCTGAACACCTGTGATTCTGTTCTGCATCTCAACTATTCTGGGTATTACTTGTCCATGCTAGTTCAGAGCTAAGACCTCAAGCTTCTTCTTCAGTACAAGATAAAGGTAAAGGAACTGCCAGTTTCACAGTCCTGCAGATCATATAAGAAAACCACATCTTTCTAAATACAGTGGAGAAGAAAGAGTCCTGCGAAAGATTTGATAGGAAATTTCAAAACCAGAAGCATATGGAAGTTCCCTGCATTTTTCAGAATGAAGGATGATGAAGCCATATTAGCTAAACTGCATTGGAGAAATCTTAAATATTTCTTTGCTAAGGATTGTATCATAGGGGGGACGCTCTCCTAGCTGTTGTCTTTCAGAGCAGTAGGGGGGAAAGCTGAAGCAGCACAAAGGCAACAGTTTTGATGCTAGAAGACTAAAGGAGGGCAATGAAAAGCTGAAATTCCCACCCAGCAACTTAGTTTCTGGTGCTGTAGAAAGATCAGTCCAGCAAATACATAGCTTACTCTGCTGTCTCTAAAATGAGGATAAAGATCTTGCTATTCTTAAAGGAGTTGCTAATCAAATTGTGGGAAGGTATATATGTTATCTTAAGTAATTGGGGTTAAACTGATTCTACATAAAACAAACTGAAACAAGGTTTTGGGAAGCACAGTGCTGCTCTCCAGATATCAGTGTTCATTATCCTAATGCTCATTCCTTAGCTGGGTCCAGTGTGTCCATTGTTCGTAGACTAGTGGCTTTCAGTTCCTCATACTGGCACTTAGGAAATGTTTAAAAAATGCTTAGTATCAGCTGTGATTAAAGGTTTTTGATGAAGCCAAACAAAAGTGAGAAGGGAATGGTTTTATCCGCCTCTTTCTGTGAATATCTTATCAGCGTAGAAGAATAACACAATTAGTCTAGATAAGCAACACAATTCTTTGTTACTCAGCTATTTTCAACCTTGAGCAAGGCTCATTACTTTTGCTGAAGGTAACAAGTTTAAATTAAGTTGTTGACCTATGGGTTACACTAGCCTACTAAAGCAAAAGCATAACTGCTTCCTCTGGTGAAATGTTCAAATATTTGGCAAAAGCCTGGTAACTGTTGTTAACATAGTTGTGTGAGGAAGAGGGAAGTGGTTTCCAGAAGCTTCCATTTCTCAGAGCAAAGTTCTGTGCAGTTGATATACAATTTTCAAAATCAAGTCTGAAGCCTGCATTCAGATCTTAGCAGCATAGCTATAAATCTCATTACTGCAGGAACTAGTTAAATAACTACAGATTTATTTTCTGGTATTAAAGCTGAAACTGGAATGTTTACTGTCATAATTTTCAAATTACTGGTACAGCACATACATATTTACCTCTAATAAAAGCCTCAGGTCCTTCCTGCCATTATGTTTAATGTGGATATGCAAGGCCTGGATTCTGTCTTCAGTGAAGTCTTTTCCAATCCTTCAGGAGTCATACGGTTAATGTAAAGTGACAGCCCTTAGTAAATGTTTGACTCTATTGCCAATTGCTTTTACAGTCACAGATTTAATGAAAGTTTAAGTATATCACCTATGTCATATAGGCCAAAAATGCACAGTAGGCAAGGGTTAAATAGGCTGTTAGCAAGTTTTAACACTTATGATTTCCCTCCAAAACAATGCAAAACAACAGGACAGGTTGTAGGAAGCTGGGAGGGATGTGGAGCTGGAAAAGCAAATAATTCTGAGGATGTGAGTGTGTGTGGGGGGGGGGAAAAAACTCCAGTCAGAAGAATAGACAAACATACATATTGATGGGCCATGATCAAACGGTGGGAATTTTTATGTTGTACACAGGCATATGTTGAATAATTTGGTAAGGATACGTGAGGAGCTCATGAGCCAGCATTATCACTCAGGAAAGCTGCTAAAAGTCCCTTGCCCGAGAAATGGCTGAAGAGCCCTGGATAATTCCACAGTCAAAGTTAGAGTAGTTTATGAAGTGCCTGGGGAATGCAAGGCGAGATAGTGGGGTACCTGGCAGCACACTACACCCAAAGCATGAGGAAGAGCAGCATGCTGCTGGTCTCTTAACATTCCTGAAATTCTTCGAAGGTTTGGCAGAGGTATTTCTTAGAGCAAAGACAAGCAGACAACAATTAGCTGACTGGGGGAACAAAAACGCTAGCCATTCGGGAGTTTTGCATGTCTTTTTGGCAACTTCATGGCCATGGGAGTGTGCAAGTGTGTTCTGTCTTTAAAGGATATCAAGGTGCTGACTGCAGACCTGTTGCTTCCTGTAATGTTGGGTGGCTCTGCTCCTTTCACATGTGAAATTCAAAGGTCAATCAATGACTATGCTAGTAATTTTTCATCCTTCCTCCCAGGGATTTGCTTGTGAGATCCTCAGCCTGGGTAACTTTCACAGTATGATGGGGACCCACGAGGCTTTTGGTTATTTCTACTTTTTGCTCACTTGTACCCAGTCTTGGATTTTTCAGTGATATCTCACCTCTGTGCCCCAGACTGGGTAGGCTGAGTGCTGTGGAAAATAATAGCTAATGATAAGCCACGTTTTAAGATGCAGCGCATGATGAAGCAGGTGCTAAGTAGGAGATGTGATTAAGGAACTGGTTTTGGTGAAGTGACAGAAGACTTTTTCCACCTCTTCTGTAACAGAGCACTCTGGGACAGGTGCATTCAAAAAATGTCCCATTGCTGAGGCCTTTCCCTTGCCTGGCAGCCCTGTATAAGCTGGTGCTGGGCCAGGGTATCATGTTGCCTACTGCCATGAAAAGCTAGAAGTTTGATCTGGAAAGAATTAGAACTGCCCATGGAATGCTGTCAGACACATGATCGGATAGCAATTTGCTGAGAAGAAGATGACTGGGCCTCAATGTTATCTGAGATCACTATTGAGAAAACAAAGTTTGCAACCATGGCAGCAACTGCTGTCTCTTAAACATTATCCTTGACAGGGCTTGGCACCCCAGTGTGTTGTAGAGACTGTTAGCTCTGCTAGTCCTTTTTGTAGTGAGTGAATATGGCAAAAAAAAAAGTGCTGAAAGACCTTGTAGGAACAGGAATGGCTGCTCTTTTTGATGTCTGTAAGTTACACCTGCCCATTTATCTGCAGATGTATGCTTAGTGCGCACACTCTGTTATTTCTCTACCATCATTATTGTGGTGCTGTGATAATCTCTGGTGCCAAGAACAGAAAAGTTGCCTGTCAGTTATGCTAAGCACCTGAAGACTCTTGGCTCTCAGCCTGCACAAGGTGATTGTTATCTTCTACTATTTTCAAATAAGCTTCTCAGAGCAAAACTAACGATTCAGATAAGCTGCTGAGATCATAAATCATTTATAATATTAATGATGTTTACAGTCCTTTATTTAGTTGCTGAAATATTGTAATTTTCACAGCTATTCAGCTAAGAAACCTCATTGGAAAACAATCTTCAACTTGCCTGGTTCTAGGATCTGTTTCTGTTATTTAGGTTAACCAAAGTCTTTCTACATCTAAGGCACCTCTATAAATCCTTGGTACATAAATACCAGTGGATTACTTTGTTCTTAGGTTAGCCTGTGTTAGTAGGATGTATTTTTTTCAAGGTTTGAAATGTGAACAACTTCAAATTTCTTCTAGAAAGCATTTGTGTTGCTTGTGAGGATTCTCCAGCTCATCTTCAACTCAGTCATTCACATCCATGGAAAAAATGGCGAGTTCCTTTCTCTCTCCATATCTTTGGGACAGCAAGGACGGTAACACTTGATAAAGAACAGAAATGTCATCTGAAGTTAAGTTACCAGATTATGGGCAATAAGAAACCAGATAAGGTTTAACAAAAGCAAGTGTAGAATCTTGCACCTGGCAAGTATCAGAACTTCACAATGATGGTGATGAAGCACCATCAGGCTGCCCAGGGAGGCTGTGGATTCTCCTTCTCTGAAGATATTCAAGGCCTATCTGGATGCCTACCTGTGCACCTGCTATAGGGAGCCTGCTTTGGCAAGAGGGTTGACCTCTATGATCTCTAAGAGGAACCTTCCAACCCCTACAGTTCCATGATTCTGTGATTATGGTGAGAGGGAGTTTATCCTCCTCACCTGGGCAGAACAACCCCACAACTATCGGGCTGTGCTCCCCTGCTTTCCTTACACTCATTCAAGTACAGCCCCATAAGCTTTGGAGGGATAGCTCCTCTGACTGCTGGGAGAGAACATGCTTTTATTTTCAGACACTGGATAGTGGGAAATGATAAACATGATCTCAGATTTCCCTACAAGATATTGTTTCCCTAAAAGATATTGTTCCAGTGTGGAAATATGAACAGTATCTTGTGGTTTACAATGCTCAATTGTAGTATCAAATGTAAAAGTCACCAACAGTACTCTCCAGAGAGATCTGGTAACAGAACCCCATAACATGTCCTAGCTACTGTGGAGTAGGAACCCCCTTCTTTCTTTATATGAGCCTTCAGCCTTTTTTAAAAAAAAAAGCCTGACAACAAACAGAAATCACACCCACCACCTGTTAGAAGATATCCTGTTATATCTTCTGGCAGAAGAGCATAAAGGGTCTTAAAACCTCAGCAGGTGGAAAAATTAAGTGACTTGTACAATGACTGCTGGAAGGTCAGGGGCAGAGGGAAGATGAACCCAGCGGCCAGTCCCTGCACTAAGTGCAAGTGAATGAAAAGAGATTCAAGGAACTAAAACTTAGAAATGAGATTCAAGTGGAAACAAATCTCAACTACAGAAATCTCTCTGGGAATGACTTAACGTATGCTCTGGGGCACAACTGGTTTTAAGGGCTCTGGAATTATGACTGCAACATGGCACTCTGAGAGATTGCATAAAGAGCACTTGCAATCTATTCACATGTGCACTTGCTAACAATCATATTTGGTGCAGTTAAGTGCAAGGCCTCTGATCTTCAGAGCATGCATAGCTTTGATTTGTATGTCTAGATTTGAGTACATGAGTACAGCACTGGCATGTGTATGTCTTGTGTACTGCAAAGCACGCTGTTATGTGGGAACTGAAAAGACATAAACATACTATATTGTTACACTTCACTAGAAAGCATAAAGCAGTTCTGAAAGTAGCAAAGTAAAAAGTATGCTGACAAAGTCAGCAAGGTAGTTCCTCCACTTCAAACTTTCTCTGATTAAGGAGCATGCAGGATGTCACGTTTCTGTTTCATGCTCTAATGAATAAAGGAACATGGTCAGCAGGTTGTGGGAGCTGATTCTCTACTCATAGGGAAAGGTGCACATATGTGCATTTCTTCAGAAGTTGTCTCAGAGCCAGTTATCACCCTTTGTCTTCGTGTCCTTCAGGAAGGAATATGTTCTGTTTACTTCGGCATTGTCATGCAAGCAACCGAGGAAACACGAGATGATGACCTCTTCGCTTGCTCTCCTCGTTCCTGCCAGACCACCATCTCCTCTTCACTCCCTTCACACACAAGCTCTGCATCATCCACCTCCTCCAGGTCCGGTTCCGTAACACAGCCTGCAGCCCGCCACTCCCGACCTTTCCCTCAAGGGCGCCGACAGCTGTGAACCCCCACTGCCCCCGCTCCTTCTCCCTCCCTCTTTCGTTTGTTCTCTAGTGAAATTACATCTCCTCTGAAGGAGCACACACTGAGTTGGGCGGCGCTGGGCAGTCACTCAGCTCCTGGTTTGGTTGCCCCGGTGCCCCGCTACGGCGCGACACTGCTGCAGTGACGCCGCCGGGCGCTCTGCAGGCTCTGCGGAGCTTTGTGTCCACGCTGTGGGAGCGAACCGGGCTCCGGCAGCCGTGGGGGCAGGCCGATGCGGGGGTTGGGCTTAAGAGCGGGTAAGGGGAGGTTTTGTGCGCGCTCCGAGGGGACGAGAAGGCGGTGGCAGCAGGGAGAGATCTGTTCGGATTACTGAGCCGTCGGCTCCCGAGTTTCCCCCGAACCTATTTGGCCGCACCACAGAAACTGCGGGCCGTGAACACCATGGCTAGCGAGATCGACAACCTGAACAGCCACGAAGCAAAGACGGTATGCGAGGCGTTGGGGCGCTATGAAGACACGTTGCGAGGCGCTGTTCGGGAGATCCATGTGGACATTCAGGTGTTCAAGCAAGGCGTGAGTCGGCAGGTGGATGAGGTGCTGCGCCTCGCTAGCCCCCTGGCTCGCACCGTCTCAGAGCTGCAGCAGGAGAACCAACGCCTGAGGGTGCAGCTGGAGCGTCTTGCTCGGCAGGTGGAGGCCCTTAGCCGGTCGGCGGGACTGCCGCAAGAGTGGCAGGAGGAGGCAGAGAGGAGCCCTCCAGGTGTGGGACCCAGCTCTCCAGTGCCGGCTTTTTCTGCAGACAGGTTCTCCACCCTTGCGAAGCTAGCAGTGTCTGGTCGGAGCCAAGTAAGTGCCGGCTGTGGTTTGGGGGGCAATGTAGGGAGGGTCATGAGGATGCATGAGCACTTGATGTGAGTGGATGCGTCTACACTGAGCTGTAGGTAACACGGGGGAATGTTTACAATCTTGTGCATTGAATATTTATGAGCTTTTGGAGGGTGTCTAGAGAAATGGTCTTGACTGTTATGCCAGCTGGAGATGTTTCTGATTATAGTGCTACTTGGCCAAACTGAGATCTTGCTTAGAGTGGTAGCAATCTCTCAGTTGAGTGTGGTTAGAAGTAAGAAGAGACGTTGTGGCAGTCTCAGCTATCAGTATTTATGTGTAGGTGAATGTCTGTATATCCTTTTAAGATTCAGGGGGGACCTGTGTGCCCGCAGTGCTGTTTGTCAGTTGCCAAGCTCACAAAGGAGAAAAACTCAGCATATATGTAGCAGGTAATAATGTGCTTACCTAACACAGTGACTTAGTGTGCTGAAGTGTGACAGTTTTGAGGCACAAGTGCTGTCCTGTACTACTTTGGCTCAATTTTAGAGAGGTGTGCCCCATGCAAGCTGTCATGGTCTCCATGTCCTAAACTAGCACAGAGATGTTCTTCCCAGTGGTAGAACTGCTTCTGTGAGATGAAGCCTTATAATGTGGTGCATGGAAAGCTCAGTTAGTGGGAAGCTCATATGGCACTGAGCTTAGTGTAATACTTTTCTAGTGCATCTGGTTCTGTGGAAGGAGCTGAGAGTTCCTGTGCAATCCTTGATGCCAAGAGATTGCCTCCAGACAGTACATGATGATTGTTATGTAACTATGTGGTATTAGAGAGCTAGCTTTCAAAACTGGCAGCCTATTTCATTTAATATTAATCTATCTCTTGCAAGATTCTTAAAGACTTGGAGCATGGACAGTTGTGGGATTGGCTATCCAGGCCTTGGGGATAAAAAGTAAAAGCTTGGAAACTAAGCTAATTTGAAGTTGTTTGGGTGCAATTGAGCAGAGTCAGTACAACATTCCAGCCCTTTTACTTCCCACCAACCCGAAAGTATTTGGCAACAGCTGGCCAAATGAAAAGGCAAAGCAGCCACATGCAGTACTGTTCCAATGCTATTGTAGCAGTTGCTGCCTTTTCTCCCAAAAGATCAATATGAACAGCTTACACAACTTCTGGATCGTTTGTTTGTTTGTTTTGTTTTGTGTTTTTTTTCCTCCATGGAGCCAGCCACACTTATTACATTGCAAGAAACAGAACTAAGCTCAGTGACAGGGAAGGGATAAGAGGAAGTGGTGCCTCGTACAACTCACCTTCTCCATTGCCACTGCCTATTTGTGGTGGGTACTCCATGCTCTGTGATAAGGTTTGCACTGAGGCTATAGCATTATCCAGCTTTAGATAACAGTCTAGGCTGAAACACAGAATGTGCTTTTGTTTTGGCTGGAACCTTCTTACTTAGCTTTGAGGGTTCAGGGAAGATCACAAAAGTACTGTTAGCTCCCCAGTGTCCTCCCAGCAATTTTCCCCGCAAGGATGGATGCCTTCCAGGGTTAGCATAACTGACTGTAAAGGAATCTCAGTACTAAGAACCATGGGAGATGCAGCTAGAACTACACACACCAAATGCATGCAGAGATTACAGCGTTGATCAAAAAAATATGTAATGTGGCTGTGCTCAAATGACTAAGGAACAAGCCTTGATCACTGTGTTGGTCACCCAGTTTCTCTGTGGTAATGAAAATATTCCCTGAATTGTCTGAAATTTCTATTTGTGCAACAGAAGCACTTGAAACAGAGTATCATTGTACGAGAACTGCTGAATCATGGCCTGAACCTCTGATTGATCACCTGAGGTGAGCACTGAGTCAGCCCTGGGAGAACAGGTGAAGGCAATTCAATTCACCTGTGCTGCTGGAAGGGGTGGAGCCTGGCTGCACCTCTCCTAAACCCATTTAAGAGCTGACTACCGGGGGAAAGGATCTCTTCTGGAGATCCCTCCTTTGGAGTTTTGCAGTGAGTCCAGCATGCTGGTAAGCTTTCTATCTATTCTCTTTTTGTTATTATAATCTGCTTTGCCAAACTCTCCTCTTTATTTCATAATTGTAACATCTTTATATTCATTGAAATACAACCATAAATGCTACTGTGTTTGTTTTCAGGTAAATTAGTGGTTGTGATAAAAACTGATGAGACTTCCATCCGCAGTAAATGCTTATATAAGTCTGAGATAGGAGAAGCAATTAATATATTTCTGGAAATAGCAGCGAATAAGAGTACTCTTTTGCTCCTGAAAAAGATTTATTGGTTGGGTTTCTTTCTGGTGTGTAGTTGATGCAGCTCTTATCCCAGTAAGGAGTCGAGTTCTGTTCCCTTCAACGCTTCTATCAAAATGCTCCGGATGAGAGTTTCTTTCTCAGGGTGAAGATTAGGTATTGAAGATTCTGAGCATCTTTATTGTGTGAATTGTTGTTTTGTAACATTGCTAGATTACTTTTAAAGGTGATTTCATTGAGAAGAAAATGTGGCCAAGGTGTTCTGAGCATAATTAAATAGTAAGGGCACAAATATCCTTTTAAATATAATCTTTGGCTAGTCTCTGCTACACCGTCCTTGAAATCTGATATACGACAGTCTATGTGCTCATTTAGATGGACCCAGTTGCCTGTCTATCAAGTGGGGTAGACTAACAAGATAACAGTTTTAGCCCGCATTTCCTGCATGCAACACAGCAGTGACAGTGTTACAAAGGATTTGCGTTATCTGCCCGAGATCTACATTGTACTCGAGACAGGGCTCTCCAGGTACTCCAGGAGAAGGCTGTTTTGGGGGCGTGGAGTGGGGAAGGGAGTGTGTTCTTCGTGCTTTTGCTCCTTGTCTTGTCTTTTGTCTTTCCCCCTCCCCTTTCTGAGGTTTTTTGTTTGTTTTCTGTTTTTCTCTCTCTGCGAACATTTCAGTTCTGCAGAGCAGGACGGTTCAGAAAGTAACTTGTTAGTTCTAATATCAGGTGGTCATTTGTATCCACGGTTGTTACGCTGGCAGTTTTATTTGCCCTGTTCTTCCAAGAGATTACACATGGAAAATTGCTCACTTTTCCTTTTCCATCTTGGGTATGGATGGATTAGAAATCTTAGTAATGAAAGGAGAATCGCTTTTTGTATTTGCAGTGCTTTAGTAAACCCACTTGTTCAGTTGCTACAGCTAGATCTGTAAATTTGTTTTGACTTAAACTTCAGCTAAGTAGATTTTTCTGAAAAGTCTGAACTATTGAAACTGAATAAAGATGAGATCTCCTATCTCTTTAAAAATGAATAAACAATAACCAAGTATGTTTAAAAGTAGCTCTGTGGAATGTTCCAAGGTCTTTAGATTATAGCTGCTGAGCTGAGAGGGAACATCCAAATCCAGCATGGACAGTAGCCAGTATACAAAACTAATGTCAGAACTGTAGGGATTGGCTTAAAATTATTATATGTAAAAATTTGGATTAGTTTTTTGCCTTCTGAGTTAATTTTTCTTAAAGCATTTATGCAGCACTTTTGGCACATAGATTTTTCTTTTCCTTTCTTTCTTTTTTTCTTTTCTTTCTTTCTTTCTTTCTTTTTTTTTTTTTTTTTTTTTTCCTTTCTGTAATCATTGGAGCCAGGAAGCTGGTGCAAGGCTATTGGATAGCATAAGTTCTGGAGCTGGAACTACATGGATTGAACAGGATTCTGAGTTAATCATTCTGCAAACTGGATGTGATTTCTAATTATAACATGGTTACATTTTTAAGAGAGATACATTTATGTATCAAATAATACCAGCATAGTAGAGGCACTCTTGCGTGAGACTCGAACGCTACGTTAATATGTTCTGTGTGGTTTGGATGGTGTTGAGCGAATTGCAGTATATATTAAAAAAAAAAAAAAACAAACCAGGATAAAATCAGCATTACTTTGGAAGTAGCACCAACTTGTTCCAGTGATTTTTGTCAAGGTGAAAGAAAAGGACCTTGCTTTCTTTTTTCCTATTTGAAGATGTTTCTTTCCAAAAAGTTCTCTGCTTCTATGGTTTTATGTTTTTATTTTGGCGAAAGATTTGAGAATAGCTTTTTAGCTATTCAATGTGAGACTTGTTTTTGGACTCGGTGATCTTTGTAGGACCCTTCCTACTGAACTGTTCTGCTCTGTTCCGTCCTTTTTCTGTCTGCAAGGAAATACAGTACGAACTTGACTGAATTCTTGTGTTTCCATTGTTTGTAGAAGCACAATATTCTGAGCTCTGTTCTAACTGCACAATAATTTGCAACACGGCGAAGATCATGTTTCATTTTTTCAATTACATCTCCTGACAAGTCATTAGTTCCTTACTTTGTTTCTGACAATTTTTGGTCAAAGCTTTCGCTGCTAGTTACCTATAATGTCACTCTCAGCAGCTAGTTTTGCATATCTTCTGTGAAAAACAGGGAGAACAGCACAGAGGTACCTTTAGCAGCTAAAATAGATAGTTTGCCTATTACAGTCAGTGTTTGTGGTGTTGGGAGGGGTGTATCTGTTGAATACAAAGGCTGTGGAATTCTAAGGGTAGAGGACAGATTTTAGTGAATTAGAGTGTCCCCCTATTCCTTCCTTCTTTCCTGATGCCTAGTTTTTCACTTTTTGAATGTGAAAATTGTGGTAGAGCGCTGAAAAGTTCTGATCAAATCTCAGGTTTGGAGGATGTACCTATGAAATTCAGTTTCCATCAGCTCCAGAGAATTTTGACTGATAAAGGCAGTAGGAGAATTATCACTTGCTTAGGTCCTGCTCATCTGAAGATACTAAGTTGTTGAGTTAGTGTCATATAAACATCTGTGATTAAAAGGTCTACAAACATGTCAGCCCAAATTCTTATCAGGCTGGATCTAGATCAGCTTGGCTTTCAGATGGATAAAAAGCGATAGTACATTTCCACTTTCTTCTAATCTAGCATTACTACCCTGAACTTAAGCTTCCTCTGTCCAGAAATTTACTTTTACCTTGAATCAGGCTAGTAAATTGCACTTGTCATGATGAATCAGTAAGTATTAGTCAGTTCTTCCTTGAATAGAAAAGTCTGCTCACCTAGCCTTGCCTATTTTTTCTTGGTGTGACCTCTGGAGAAGCTGTATATGTAGATTATAGGACTTATTTCTGTCAGCTCCAAAGTCTGGAGAAGTTTGAGATTAAAGGTGGTAACCCGGACGCATTCCTTATGCGCATTCCTATGATGAGTCTGTCATGTAAACAGTCTGCTGATTTCCAGGGATTGAAGTGCCTGTTAAGAGTCTTTAGTTGGCAACTTCCCTCAAAGCTGAGGAAAATATCATTTAATTGAGAGCATAAAAACTAGGAAAACTATGTGTTTTCTCTTCAAAAACACATTGTTTGTAGATTGTCCTTGACTCAGCCCAGCAGTGTGCTCTTGCAGCTCAGAAAGCAGATGGTATCCTGGGCTCCATTAGAAGAAGGGTGGCCAGCAGGGACAGGGAGATGATTGTTCCCCTCTACTCTGCTCTTGTGAGGCCCCATCTGGAGTACTCTGTTGAGGTCTGGAACCCCCAGTACAAGAAAGATAGAGCTGTTGGAGAAGGTCCAGAGGAGAGCTATGAAGATGATCAGGGGACTGGAGCACCTCCTCTACAAAGACAGGCTGAGGGAGCTGGGCTTGTTCAGCCTGGAGAAAAGAAGGCTGTGGGGTGACCTAATTGCAGCTTTTCAATACCTAAAGAGAGCCTACAAACAGGAGGGGAATCAACTCTTTGAAAGAGTTGATAACAGCAGGACAAGGGGAAATGGTTATAAGTTGAGGGAGGAAAGATTTAAGTTGGATGTCAAGGGAAAACTCTTTACATTGAGAATGGTGAGGTGCTGGAACAGCTGCCCAAAGAGGCTGTGGATGCCCCGTCCATCCCTGGAAGTGTTCAAGGCCAGATTGGATGGGGCCCTGGGCAGCCTGGTTTAGCGTTAAACGTGGAGGTTGGTGGCCCTGCGTGTGGCAGGGGGATTGGAGAGTCATGATCCTTGAGGTCCCTTCCAACCCAGGAAATTCATTCTGTGAATTCTTTCCCTTCTTTTTCTCCTTCCTTCAGTCAATGCCCTCAGCCCCTAGAGGGACTTCCAGAGTCTACAGTTCGCCACGGTCAAAGATAAGGGCACCTCTAATGCTCCTTGGGAGGTCTGCTTGGGAAAGGTGTGGCTAGTCTAGGTTTCTGCCTCAGCTTGGCTGTTATGGTGGGCAGAGGCCATATTGGTTTCAATAGAAAGCTCTTCTCTGCCTCTCCCTGATGAGAAGAAAACAGGCTGCTTTCTGCCCTCACGATGTTCCTTCCAGAATTTTATACTTTTCTCCCTAGAATTTTTCATCAACCACATTATTGCTTTTCCATGTGTTTTGTTGTTGTTTTTTTTTTTTTTTAAATGTAAGTGTGATGAAAACAGGTGAGATCTAGCTTATAGCCCCACATATGTCATGAGGAAATGCCTGAAGATTTATCTGCAATAAGAGAATGACAGAATAATCACATAAATTAGCAAAGCTCTGTTTGATGCATCTTCTGGTTGTGACATAAAAGGAATATGACAGGTAAGCAGATGTAGAACACAACGCTGTATGAAACTGCTTACAAGTATGGTGCTCAGTATTCCAGTCTACCAGATGACTGTGCTTCTAAAGCCAAACAAAAAAAGAGAAGTGTGCATTCATGTGTTAGTTGTTAATCACAGTTGTTAACAACAGTCGGTCTTTCTGGTATTTTGATGCCAGATTTCAATTTGGTTCTCTAACCAGGCCCAATACTGAGATTTGCTTTTGTCAAGCTATCAGTTACAGATAGGTAATCATAGAGTCATAGAATGGCCTGGGTTGAAAAGGACCTCAAAGATCATCTAGTTTCAACACCACCCCCCTCCAGTCCCCCCCTCCTGGCCCCATGGCATGGGCAGGGTTGCCAGCCACTAGACCAGGCTGCCCAGAGCCACATCCAGCCTGGCCTTGAATACCTCCAGGGGCATCCACAATCTCCCTGGGCAACCTGTTCCGGTGTGTCACCACCCTCTGAGTGAAGTTATGTTTGAAGGATGAATTTTAAAGCAGAATCGCAGAGCTGTAGCTGTGTGACTGAGTATGCATCCTTTGTTGAAGGATTTCACAGAATTGTAGGGGTTGGAAGGGACCTCCAGAGATCATCAAGTCCAACCCCCCTGCCAAAGCAGTTCCCTACACCAGGTTGCACAGGTCGGCATCCAGGCAGGTCTTGAACATCTCCAGAGAAGGAGACTCCACAACCTCCTCTTGCAAGCCTCCTTCTACCTGCCAGTGATTATTAGAAAGGATGAGTTCTGACCTTTTTTGATGAGAAAATCTCACATGTTTGCAGGAGCACAATCATTAAGAATCTTTCTGCACTGTTTGTGGTTCAGCATGATGTCTTTGTGAACAAGGAGGACTAAAATTATAAAAAGGATGTTCTATTTTGACACTGTCAGAAAAGTCTCTCTTTAGTGTTGACAGACTGCTGAAAGGACATCTGCAGAGAACCAGCCTGCTATGGGGAAAGCAACAGAGTGATTGCCTAGCTGGCTATGATCGCTTACGAAGATCTAAACAAACATTATTCATTGGCATCTGGGGGCCTGATGGCACTCAACAGTGCTGGAGTAACTGCATGAGACACAAAGACCTGTAGTATACAAGCAGACAGATTAAATGCTCCAGAAGTCAACTTGCATTGTATACCATGAAGCCATCTCTGCTCGTGTATTTGACCAGGAAGTTTGGTCGTTCTGTTTATTTCTTCTTATTTTCTTGCAATTCCTGTAAGTGTCTTGTAGGAATAATTCCAAAGTTACCTGAATCTTCATTTAGGTGATTTGTTTGCCTGTTTTGTTGTTGTTTTATTGTGATATAGTGTGAACACCTGCTGAAGCTATAAATGTAGAGTTGTTTTCTCTCTTGTCAATTTTTTAATCCAGGTTTGCATCAAAATAAGGTTTTGTGAAAAATGCCTCTACGGTTTTTCTTCAGAGGTTACTCCATATGCAAAAGCTTTCTAATGCTGTTCAAGGCTGCTGCTTCAAGCTGAGCAGTTGGTTACAGAATACTCCTGTAATCTGACAGTTTCTCTGTGCTCTAGTAGAAGAACTGAGGAATAAGTGTGGTGCAGTTCTCATTAATGTCTAGCAGCCTTGATTGTCGTCCCTTACACATCTCACTTTTTCCCATTTCTGATGTATCAGTAATCTCCGTATGCAAAGCACATAGAGGCAACTGAGGAGCTTGCTTTTACGAAAATTCCTCTTTCAAGAGGTCTCTAAATGAAAGATATCCCACAAAAAACAGTGGACCTAATAGTGCTTTTGCTTCTAAGAGAGTTTTAGATTTTTGGACCACTGCTATTTTAGGTGTATATGAAACCATACTGGGGCATGAAAGAAAGTTCAATTGTCCTAATAGAGCTATAAGGCACGTTGTGTTAAAACTTGTGGTTGTGTTTGGTTTTGGCTTGTTTTTACAAAGCAGTACCTTTTACACATTTTAACAGTAAACAGACCAAACTTGCCTTGTTATGTAGCCTCCAGACCTTTATCTAGCAGAGCACAGAAGTGCGTATGTAACTCCAGCAAGATCACTGACTCAGAAACAGTCAGGAGAAGTAAACTAAACCTATTGTCTGAAAAATACTGAGTAAATCAAGGTTTTCTTTCCAAATAAATGGTTAAGTAAATACCAGATACATTCACCTATCTTTTCTCATATATAGATGGAAATTTATGTCCTCTGAAGCATCTCAGATTTCCATGTGCTCCTAGTATGGTGGACGCCCTTACTTTAACACCAGTCTTTCTGGTTCAGTATTTCTGATGAAATAAAAGAAATAGAACAGGAAGATTTGATCTGGAGTTACACATCTCGCATTTCTCTCGTCTCTCAACTATTAGACAGGGTCTTCAGTTTATCACAGTCACAGTGGATACTGATAGCTTTATCTAACAAAAGTGGACGATCCCTGCTAGTTGTATGGGGCCTGCTGGGACAAGTATGTGAGGATTGATGTGAGTTGTACATTCCAGTGTTCCGTTTTCAAGTTCTGGCCTTTGGAATTAAATAATTCCTCCCCTCCTATATCATGATCACTGGTAAAGGAAGGCCTGTTCTTGGCTGGGGTTTCTGGATAATTTAACTTTTGATGCTGTTTAAAATTTAGTCGTGTCCATTTTCTGTTCTGACAGAGTGTAGACCTGGATGACCACCACAAACCTGAGTTTAGAAGAGTTTGTAGTTCTTCCATCATTGAAAATGGGCATCAGTCTTCATCAGGTAGGAACAGGGCAAGAACTGAAGGATTACTTTAAAAAATACCTGATTCTGGCAGTCATAGAGCAGCTTTTGGATGTTGGAACCATTAAAATCTGAAATGGTTTCAGGATGGATTTTGTGCTGCGGCTGTTTATTTCCTAATTAGGAGTCTAACTTTTAATGTTCAACTTCAATGTTAAGCATGCACTGTGTTGTTTCATAAACTGGAGACTATAATCTCAGTGCCCCCCTGATAATAAGATCAGCTATTCTGAGTTCCATTATAGCCTTACATCTCAAAACATCTTGCAAATTACCAATCTATTTAAATCATCCTTCACTGGGGGCGTTTGCTTCTGATCTATATTTTAGAGAAAACTGAGGTGCCCAGCATTTTGTGAAACTAGAAAAGAACAAGGATGCTGATTTCTAATCTGCATCACGTGGCTGGGTTGCACAGAGGAAGAGGAGGAGCTTACCAAATGTAGGTGCTAATGAATTAATAATCTGAAAAGGCTGTTTTTGCTGAATGTCATGCAGGACAGGTACCAGGATTGTACTTCAATTTCTGCAGGGTGCTGTAAATGGTGTAATGTCTCAGAGGGAGAACTGGGTAGAATACTTTGATTGACTTTGTACAGAGTTTGTAATTTTATTACAAGTATTAAGTAGATTTATTTTCTTTCTGCTTTTCTCTTATTCACCAGGTCAGGCAAAAGCCTCCCATGAGCTGACCTCTTCTTATATGTCAGACTCTTCCCCTGAGGCCCATGCTCCTGTAATGACCTTACAGATGCCCCACCTTCCTGTTACTGCAGTAACCAGAACATCAGAGAAGTTTTCAGGAGAAACCGTTCATTCAGCAGGAACAACTAGTGCATCCACTGGCCTGCTTGGACAAAACCAGAGCAAAAATGAGATGGCATTGAAAACTTCTAACCAGTCAGGTAAAATACGGGGATAAAAAAAAAAAAAAAGCAGTATGTTTTCTGAAGCTCTGTTTCATTTCATTACTTCAAGAAACTAGGGATGTGGAGATTGTCCTGTAACCTGGAAGTAATTATGTAACCTTGCTTCTATGGCTTCCCTTTCATAATGGGATGCTCCGATTTGTAATATTGTGGGTCCCAGTTGGAGGTTGAGTTTATAATGTCACATCTTCTGAGAATTTTTGTTGCCTAATATAATTGAGTTCACAGTGCAACCTAATATTCTAGTACAGTTACTGAAGAAGTATCTTGAGAAGTTAAGGGAGTATTTGCTAACAGGTTTAAAAATTGTTTGGAGGGAGGAATGACTGACAGCAGACTGACAAATAGACAAAGTTACTGCAGAATTTTATCTGTAAGTTAGATTTTTTAAAATAAAAAAGCTCATGTCATTTGATTTATAGTCAGATAATTTGTCTTTGGGCTGTATTTTGTGTGTGTTCAGTGTTGGTGATGCTTTATTGATCAGAAACAGTAGAGATAGATCAGATGGAATTGCCAGTGAGAAACAGAGTATTTGCAGTTTCATCTTTCAAATTTTATCATATTCAAGCTAAGAATGTAGGAAAGCATTCCTCTGTTGCTTCCCCTCCCTCCCTCCCAATTTCAGTGAGAACAATGACTTCATCTGCCAATGGAAGTGAGTATTCCCACCAGTGTATCCTTATGCAAAGCATTTTGAGAGGGATTCCGTGTTCCATATCTGGGGGATTCAGATCTGAGCATCTAGTTCCATTTAATAGGTACGTGACAGTATTAAAATCGCTAACAAGATTGCGTGCAGATTCAATTTTCTGGGTATCGTGGATCCTTGTTTTAGTTTATTGGGCTCTCCACCAGTTCAAAGCAAGCGGGCATCTATGTATATCTGCGTAGTGGTATGCATGTGTAGTGTTAGGCATTCTCTACAGTGGAAAACAATAGGTGCCAGAGAAGAAGGTCAGAATGCAGTTTCATTGGTGAATGTCTCAGATAATCGGAAAAATGTGACTGAATGCAAGCTAATGACAGCTGGAAAGTAGTGGGCCCACTCTGGATTTTAAAGCAAATTTATCTGAGCAGAAGAAGAGTTAGTAGTCTGCATGTGTAAATGCGTAAAAGGACAAGATGCCTTTAGGACTTTTTATTCCAGTAGAAATAGACGACTTGAGCTTTATCTAAAACTGCTTCTGATTTATATCACCAAGCTGTTACCATTACACAATGTACTGGCATTTCACAGTGATCTCAAATCACACTCCTCCCCAGCTTAAAACCTGTGAGATTTGTACAGCTGATTGGCAGTTGTTTGTGGTTCCAGATTTGCTTCTGTATGCTGACATTTAATGGAGTGTTATAAATGAGATGTCTAGTTGATCTGAGTCCTTTAATAGGCCAGCGGTTCAGTGCCTTCATAGAGTGATTTGGACAGCAATTAGGTTGAATTGCTTCCAAGATGTCAGTCTTTCATCTTTGTCTATGTGAGAAGCCTTCCATAAATGAAGAAGCCTTGTACAAAACGTTTTGGCTTTAGTTAGTGTTAAGTCTGGACAAGTCACTCCATTCTCCACATTTGTGGTGCCTAGACTCCAGTATGGGGCTCTAAGATGGAAAGCACAAAAGATGTAACCTCAAAAGCAAGAGGAGGAAGATGCAAGGTTGATTTTTGAGCTACCTTTGGAGTACGTTCTACTTTAAAATTAGAAAAGTTCCTAGTGTAAGTTAAGATTGGGTAATTTAAATTATGCTGTCAATTGTGGTAGACATCCCAATACTGCTTAGATATGCCAAAATGACTGTGGTGAGCTAAGTCATAGCACACTTCTCTCCTTCCAGTGAAATATCCATAGCTGTATGCCCTCCTCTAAGGTCTGCACAAGGGCCTAGAAGGACCCAGTGTTCCCAACGCAATTTCACCAAAGGCATTTTCTTATAGACTTTTCTGGCCTGTTAACGCAATCTTTGCTGTAGTGCAACAGTGTTGCTGTGGGAATGAATCCCTGGGGAAAATCTTTACCCGGTTTTTTAATTTACAATAGGACCTAGACAGAGGCCTGCTACTTCTTACCGCAGTGGGTGAAAAGCCGTGCATGACTGTCTTACCAGGAAATGATTTGAAAAATCATGAGGGAAGGAGAGAAAAATGTTTCAACGTTAATACTACTTTTTTTTTTTTTTTTTTTTTGGTACAGTGAATGCCACGTCTGTCACTAAGCCTGTCTCTACTGCAAGCTATGAAGCAAGTAGTGGAAACAAAACTGGTGAAAGGTAAGCATTTACCTTGATGTTTTGTTAGGCCATTGTGTTCTGTATATTCTTGAAGTATCTTGCTGATTTATAGAACAGGTGAGTCCCAGATGCTGTAATTTAAACACATTAAAGTTTGTAAGCCTCCATGAGAGCTTTGTGGAGCAGAGATGAGAAGGAAAGAGGGAAAGAAAACAAAAATCAAAACCAACAATCAACCTTTTGTGGAGCAGTTTAAAGCAGACTTAGTTGTGGATTTCACATTTTTTTAAAACGTGCTACTAGCACTACGCTACTCTGCGGTGGATTTTTGTTAGGGGAAGAGAGATCTCAGGCATTTTGAAAATACTTTTAAAAATAGTCAGATGTGTCAGTTTCTGCTTTGAACTTATATTTTGAAAACCAGCGAATGACTGCCATCAAACATCCATAGTTTGGCTAGACTAGAGTTTGGTTTGTAGATAAACGCATTGCAGGATACAGAAGAGTTCTAGCTGTCTTTTTGGGGGGGGAAAAAAAAAAGGTTACTTTTTTTTAATTAATACAGTCACAGTTCCCTAGTATAGTGTTATGTGGTATGGCAATTACTACAGCCATAACCAGGCAATCCTGGCATGCAAAATATGCATCAAGAAAAGGGAAAGAATAGCCAATTTAAATCTCTTAAGTTGAGCTTTTTCATGCCTTGAAAATCATACAGATTTTGACATAACGTTTCTTCCAAGTTTGTTCCAACATTTGATATACCAAGCACTTTGCAGATCTTGCTGTCAGGAGAATGACCTCCAGATATATCAGAACTTAACAGTAAATTCAGTGTCACACTCTTTGCTTCAGTTTGTGCATCATGGGGAGCACTTTCAAAGCTAAGCCTGGCTTACTTCCTTAATTCTGATGCAGTGGTTTACTGCTCAAATAAACACGAATGAAAATATAATCCTTTATATTAATCATATTTTCAAGTTGCAATCAGTGAAGCAACACCAATGTGCTAAGGATTCTGTGTACTATAACTAAAATTTTCAAAATTACTTCCTGAATTGCTGTTCAAGTTTATTTTTAAAATGTGAATTAAATCTTCTGGGAAACGAACAGTTGGAAGTTAAAGGGATTCAGTACTTCTGTGTCTCCACAACTTTTGCTTTAATTTATGTGTTTTCTTAAAGGTGTTGCTGTTCTTCTACTCTGGGCTGTAAAGCCTTTGTGGCTTGGCTAACTATGTCTCATGCCTAAAAGTACCTCAGAACTTTCTGTACTTGAGTGCTATTGTCTATTAATAGAACTTTAACCTTCACTTAAATTACTTTTGACCCATTCACATACTCTTGAAGTTTCTGTTTTGACAGGCAACCCTGGGAATTTATGCTGACTGCTGGCACTGCAGAGTGCTACTTTTATTTTTTCTTTAACCACATAGTTTTCCTGTAATTCTTTTCTAGTGCAACTGATAGTTACTGTGGTGTGACACCCAAGCCTCACTCCTCTCCTCCTACTGTACATCGTCAAGTTGAAAGAAGGCGAGAACTGGTACGGTCTCAGACGCTTCCACGAACTACAGGAACACAGGCCAGGAAAGCACTTTTTGAGAAATTTGAGCAAGACAGTGGAAAGTATGTCACTCTCTTACATCTCCAGAATGGATTTGTTTATGGGAAACTAATTTGTTGATTGTTGCTAGCAGAGGGCAACTTGGTGGGAAGACTCTTACAGTGTAGAATTTTGAGCTCAGGGGGCTGTAAAGAAACGTACAGATTTGCTGACATTGCAAATTGAGCCCTGGAAATTTACAGGTACCGATTTCTATCTTTGAAGTTGTTTAGCTGAAGAAGCTGATGCCTTTTATTAGGAGTGTTGTGAAAGCTGCCTTCTCTTCTTAAAATAAGAAACTGAGGATCTTTTGTTGTCATTTGTTAAGGAAGAACAACAAGGACTACTCTTTATACATCATGATAAGGGCATGATTTAAACAGAAGAAGACTCAAAATCCTGGCTTCAGTGACAAGAAAATGTTTTTTATTTGTGGAACCGGCATGTTGAAATTTTAGCCATGTGTTTCTCAAATATCATCTGATCAGGGAGTGAATCTGGGCAAGGTTGCATATATGTTGCTGACAAGTAGGTTTAAGTTATTCTAGAATGTAATTTAATCCAGTCTCTGTTAATTTTCCAGAGGAAAAGGACAATCCAGACCTAAACTGAAGAGATCACAGAGTTTTGGGGTTGCCAGCGCTAGCAGCATTAAGCAAATTTTGTTAGACTGGTGTCGCTCAAAAACCATAGGATACAAGGTGAAGACATTAGCACTTCCAGCTCTCTTTTTCAGAAGAACCTACTCAAAAACTGAATGTAAAACATGCTAAACAGTGAGTTAACTTCTCCCGGTGTCACGGTGTTCTGACATCATGTTGCGTGGGCAACACTTCAGGACAGTCATTGCATGAATGAGATTTTTCTATGTCTCTCAAAGCATTGCAGCAGTGTTTGCTCTGGAAGCTGACATTTCCATGGTTACATATGTGGACTTCACTATACGCATGTATTTTTCTTAGATGCAGACTGTGATTTTTGCATTCTCATCACATAAAGTCTGAACAGTATTTTTCCAGTACATAGAACCTGTCTCATTTTGGCTGCACAAAAGACCAAATTATTCTCTTCTGATTTTAGATAAGTGAATTTTTATTAAATATTTGAGAGAGAATCACAACATGTTAGTGAATTAATTTCTGTAAGGCAACATCACAGTAGATAAGAGAATTCAGTTGCTGAGATCTTCAGTAATTTTACCTGGCCTTAAGCCATAATTCCCAAAGCAGTTTCAAGGGGGAAGAGAAAAATTTTCCAGTTTTGTTTGTGGCTTTTTTTTTCCCAGTAATGCATGTTCTTCAGCATTTTGTAAAATGTGCTAAATCACAGTATTTTCCAGCAGAGCTAATGAACGTGACTGTTAGTTGTTAAAGAGGAAAGTTGGATTTCAAATTTTATATGATGCGAAAGCAACACCAGCAGAGAACCAAAACATACTTTGTTTCATTCTGGCAGTTGAAAGTAACAATAAACATTAGTTCTAAGAAGCAGAGTCTGCAGTAGGCCTAACTCTTCCAGTATTTCTACTACTCTGTATAATAAAGAAGCAATGAATTAGGCCTTACTGAGCAGCAAGTAAGCAGGTCTTTATCCAGTATTATTTATCACAAGGTGAACCATTTTTCAATTATAAATACTTCACAGGCATAAGCAATGTCCTCACTGTACGTCGACACTGAGCTGGTACATTGGGCCTGCTCCAGAGCTCACTGAGTTTCACGAGATTCTTCACAGTATTTTACTAGCTTTTGGGATCAGGGACCTTGAGTGTATGTTTGCTTTGTATCTGGGCACGTCAGGCAAGAGGCCCTTTCTTCTCAGAGTACAATTAATGTATTGGACATGCGCAGAGGGGAAGGAAAACCACAAAGCCTGTGCTCTGTTACTCTAGTCAGTGGGAGAACAAGACAGAAAACTACAGTGAGTGAAAGCAACTGCTCTTCCATGTTCTCCAGCACTGCATTAATGTGTGGTTTGTTTTCGTTGTGACAGCACATTGATCTCCAGAACTTCTCCTCAAGCTGGAATGATGGGATGGCATTCTGTGCTCTTGTACATTCTTTCTTTCCTGAAACTTTTGATTATAATAAGCTTGATCCAGCTAACCGCAAGCAGAACTTTGAGCTGGCTTTCACCATGGCTGAGTGAGTATTCCTTAAATCTCTCTGAAGTGCTTGCAATTCCAATCTCATGAAGCTGGACAGCAGTGAAGAGTTTAATCATTCTTTCCGTAGATCCTATATCATTAACTTAAGTGTGTTGTGCTAAAAAATAAAGCTCTGCACGAAGAATGCATAGAACAGCAACTGAAAATCAAATGTGATTTTGCCAGACACAGAGTAGCTGACTGGAGTCCCATGTTCAGAACTATCTTTGAGTGGTACTTCAATTCTGCTTTCTCACTTCTGTGATCCTAGAAGCAACTGCTAGAACATGTGACTGCTGCAGCTTCTGTTAGCAGTAGGTTTTACTCACTGCATTTTACCACAGATGATATTGCTAACAAGACTGCTACTGCACAAAGCCATTAGCTTCAAAGGATCTCTGGAGTCCTTAATTCTGTTGCTTCTCATTGTTCCCTGATGCTGTAAGACTGTACTGTAGTTTTGATCTTACATTTGTATGCATTACTGGCTTTTTCAGTATGTTGTATGAGTGTATGTGCAGTCACTGGATTTCAGTTGTGCTCTACATAGATGTAGAAATTCACAGCTTGCACTTGTCACACTTCAAGGTGCCTTATTAACATCTGCTGTAAATGCTTGCCTTCCAATATTTGGTAGTGTGTATTGATAAGAACTTCATTACAATGGGATGCTGCTTTTAAAAGAAAATAGCCCTGGCAAATATATTTTATAGAGGTTGTTACTGACAGAATATTATTTCTCAGGTCATGTAAATGACTACCTGGAAAGTTCCTAAACCGTACATATTTGCATTCTCTGGGACTTACAAGACAAAACCCAAAGTGTATATAGCCCAGCCCATTAGAAACACAATATAAACAGAACAGATTGCATGACAGAAGTAATTGTTAACAATCTACTGGATGGCTGTGTGTTGGTAAGCGAGACTTGCATACTTTTATCTTGCGTGATCTATGTTTAGCTGTCCGAATAGTTTCCAGAAAAAGAAAGTTGCAACCTGTAGATTAAAGTACATTTTAGATATTTACTGTCTCTGTTGTGATTTTTACATTGCCAGTGGGTGTGCAGTATGACTTCTGCGTCCTTGCATTTCTTAATTGAGCAGTTTGGTTTCTCTGTTAGCTTCTCTGCGGCCAAGGAATGCTGAGTAGAAGCCATGTTTGGCTTCTACTTACACTGATGTTTGCCTAGGTCTGCAAAAGGTTATTAACAGGGAGGAAAGTTGTTCAATTATCAGCCTGCCACTTCATTTATCATGTATCTTTATTTTTGTATGGATTTTAGTATCAATGACAGTTAATCTTTCACATAGGCTATTATTAACAAATTCTACTCGTGCAGAATTACAGGGGTTTGCATCTGTGGAAACTGATGCTCAGACAAACTCAGTTCAGCCTAGTGAATGTATTTGAATACTACATACCTGTAATACAAATAAATGCAAATTACTCCTCAGTCTTCAGAAAGATTTATTCTGCATCTCTTTTATGTATTACTTGGGGAAATAATTATTTTGGTGATAACTAGCATCACAATGTTATGTATTTGATGGTTTATTGATCGGGGCACTGCAGTGCTCTCTCCTGATCAGATGAAGTGGAGACTAACTTTTAATTATGGGCAGAACTGATCTGACTGTGTACTCAACTGCAAAGATAGATCCCTCAGGTTCCCACAGATGCTTCTTTTGCAACAGACTGGTGTGTACCAGTTAAGATGGCATTTCTTCTTTCCCTTTCTGAAAGTAACAGGAACAAAGCTTTGGCTTCATCAGTGTTGTCGGGACCATGTACACCATTATATGCTATGCATGTAATGGAAATAAGGGTGTTGTAATGGAGAGAAATAGAAAGCGCAGTACTAGTGAAAACCCCGTGTCCTATCTCTTTATTGTTCTGTAACATATTCAAAGTCAAGAGGTCTGAATTGCATTATAAAGTGACTTCTTTCCAGTGTTCAAAAAAGATAAATTGTAAGCATGGGAAACTAATTTATAAAGAATAAGGGAGAGGCAGCCAGTGCTATAGTTCATGTAGAACTTATATTTCTAGAAATGTAAAGAATTCTATTGTGTGGTTCTCTGTTTAGGCAAACAAGTGCAGATCTTCAGCATTTCAGTGTAACTGTGCAATTAACATTGCAGTTGCTATACCACAAACATGTCATTTAAATTGGAAAAATTTAGTTGTAGTTACTTTGTCAGCCTTAGCTAAACTTGAGAAAACAGGCTAATGAGTTCACCTTAGAGGAGTAAAAAGCCAACCGCTGTATACTACTTCTATGTTTGATTTTTTTTTTTTTTTTTTAATTATTGGGGGAGAAAGTGTTGTTTGTAGGTTTTTTGTTTGTTTTTGTTTTTTTCATTTTGTTTTTCAAGTAATTAAGAAGTCTTAATGGATTTGTCCATGTCAATCATAAGAAAGGAAACTTGAATTCATAGAGCACAATGCATCCAACTTTTACTCGACAGCCCACTGGGACTGGACATTCAACTTGTAGCTTCTTTGCCAATCCCACTTGCACAAAACATGATTTGAATCTCAGGCATGTTAATATATGCAATGTCTCCAGGAAAATCTGTGACCCTTAAAGGGGAAAGAGCAAGCAAATTAACTTTTGGAATTGAGTTTTGTGTGAGGGTTCATAGAATCACAAAATGGCTTCAGTTGCAAGGAACCTTAAAGATCATCTAGTTCTACCTCCCCCTGCTCTAAGAAGGAATGCCAGACATTAGATCAGTCTGCTTACAGCCCCACCAACCTGATCTTGAATGCCTCCAGGGAATGGAGCATCCACAACTTCTCTGGACAACCTGTTCCTGTGCCTCACCAACCTCTAACTAAAAAATTTCCTCCTAATATCTTACTTAAATCTCTCTTAAGACCATTCTAACTCCTTCTATTACTATTTGCCCATGTAAAATATTTGGGCTTTTTTTTTTATAAGCCCCCTTTAAGTACCAGAAGGTTGCAATGTGGTCTCCTCAGAGCCTTCTCCAGGCTAAACAACCTCAACTCCATCAACTTTTCTTCATAGATGAGGTGCTTTAGCTCTCTGATAATCTTGGTGGCCTCCTCTGGATCCTCTCCAACAGCTCCATATATTTCTTGTGGTGGGAGCCTTAAGCTTGAACATGGTACCTCAGATGGTGCCTCACAAGGGCAGAGTAGAAGGGGACAATTGCCTCCTTTACACTGCTGGCTGCTACTTTTTTTTTGAGGCATTCAGGATGTAGTTGACCTTCTGAGCTGCAAATGCACACTGCAGGCTCATGTTGAGCTTTTCATCCATCAGAACCTCCAAGTCCTTCTCTTCATGGCTGCTCTTAATGAGCTGTTCTCCCAGTCTGTACTCATGTCTGAGATTGTCCCAGAGAAAGTGCAGCACTTTGCATTTGGAATTGTTCAACCTCATTTAGTTCATGTGGGCCCACGTCTCAAGCTTGTCCAGGTCCTTCTGGATGGCATTCTTTCCTTCTGTTGCATCAACTGCCTTGCAGAAGTTGAGGTAGATGACATCAGTTGCTCTTCCCTTGTCCCTATTCTAGCATCTGGCAAATTATTTATGTAATTTGTGAATCACAGTTTTTTACACAAATAAGCATACACAAATTTTCTTACACATCAGTGAGTTAAAATGACACTACAGCATTTTCAGATGGTTACTCTCTGAACTTAAAATATATACAACTCTCAAAATCAAAGTGTGCTTTTACCTCAATTTCAATCTAGCAATAAGTATAAGGAAAAGTCAAGAACTTGAGCATGCACACAAAGAGAGACATTGGGTAAGAAATATCTACAGAAATTACTTCTCCTTAGCTGTGATGGCATCTAAACTGTTCTCTTATTGCCAGAAAAGGTTCTCAATTATTGCTGTTAGCCATAATGTGAGCTCAACAGCTCAAATGCTTACTGTCTTTGTGATTTTTAATCCTAGGCTTGAGCAGATCTTTCTTTTTCTTTACAATGCTCTAGATCTCAGGTTTATGCTCTCCAACATGACGGTCATCTTGGACAGCAATCCAAGTTGCTCATGTAAGGACAGGGGAAAGCAAACAAGAAGAACCTATGGCCACTTTGGCTTTTAATGAGCACATCTGATCTCATGTTTTCCTATTCTTTAGAAGTTTTCTGTTTAATAAGTAGAAAAACTCACAGCTTGCAAACTCATTTTGCCCTGTTTACTAAGTCTTGGGCACAGGAATGAGATTATATTACATGCCACAGAAACATAGGACAGTGAAAAAGGCCATACAAGATTGGGTCAGATCACAGTATAGAGGAAAAGAGGGGAAGAACAAGTATTTTCCATGATCGCTAAAATAACAGACTCCAATATTACCTCAGCCTGACCATTTCACTGTTCCTGATAAATCTCAGGATTTCTTATATCCCTCAGTGATGCTCAACTCAGAGCAGCAAAGAATCTTGGAAATAGTTACAGGCTTTGGCTTTAACTCTTGATTTGCTGAATCTGTTTTATTATCACTACAGGAAAATGGCTCACTGTGATCGTCTGATAGAAGTGGATGACATGATGATGATGGGCCACAAGCCAGATCCCATGTGTGTCTTCACTTATGTCCAATCTCTGTATAATCATCTACGACGCTTTGAGTAAAACCATCACCACCCATCCAGCCAGAATGATCAAGTATATTATGCTAATGGGAAGACTGACATTTTGCAAATAGAACACTGTTAGTTCTTGCAAGCATGTGGACAGTGAAAAGCATTCAATTGTATTTGCTGACTGAAGTGTTGCTGAGCAGTGCCTATGTACTTTTGGTGCTAATAGTAGGTTTAATTTTTAATATTCTTTCAAAGGTTACAGGAAGCTAAATCTCAGCTCCTGTCTCTGTTAGAATTACAGAATGGCTTGGGTTGGAAGGGACCTTAAAGATCATCTAGCTCTAATCCCACCGCTGTGGGCAGGGTTGCCACTCGCTAGATCACGTCGCTCAAAGATTCAGCCACCCTGGCCTTGGATACTTCTGGGAATGGGGCATCCAAAACTTATCTGGGAAATCAGTTCCGGTACCTCGCTGTCTTCATGGTAAATAATTTCTGCCTAATATCTAATCCAAATCTCTACCCTCTTTTGATAGGGTAACTCCTTGTCCTGTTGCTACATTACTGGGCTAGAAACAGTTTTATACGCTGACAAGTAATTCTGCTATGAAGATGTTCCCTCCTAAAAATACAGGTAAAACTCTAGGAGGCAGCTACTTCACTTCCACTTCTTTGCTCAGTATACCACAGAAGTAATAGACAGACAAGAAAAATCCTGTTTAGCAAATTTAGCAATATTACCCCTCCACCATCTCCATCCCACTTCAGTGAACGTGTGCATGCACACATGCGCATGTGAAATAGGCACTATTCTAAGCTCTGGAGAGCAGAGGTCCAGCATGGACAGGAATGAAGCCTTTACAGCTTGTTCAGTCCCCATGTTCTCTCTCTAATGTGGCCAGGCAGTGTTCCAAAAAAAAGTGTGAAATACGTGGGAACTCTAAAATGCCTTGGGCTAGTATCTGGTTTCAATTAAATTAATGTTAAATCAACAGTGTCTCCATCAACTAGAGTGGGTTTGCGTCAGAATTGCTAGACATAAAGTTCATGTTTTATCTTTTCTGATTTTCTGTTTGCTAAATCAACATAGCTTTGTTCTCCCATTGAACACTGTAAACAAAAACACTAAATAAGCTTTTTTTTTTTTTTCTAGGGCTTTTTAATGTATTTCTATTCTAAGAATAGTCTATATAAAGTAAAAACAGCCAGCCACAAGCCCTCAACTCATGCTAGAGAATGGGTTTTTAACCTGCATTTATTTATGCTCTTTGTAGATAGTTACAAAGATGACTTTGGCTCTGTGTTGATGACAGTTTATAATAAAACATATAAAATGTTCTTTAGAATTACTGCTTCTTTATAGAAGGATTTTATTTTATCCTTCCTTTCCAGTGAAGTTTACTTAAGAAACCATGAATGAAGCAACCGCTTTATCAGACAAAGTCTGAAAAGAAAAAAACATGTAAAGGTAGAGTATAAGCTAACTGCTGAAGAGCTGGATCACCAAAAGCTGTCCACAATGTGCCTAGCCTGTTTCTACAACATGCTGGAAACAGCTTGAAAGCATGTTTTAAATGTGCATCTTAGTATGTTTCTGAAAGATATGTGATTAAACTAGTAGTAATCCCAGGCACTGCTCATACAGGTTTAGTGCAAGTGGACAGAGGACAGGCAAGGTGTTTGTAATGTGTCTGCCATTGTCTTTGGTTCCTAACTTTCTTGAATGATCATAGTTCTGATGAATAAATTGTTCCAACAAACGCTCTGTAAACTAGTTGTGTTTTGGAGAAATGATCAAATTAGGCACAATGAGAAATGAGTCTGCAGTAGGTATGTGATGTGCATATTTCCATTCTTATAGCAGAATATTTTTCATTGACTAGCAGAGCCAAGTTCCACTGCAGCTATATTACTGGCAGCAGCAGCTTTATACATTTAATTTGTACACAGTCTCAGGTCATGAATGATTGTCCTGTGTGATTTGAGTGCTGAGGACATGGTTAAGTGCTTGGCCAATTTTGGTCTAGTAGCAAATAATTATAAAAAAGGAAATTCTAGGCATAAGTAGTTTTGCCAATTCATTAAGGGGAATTAAGGCTTTTGCTACAGTTTAGCTTGTTCACATTTACCCAAAAGCTATTTGTGCAGTTTCCAAAATTTCTCCCATTTTAAAGAGACAATCATAAAGGTATCTTGCCAGCTGGGGAGTAGAAGACAGGTTTTAACTCCTGATGGTTTGTATATAAGGACATGATAGATATGGTATTATCGCATAGTTACAGAAAAGTACAGTGCACTAAAATGCATTAGAGAATGCCTGATCTATAATATATAGCCTGGATGAGCTTGTATGATTAAATTTAATAATGTATGTAAAGTATGCCCCTGATGTTTTTTTAGTGTTTCTAGTTAAAAGTAATACAGTGTGTATGAATATGATGGTAAATGTGTTTAACATGAATGACAAAGGAACAATATATTAAGTCAGCATATTGTATTTTACACAGATGGAGTGTCTTGGATTTTTTTTTTTTACAGTTTCTGCACTGTATCCAATATCCAGTACTATCTCAGTTTGTTGGCATCTTTATCCTACTTCTAAAGTCTGGATCAATTTTTTTTTTTAATGTCAGATTTTCAAAATACTCCTAGCAGAGCCATTACCTACTGTTTAGGTGATTATATTTTTCCTTGTTAAAACTTTCAAAACCCTCACACTTTCAGCCTTTAAACACATTTTGTTCTCTTTAGTCAGTGTTGTTGTTTACAAGCCATTTCTGAGCAGTTTTGCCTTAGAACATAGCACTGAAATAAACTACATGCCGGAGGATTAACCTACAAATGCTGTGAGTAATTCTGTTCTTAAAAAGCAATGCAAGTGACTCTCTATCTTATTGTACTAGCCGTATATGAAATTAACAACAAAGACAAAAGGATAGCTGTTAAAGATGCGCACTGAAATCTAAGCAGTGCAAGCATTTTCTTAGGCCGCAGTTCACTGCCACTGTCTATTTGATTTTCACTTTTGAAAAAGTATCTCCATAGGTGACTTTCAAGTAACCAAATCTATTGACCCATCCTGAAGGCACTGCATCTGCTACAGAGAGATATTATTACAGTAAGATTAAAATGGTAGCCCAAGCAAGTCCAAGGGATCTATCCCAAACCTGTCACTGGCAGAGGTTTCCAATTTGTTGAGACTCTACAGCATCTCTGCCTCTAAAAATCCTGGCTTCTAACAAGGACTTGTAGACATAAATGGTGAATGCCATTAAATCAGTACTCATAAGACAAATAATGATAGAAGTGGAGGAAATATTCTATGAATATAGAAGATTCTTGTTTTATTGAGCAAAGCAGCAAGAAAGTTCTGATTAGCCTACACATTCTAGACTGAGGGAGGAAATACAGGTCAAATTCCAGTTCCACTTTATCTGCATTCTGATTTTGATGCTCTCCAATGGAGCACTGTCACGAGTGCTGACTGTAGTAGCAGTACCAAATACACTGCTGGGATCATCACCTGATCAAGCATGGATGGAAGTAGGGAAGAGATTGGGACAGGGCCCTAGGAAAGAATATTCCATGAACTTCAGCTTTTTAGGGAAAAAAAAAAAAAAAACACATTCACTTTTAGAACTATTCCTCACCTCTGGTTTGTTAGTGTTAAAGCAGTTTTTGCCAATGATGAAACATTAAGAATGCTTTTATGGAGGGAAATCGAACACTCAAGCTAAAGGCTTAGCTGGTTTTTAAAAGTATACTTAAGCTGCCATTCCAACTGCTGATTTTGTCTCAATATACACAGTTAAAGAAGTTATCACAGAACAATCCAGTGGCCTGGTTTGAACCTTATGAACAGGAACTGTCAGGCCCCATTATATTCTACGTAAACCTATAGAAGATTATGTCATTTCAAATTTGTTCATGATTCAAAAAAAGCTTAAAAAGGACAAAAATCAGGCTGCATCCTGTAATTCCATCAAAGAAAGTGCCTTCTTATGTCCACGAACACGTTACATAGAGGCAGTAATACATAATAGATTTGTTATAAAAAATCATACAAAAGTCATACAAATCATACATGATTCACCATGACAGAGAACTACTGCTGTCATCACAGTCTTATTCCCATTTCTAAAGCAAACAGTGGTGACGGGGTGATACTTTGATATTGTGAAGCAAGTGTAGTACTTTGCCTTTGGCAAGGGAATAGGCTACAGTAATCAAGATAATATTAAACAATAATACTTTTCACGTAATAATACAGATTTACAATACTAAACAGTGTTTGTGGTAAGAGTCAAAATGCATGTTTGAAGTAGAACACACAAACTCATCATGCAACTCTGTAGCCGAATACCACATTCATTCATCTTTCCTCTCATTCCTGTAAGTTAGTTTCAGCTAATAATCAGCTGCAGTCTCATGCTTTATCCTAATGCCAGTAAAATGTGAAAAAGCAAAAAACCCCCACCCTACAGTAATCTTTAACATGCGTGGGTCAATGAATAAGAACCATGCAGGAAGCATTTATTGTTACTGATAATAAGTTCATATAATGTTATAAAATTCATCCCATAAATCTGGGCTTTTTAATCATAACTACTAGACAGCTCAGTTTACCTGACATCACATTTTGGATTATATGTATTATATACATCAAGACACTGTGATCTTGGATGGTTAACTTTACACAGTGACCTGCAAGGCAATGTACAGACTTCAGTCAAACTTTTTCTCATCAGATTTGTAAAATGTTAGCACAGTAAACACAGAGTTTGATCTTTCAACTGCATTGGAATTGGTTTTGACTTACGTCCATTTCTACTGATTGTGCTGTTAAATTTATTTGCAACTGCTTTTTTTTCCTGTTGTTGTTGTTGGTTTGTATTTACACGCGTGGGAATTTGGATATAGTTTTCAGTATACCCAGCAGCGTCATCTACACAGTTCACAGTGGAAAGCTTTGTACATCAGGAAATACCCAGACAGCAGCTGCTGTGCCGCACCACCTTTCTGAGAGGATGATGGTAAAGAGAGCAGGTGGTGCTGGAGCATTTAATATAAATTGCAACAAACATTAAAATACGCCTTTGTGAATTTAGAGCTGGAAATGTGTATGTTTTTGTTAGCATAATGTCAGTGTCAAGATGGTCGTACATGACATCACAAGCACCACCTGGGCGTCAGTTCCGCCGTTTCTCTGGTGCCGCGGTTTCCGGGGTGCCCGGTTTCCGGGAAATCCCGTGACCTCGCGCCCGTTCCGCGCCCTTCCCGCAGCGAGAGACTGGCAAGTACCGGGGAACGAGCGCGGCCGGTGAGCCATAGAGCCGCGCGAAAAGCCAGAGGCCACCAAAACACGAACTGCGGCCGCAGCAGCGCACGCATACAAGCCTGAAACCGCGACCGTTGGTAAGAAGCGCGTTGGGGGGCGGGCCAGGCTGTGGAGACAAACCGATTGGCTACGGCAAGTCAAGTGGCGCCTGCGATTGGCTGGCGGATGTTTGGGTGAGTGGAGGCGTTGCGCTCCCAGCGGGTGGGGTCGGTTTGTGCGGAGCGGGCAGGGGCGGCGGGCAGGGGCGAGCTTGGTGTTCTCCTTTGAGGAGTGATGGGGCTATTCCGGAATTAACAAACCACTCTAATTTCTTTATAAATTATCGCAGAATTGATTTTACCGATCGTTTGATGAACAGCACGCTCAGGAAATCTACTATGACTTAAGCCCTGAAAACCACCTGAGGTAAAATTTTCTTCTGTTTTAGAATTTGTATTAAGGGACAAGTTGTACATGGAGTGTTAATTTAGACTTTAACTTTAGCATCTAATGTAGTGTTTTTCTGTCTCCTCCATTACTTCTCTCAGGCTCCTAGTCTTTTGTCCCAGGTAGGTCAAGAACACAGTTCCCATGAAAATGGAGTAGAGAAAGAATACTGCTTAAAAAATATTGTAAAACTGAAACTTCAGATAGGTGCACAGCACACCTTTCATTTGATTTCAGATTTTTAAAATGCATTTCTGCAATATATCCATTAAAAATTACTGTGGAAACCATTTCAATTAACATACAATAAGTTTTTATTTCTAGACAGACCTTATCTGTCAGAGAGTGAAAGGAAGTACTCCTGTACTTCCACCTGATAGAGCAAAAGCTGGTTGGTTTGCTAGAAGCCATGTTGCATAGCAACCACTTTGTTGATCTCCCGTGTCGTTCAGAGCCCCCTCCTGGAATATTTGTCTCACATTTAAAAATGCACTGTGGTGCTGCTCTGAAGATAGAGATGCAGATAGAGACTCCCAACAGTTGGGAGCAAATCCCACAGTGAAGGGAAACAGAAGATGGGGCTTTTAGCTGGGGTCTGACCTTAGGAATAAGCAGTGTGAAGCAGTATCAGTTAAGGGGAGAAAGAGATGTTTTAAGGATGCCTGTGCTAGAGCAGGGACAAACTGTGTGTTGCAGAGGAACTGCTGTGTTTATCTGTAGAGAGAAGTTATTTCAGAAACACTGGAGAAACACAGTGCTCTAAAAGAAAAACTGATATTGAACCAAAATGCTATGACTGTGTTTTGGGGACACTGGTTTTAACTGCCTTAGAAGTGTCCCTTTGTTCTTTGTTCTTGTTTAGCCCTCCCTAGACTTCTCAATTTACTTTTATCTGGTGTACTTTCTCCTTCAGTTTTCCAGGTCTTGTTGTCTCATATTTTTCCAGTGACTGTGCTGCTGCTGCTGGTGTTTTTCTTTACAGTCTACCACAACTTGCAGGACACTCTTAAACTCTTACATTTGTTAACTTTTTTTTTTTTTTTTTTCCTCCAATTTGCTATGATTGTTTTTCTCTTCTTCTAACTTCCATTTCCAAATTCTCGTTTCTTCATGCTTTTTTGAAGGTTAAAGGGACAAGAATTTTTTTTACCTTCCTGGACCCATCCTTATATATTTTTGCTTCTGCAGCCAAATATAATCCTTTTCCTGTTTTCAGGCTCCACATTCCAAAAATTCACCTGTGTTACATGCAGAACCTTTCAAAAACCAATGGCCAGAATGCTACAAGCTCCACCCAAGTTGCATTCTTCAGAATGGCACGTTGCAAACAAGATGCAGTGTGCCAGTACAGAGTCTCAGAAATCCAGTTCAGAGCGCTTAGTAGCTGAGAGTCGAAGACTGGTGGATGAAATAGAAAAGACAACTCAGAAAACCCAAAGCAGTGTCAACAAGAAAATAGGTAATCCCATGTATACTTTTCAAGTGTCATTTGAGCTAGGTGTTTAAGAGGGACTTAGAAAATTACATGATTGTGAGTAAGAATATATGTCAAGGGCATGTTATCTGATCTCGTGGAGAAGTCAAGATATCATCCAAAAATATTTTCAAGTGGATTCTTTATTTTGTTTGAAATTATGTCTCCATACATCAGGTCCAGCATGAAATTCACACAATAATGAAGTCATTCTATTTCTAGCCATATCTAAGATACGACCAACAATGCTCTGGCTTTTATTAACAGTTGTTTGAAATTTTCATTCTGCAGAACAGAGACTGGAAGAAATAAAGTTCTGGAAGCAAGAATTAGATAACAAACTTGAACAACTTGTTAATGAGACAGAGGTACTGTTTACTTTCAAGATCAGGCTGGAGAAAGCCTTGGAGAGCTGCAGAGAGCCACTTGTAATTTCCCAGAAGTGTCTCCTGAACAGGTGAGATTAAGAGGAAAAACATTCACGCAGAGAAGAAAATCTATGTAACAGACCTTTAACAAATACAACAGTGGCAAACTAAGGGCCTGCTTGTGCAGCAGAATCACTGTCTGGTTTGTGTTATAACGTTAGAGGCAAGGAGAAGCTGTGGATACAGAATGCTGGGCTTCACCACTGTCTGTTAGCTATAGGCGTTTTAGTAATGTGACTGATGCTTTTCTCTTTCTATTTAGGCAGAGACGAGCTGGGACTGACTTGGTGCATGATGAAGTGGAACAGGAATTGGTCAAGGAAGCTGGAGTTCTGCAGGGGGTTATTGCTTTGCTTGAACGTACATTAGAACAAACGAATGAGCAAATCAGGTGCAGAGACAAAGAGCATAACAAACATGGGTTAGCTGAAAAGCAGGGCTGTCATAATCTTGAGAAGTTATGTCAGGCTGAATGCGGGGCCAAGATTACCTTCAGCGCTACACAGTTATAGAAGTCCTGTTCTAATCCATAACATTTGATAATTAATTGTAAGAAGTTCTGTTAGAACTGAAAGTACTGCCACATGATCTACAACCTTCTCAGCCAATCCTGTGGCTTTAATTCCAATTGAAATTATACCACTGATTTATACGGAATTTGAACCATGCTCTAGGTCTTGGGACGTTGCAAATAACAGTTTGTGAATGAGGAATTTTGAGCAGCATTTGCATTGCCTGGTGTACCATTTCTCACATGCATATTAGGGAGATCTATAAGAGCTTAGACTTTGGCTTAGAGTGCGATCATTTCTTCCTCTAGACTAAACCGTTCCACAAAATACAACCTGGAAATGGATGTGAAAGACAAGTTCACAGCTTTGATGATTGACAATTACTGTGCTAGCTTGACAAACAACACTCCTGATGTCAGATACACTGATAAAACAGTGGAAATAGAAGGAAAGTAAGTGGTTATTTAACTTGATGGATATACGTTAATTATATCAATTATAGGATGAACTACTGCAGCAGCAGCAAAATTAAAGTAGCTGTGTGTAAGACAATTCATCATTGTTCTGTTGTACTTGTGTAATTTTTTTTATACTTCTGTCCATCATTTTAGTATCTGTGTAATACATTGTTGGAATAAGCCACAATAATCATATTTCCAGTGAATTGCTGTTCACCAGAAGTTTTTGAGTCTCACAGATAGCTATAGTAAATTCTCACATGGGTTAAACCCAGAATAGATTCCTCTAACTTCCTCTCCTCTCTCAGGGTGTCCAAGCAGGTCAAATGCTGGACTGAGGCAGATGAGGTATGTGAGGTTAATTCATCTGTCCAGTGTGCAGATGTTGTGTGAATTAGTGGTTTCGATGAAGAAATACCTACCACAAAAGAACAGACTGGCAAGAAGAAACAGGCTAAGTAGCGAGCTGACTTGCTTGGAATACAAGGGACTGCCAGCTCTTCCCACTAGCCCATGTTAGTTGGGGTTGTTTACGGGTTGTTTAACTCAGACCATACCCAGAACAGCGTTCGCTGCTATGTACGAGTAATGATTATTGAAATGAAACAAAGAAATCTCTGAGGGACTTCCCAGAGACCTGCCTACCAGCCACTAGTGCACAGACAGTACTCTCCCCTTCTGAGGATGGGCTTCCCAACTATTGCTGGAAGTGACTATGTAAGCATGTAGGGGTGTCCTGTGTGCACAATTAACGTGTGCATAGTAAGTTGGTGTTAATAATACTAGCTGAATTGTATTACTTGTAATACCTTCATTGATGAAAGATGTTCCAAGAAATACTGGTTATTATATGTGTCTGCCTATTTGTCCATATCTTTCCTTCCTATCTGTCCATATCTTTTCTCCCTTTTCCTGCTATAAGTCAGTCTCTTATCAGGAAAGGAAAATAATAACAAAGTTGTTTTGAGATTGTAGCAAAATGATTTTTTTTTTTTCCTTTTACACTCGTGCTTGGTTTGTGGAGTAATTATAGATTTATGAAATAGTGGATGCTGCCAGCTGATGACCTTTTATTTTGAATCTCTTTCAGTTTTGTTAGCCCTGAAGACTGGATATATTTCTCAAACATAAATGTTGAAAAGGCTGACAAGCAGAGAAACAATTCAGTGGCACTAAGGGTGCTGATTGACAGCATCCTCTCCCAGGCAGTGAATGACATGTGCAAGCAATATGAGATAGTGAATATCGCATTTAGAAATAGAGTGGAGGAAGTCAGAGGTGCCAAGCACAAGCTGGAGACACTCCTTGCAGTGGTAAGTTGTAGGAGATCATCAGTGAAAAGATGTAAACAGTAAGCTTTGGTTATCAACCAGTTGGCTCAGTCCAGTATATTGAGGTGTCTTGAGCTACTGTGGTTAAGAATTTTACCTTTGCAATACTGGCAACAGCTGCAACACAAGCTTGCCTCAGTTTCCTTTAACAGTCATCTTCGATTTCATTTACTTATCCAAATGTGCACTGCTATAAAGGTGTATTCCTCAAATCAGTCAATTGATTGAAGTATTCTAGTAGATTTCACTGAAGCCAGGACTTCCCTTGTGATTTTTAGATACATGGGGCTGCTAAGGGTTTTTTGCGATTGTGCTGTAAGAGTTTAATGGCTTATAAAATCAGGGCCAGTGTGATTGAAGTTCAATGTATGAAAACTGTGCTTGAGTTCTAAAAGTTAACCACTGAACTTAAAGTGATGTTGGCCCCTCTCCAGTCATAATCCTGGACAACCTTTGTGAAAATCTGTTGATAAAATAACACCTTAACATAATGAGTGTTACTGTAATTACTGTTACTACAGCTATTAAACAAGATGTTGAGGATTTTGCTGATTGTAGGAGAAAGTGTGCTGTGCTTTCTTCTGTTGGATTTGTTAAGGTGATGAAGGAGGCTGCCTCGCAGGAGATGAACATTGTAGCTTTAAAGAAAGCAATTGCTGATAAAGAAGGACCTGTTAAAGTGGCTCAAACCCGCTTGGAGGCAAGAAATCATCGCCCTGGAGTGGAATTATGTTATGACACAGTGCAATATAGGTTGACCGGTGAAATTCAAGAGATTACAAACAACATTCAAAGGCAAGTGGGAATGACGAAAGAGTGGGGAAATCTGTGGTACAGATTATTTGGTTAAATAAATAGTCCAAGTAACATTGGGTTCCAGCTATTCTCCATGAAATTTTGAGACATGCTTTTTCCTTAAGGGTAGCACACTTTAAAGCATACTGCATGGATATTGTCTGATTGTGAATCCCCGTCCTTGTTTTTTCACTTCGAATTACTTTTGTGTATGACAAAATATCGATGTATTCTCAACTAACTTCTGGCTGTATTTTCCCTGTTAGGTTAAAGGACACACTGGCACTGGCTGAAACAGAGCTGAAAGGTCTGAGACGTCGGCAGCTTTCCCTGGAGGAGGAGATCCAGATCAAGGCAGATACATTATACATTGATGAAGTGCTCTGCAAGCCAATGAGAGAGTCTGTTTGCATTAACAACTTTTAAAGCCATATTACTGGACAGTTCATGCTGAGATTTTTATTGACAAACTCCAAATTTATTGATTTGAATTAATGCTGTCCTCATTCTAGATGTGTGAGGCAATTAAAACAGACAGTACTTACAGCTAGGACTGTGCTCTTGAATGTCTGATGAAATCTCCCACTGGGCAGTAAAGTTCCAGAATAAGAGGGAATGTGGGAATGTGCTTTCCATGTTATCTCAGGTACAAGCAATGATATTTTTTGCCATTGAGAGGTGTAGAAGTTGTGGAAGCTAGAGCAGTTCTCTCACAAGACACTGGTAAGCTGGTCAAGTGGGAGTGTTGACTGCCAGGATTAGCTGCGGTATGTTTTTTTTCTTCTTAACATCTGCTGTTAAGAACTGGGCAGAGAGTGTGTTATTAAACTCAACAGGAACTAGGGAATGATGATGCGGTGGAATGGAGTACCTGACTGCATCTGAATCAAGATGAAGCCAAGGCTGATTTTGGGCTAATCGTTTCCTTACTCCATGTCTCAGTTTTCCTATTTGTAAAATGGGAACAAACAGATGGCCTCACTGGTAAGCTATTTGAAACTCTACAAGGGGAAGTGTTGAATGAAGAAGAGGGTCTTATTCTTACTAGAGGTGCCAACGAAGGCTGAGGAAAAAGCTCACTGCTGCTTCTGGTTCTGGTGAGGGAAAACAAAAAAACGGCAAGAATAAGTGATACTGGAGATATAAGAGGCTGGTTGCCAAGTCCAACACTTTAATCCAGGGCATAGTAAAATTGTCCTTTGCATACGATGGTATCTCCCTTTCAGAGGGATGCTGACAAGATTCAGTTCTCCTATTAATGCCCTCCAAAGGATTTGTTCATCATTTGCAGATGTAACTCCTTGTGGCTTTACTCCAGTGGATAGGTGATGACAAAATAGTTAAGCTCTGAGTCAATCAGATTTTTAAATTTCTTGTAAATATTGTGCAACAGCTGCTTCTCTTCACTGGTCTCCCGTCGGGATGTGTAAATCCTGACCTGTGAGCATGAATGGTGGTCATGTCTCTCAGATATGTGCAGCAGTCTCAGCCCATTAAAGCTTGTGGCAAAAGTAAGCCTTTGTTGCTACTGAAGAATATGGAGAAGCCAAATTCTTAGAATAAAATCCTAAAATTTACTTACAGTTTTCACTCTGAACTGAGTGAAAATTACGACTCATCTTCTGCCAAAGAATTTTTGGGAAGAGGAAAGTTCCTTTTACCCTCAAGATTGACACATTCTTGGAATATGCATGGCTCTGGATCTAATACATTTACAATTCAGCAAGCAAAATAGTATGACAGTATGGTTTACACCAGCTGCATTTGTGGAGTGGCCACATACAATACAACATCCCTTTTTGGCGAGATGTGTTTATATCTTTTGTTTAATGAGATTCAACTGTCATGCTTCAATTTAAGCATAGATATGAGTACGAGGACTGAGTGGAACAGACAATCCCTAGCTTAATATAGGAGGTGACAGAGGGAACCCATGGACTAGCATAGATTTGTGGAATGGTTGGTGCTGGTAATTAAATTTACATAGTATTCTGTAATATTCCTACTTATGGATTAGTAGGTTGGAAAGACCCATTTCTAAGTGGTTCTCAGGATTCTTAAAATGCTAAAACATTATATAGGGAAGGTAGTTATGCTAACATTTCCTTCTCCAACCTTACTGCGGGATTATAGGGACCTCAGCATTTCTCTGGATATGGAAGAGAGGAAGGTAGATAATGGGAGTTTTGAAGCATCGAGTCTTACCTTTATTGTAGTCAAAAAGCATTTCCTTTCTGCACGATTCTGTAGCAACCTCTCCACAAAAGTAACACTAAGAAATGCCCAGACTTTCAGAAAAAACAATCTCCTGCATGATAAGATAAGCTGTAGCAGCTCATCATCCAGCAGCTCATTGTCATTGTTTACTTCAAGGGTTAATTTCTTCAAAAAGAAAGAACGCAGTCAGTTCTATGAAACAAGGCTTGCACTAGCTAAACTTCAAAGTGTTTCCCAATTTTACCAACAGAAGTGATTGACAGCAGATCAGCTGTGTATCTTGACATTAGCAGAGAACCTTTTTTTTTGTTACGACAAAAATATATGCAGTGGTAATTTCCATTCTCCCGTAACGATGAGCTTCCCATGTACGTTATATACCATCCTAAGAGACAGACAACTTCCAGTGGGTGCTATACCCACAACTCATGCCATGGTACTATTTTGCATACCAGAAGTAATTCAAGATTAAAAGTACATCAAAAAACAATTTCTAGAAAGCTTTACTGATCTGTGGTGTCTATTGCAAACTGCAATGCATTAGGCCTTAGAGAAATCTGTCAGTAACCATCAGTTATGAGGCCACGTGCTTCTCTCAGGCACACACAAACTTGATGCTCATTTATATGGGTCAGGTGTTGAATACCTTTCATGATACATCCTTGGTGATACCAAAATGCTTTGACTGAAAAGCTTTCCTACAAAAATAACGCTTTCCTGCCTGAAGGTTCCTTTTGCTCACAGCTGGCTTTACAACCACCAGTATTTTTTGAGTGTTTTAGCATCTTGTGCTAAACACTTTCATCATGCTAAAACATGCTTGGCAACCTGACATAAGTGACATTTGTGAAGAACAGCATAACGGACATTGTAACAAGAACAATCACTTGAAAGGGACTGTATAGCTGGTACACTGGAATGGCTAACTCCTAGGGTTATGTAGAATGCCTATAAAATTACTTTGCTTAGCTTTGTGCAGCGAGTTGTCGTGACTGCTTGCCTTACCTGCAGCGCATGCCAGTAGGCTGGGAGGATGTTGGTGAGAGTAGGTCTCATCATCCAGTCTGGGTTTCTGAAATAGCAGCTCCGTAAACTGATGCTCCTAACTGGTATCTCCACTAGCAGGATCCTGGCTAGATGGTCATGTTTCATGACTCTTTCAAAGTAGAAGTTCACATTCAATTTTGAGGCTCTTTTGGCCAAGTTGGCCCATGACATTCCCTGGACCACTTGCCCATGGGGGTCATGGATATGACATTTGATATTCAAGGTGCACAGGGAATGAGCACTGTTCTTACAGAGATTGTCCAGCAGTTCATCAGAAACACAGTTATAATTGAAAGTCAGGATAACCAGGCTGTGGAACTTGGACACAGTATGGTGGAACAAGGTGCTGCTGTAGACAGGAAGATGGAGACTGAAGAAATCCTCAATGTTTATTTCGGATATAAAGCTTTTATTAGTCAGGTAGCTCAGAGAATTCAGAAGCTCACAGCCTTCTTCCAAGGTTACTCTTGCTCCTTTTAAGTTGAGATAATTAAGCTGTTTGCTCATTCTTTTCAGAAAGGTACCTAAGTTCTTGATAAACTGAGCCCTGACTATGTTTTTCCAGACCAAGCGATCTAATTCCAGGTGCTTGATGCTCAAGGATATCAGGCGACAGTTACATTTACCCAACTGTGAGAAAAGGCTTCTCATAGACACTTGAAATTTTCGGGTAAAGACAGTACTGTTAGGATGCAATAGCTTGATTTTGAGGTGTTCCAAATACTTGCCAAATTTCTTGACGTACCATAGTGCAGTTTCATATTCAAATGCATGTGCCCTTGATGGTTGGCCATTGAATGTGATGGTTCTGGTTCTCCAGAGGGATCCTGAGTACATGGCTTGATTCCATTTTTTACAGACCAATGCAGCTTGAGATCTGTCCTTGTCATCTAACCAATAGAAGACATGCCTCAGACAGACATCAGGTAAATTAGCCCAGGAGCTCTGCTTAAGGTCACTGTCATCCTCCATTGAGGAAACACTTCTTGACAACTCTTCTGAGTGCAGAACAAAACCTAGATGAATCAGTTTGCTAGCTAAATGGCTTGTAATCCCCACAGGATATGCCTGTAAAGCAAATAGCTAAAGGTTGCCTTTTTTGCATCCAGTAGCGATAGTCCTTTTTTTGCCTCTGTACTCAAGTTGTCAGGATCCAAGTTCTTACGTCTAAACTGTGGTCTAACCTAAATCAAAAGAGAAAAACAAACAATGAATAAAAAACAACCACAGTAAGATAAGAGCACAGGACATCATTGAACATTTTGGCTTTTAGTCTGGCTAAACAAGGAAACGGTATAATAGAGCAGTTGTTGCAATTGATAATGGCCTGGGGCCTTGTATGGGAACTGCTGAATCACGGCCTGAACCTCTGATTGATCACCTGAGGCAAGCAATGAGTCAGCCCTGGGAGCACAGCTGAAGGCAATTCAATTCACCTGTGCTGCTGGACGGGGGTGGAGCCTGGCTGCACTTCCCCTAGACCTGTTGAAGAGCTGGCTGCCAGTGGGGAAGGATCTCTTTCTGGAAATCCCTCCTTTGGAATTTTACAGCCTGGGACACAGGTAAGCACTCTATCTGTTTTCTTTTGGTGTAATAACCTGCTTAGTCAAAGTCTCTGATACGTTTCATAATTATAACATCTGTATATTCATTGATTATAAAGGCCTGATACCTAGCGTTCTGGGCTATACAGAGATGAACAGTGATCTGTGCAAAAGCAATGCAAATGACCATTCTTAGATCTTCAGAGTATTTGTCAAGAAAACCTGAGGTAGTACCCTGCTGTAGATGGAGGTACAATCCCTGTTGAGAGTAATGAGCACTATAAGCTGTTCTATCTCTTTGCAAGATGTTTAGCCATTTTCCTCCAGTGGATAGGAAGGAGACTGAACAGGAGATCAGGTGTAACAGTAAAACACAGAAGAAAGTAACCACATTGCAAGAAATTACCAGTTCAACTCTCAAGGCTAGGCTCTTAGTATTCAGCTGCCTGAGCACCTTTCCAGATTTGATAGTTTCCCACCTGTGTTCATGATTTACTTTCTGTACCTCCTCCTGCCCCTTCCTCTTCCAAGTTCAGTCATTGCTATGAAACCAAGAGGTATTCTTTGTGATGTCACAACTGAATTTATGCTAGGGCAAACAAAACTGACTTGAACCAAGTTAACTGGGCTGAGGTGAAGACACTGGAAAAGAAAGATTTGCTTGGTCATCTCAGGAACAGAAAAATACAAGCCATAATCTACAGACATAGGTGGAAGCTATATGTTTGTTATTAGCACTTTTCACCACCTGGATAAATTGGATCAAGCAACTGACCAGTAAAGATCCAAATAGGGAAACAATGCATTCCTATTTCTTCACTTATGATTTGCAAACTTTAGCTGTGAAATGCAAATTACCTTCCATGTATCTGCTAGATGCTTGCTTTCATAAGATCTTTTATACAGATCAGGGTATCAGTTGTCTCTGCCAACAGCCATACACGGGGAAAACTTGTATTTTGTTAGTACTTCTGCAGTGAGGCAAAAACGCAGAATGCAGGTACTTCCTATCTCTACAGTGCGCATATTACCATGTCCGCTTGGCAAACCACTGCTTAGCTCTTGAGAATTTAAAAAAAAAAAAACAAAAAAAAACACCAAACAAACAAAAAAACAAAACCACAACAGCTGGGGATACTGATCTATATGATCTACTCCAAAATCAAGGCTTAGTTGCTAGCATGACCAAAAGACAAAACAACTAAAAATTAGGTGATGCCAGTCTTTAAACAGTCTCTTTCCTCCTTTGTATGAGAAATTTCCTTGTTGTAGTGGAAATGCTAAGTCAAGTTTGTAGAACACTGAAGCAGTGATGGAGCAGCTGGTGTGAAGGCAAGGCTAGCCCAGGGAAGCTCAGCTGCATGCAATGTACCTGAGTGACTAGAAGGGCTGGAGCCAGCATTCCACCCCTTCTCAGACTTCATTTAATGGTTGGCAGTGGAGGTGAGGGTATCTTGCTGGAGATCCCTGCTTACCTGAGGCCCTCCAAAGGTATGCAGCTTTTTACCTTTGTTCCTGCAAAAGCTGCATTTCATTAACAGGCCTATAAGGTCAGGCTGGCTGCCCAAATCAACTTTGCCTTGCTGCTTCCCTTTTGGATTGGGACTGTTCTGTCATACGTTATTTCTGCATTAGAAATTAGAAACCACCCTCCGTTCTGTTAGCACCATGTCTATTCCTAGTTTCTTTCCCTCTCGGTACAAAAATTCTAGCTGTCAGCAATGATCCTTAAATAAGTCATGGGGCTGTAATTACTACCTCGCTTTCATTGTTATTTAGGACTCACAACACTCCTCACCCCACAAAGAGTTTTGTTTTTAGCATTTTTTTAACTACCTTGAAACCTTTCCTACACGAATGCAGGTTGGGGGCAAGGGGATGTACAGTGGCACATAGTTAAGATTTGTTGTGCTTCTTCCTATCTGGAATCCTTAAAGTGAATTGGCAGGGGAAAAAAAAAAAAAGCATATGTGACTGTAATATATAGAAATACATTTCTATTAATAAGGAATTATTTACTGAGATGCATTTGCTCCTATGGTAGCACATGAATGCAAAAGGGTATAAATGCCATTGTGTAGAACTTACCAAACAACAACAACAAAAGCAAAAAAACCCAACAACAAAAAAAAAGTAGTGCTTTAGAAGTCATGAAAAGTATGATTACAAATCAATGGTGGGACTCACAAAGCACTGTCAATTGGCAGACAGCTCTAGGATAAGGGTAAATTGTGTGTGTGTAGCAGTCAGCTGCTGAGCTTGAAGGGAGAAAAACATTCTGGGGTGGAAAGAGGGAACAGAAGCTGCCAAGAGCACTTCTTCAGGCTTCAGGTAAAGTACTCACCAAGAGCAATTTTTCAGGTAAAAGTGTTTTTACTAACACTCTTTATAAACGCTCTACACACAATCTTATCTTTGTTAAGATGAAAAAAGACCTCAAATATCACAAAGCACAACCCCCCCCTTCCCACTAACCCCATCTCTTGGTGCCACATCTCCACAGTTCTGGAACGCCTCCAAAGACGATGACTCCACCACTTCCCAGGAAGGCTGTTTCAACACCTGGCCACTCTTTCTGAGAAGACATTTCTCTTAATATCCAAGCTGTCTTGTTTTCTTTTAGGGTAGGATTGTAAGGAATGCAGACCACTTTCTCAGCACTTTGGTTTTTTTATCTGCCTGATTTGCTGAAGGACAGTCCAAATGGTTTCTGGTCCAGCACTGTGCCATCTATCTACATCTCTATCTCCTCCAGCTGCAGAAGACAGTGGGTGGTGTCATCTGAAGTCTGGAATCATCAATGTATCAGCGGAAAGCAGTAATTAAAAAGCTTTCCTAGGCCTCTGGCACCTAATGGGTTATCAGAAACAAGAATTATGTGGCCACCGACCACTGCACAGCACCTGCAGCTTCGTTGCAGAGATGCTCCCGTTGCTTGCTGGGACGTATCATCGCTTATGCCCTTTTCACATCATTCTCCGTTCCCGCATCTACTCGCGCTCGTCGCGGCAGGCGACACCGCCGCGCAGCACCATCGCCCCGACCCCACCGGGCGCGGTCACCTCACAGTCTAACGGCCGCTGCGCGAGCGAGAGGCGGCAGCCAATGGGGAAAGCGGGAAGCGCCGCCGCCAATCAGAGAGCAGGCGGGGCTGGATTTGAACGCGGCGGCCGAGACGGTTGTCGGCCGGCAGCAGTCTGTCCCCTCTCGGTCTCCTGCCTGCGTAAGTACAAACCCAACGCAAGCGATGGGCAGTTGTCCGGTTGCGGCCCGTGCTTCCTGCCGTAAGAGGAGACTTTGTCTCCTCCAGTCTTAGTATCTATCGCCTTTACTACCCTTCTTGTTGCGGTTTCAGCCGTGCGGTGCGGAAGCTCGCGGGGCAGGAGTGGCTCTGCGGGTGCGGCCACGGCTGAGAGCGACCAGCGGGGATAAACAGTGCTTGACAGCATCGATTAACCAACAGTAGACGTCATCTTATCACAAAGAAGCGGGATCAGGGCGTTGGACTCCATGATCTCTGGAGGTCCCTTCCAACCCCTACAATTCTGTGATGGCTCGGTGCTCTCGCCGTATTGATATATCTCGGGTAGTTGGTTAACTTCTCAATTACAAGCCTTTCCTTGCTGCTACGTGCAAAAATGCACTGAAGGCATTAATACCCTGAATGTTTTTTGATTTAGAAGATTTCATTAAAAGATTTCTTGCATTTTGAGATAAATTAGAACACTTCTGAGAGGTGGGGTCTATTTAAGAAATGAAATTTAATAAGGGATATATGGAGGGTTTTGTAATATGTAACAATGGCAGAAGTCTCCTGGTGTTTTGTTTTTTTTTTTTTTTTATCCACTGTATGTCTAATTCATAATTAATTATTGGTAAAATTCACTCTTAATTCAGGTTACTAAAATACATTTGCATTTCAGTTGCTTTTCAGAAGTAATAGCAGTATATTTTGCAAATGAGCTAGTGAAAATTAAGAATTCAGAATACATACTTAACATTTTTATAGATTGTTATAAGCAATGGGCATTTTAGCCCTTCTCGCTTTTCTTTTGTCACTAGCAGGCATGTCCACTTTTGGACTTGTCTATGTACAGTTATAACAGTGACTAAAGTGTAAGCTTTCAGGCAGGAGCAAACTTGCCTGGGAGTAGAAAGGTGATTTAATGAAGCCACAAATTTTATGTTAGACCGTGGTTTAACTTGCAGTTGAAGTCTATCCTACTTTACAAGATTGAGTTTCACAGTTTACCAGGACTGATGTCCTGAAAACCAAACAAATAAGACTTGCTCACAGATATACATAAATAGCTGTAAAAATTCATGTTTTCTTCCCTTCAAGCTCAGAAGTAAAATGCTTGCTTGGCTCTACTTTTGTTGTTTTACGTAAATGTAGCTAAACATATTATAGAACAGTTCCATTTCTCCTTTTCCACACTGGTGCACCTTGCTCTAATTTCTCTTATTCTCATTATTTTAAAAATAAGGTTGATGAAGAACAGGAACAAGATGGCATCTATGCTTCAAAATATCAGAGCAACAATGGACTGGCAGAGACACCTGCTTTTAGCTGACTTTGAGAATGAGAGCCCTGTACCAGACAAATACAAGAGAAAAACTTCTTTCAGTTCTCTTAATACTATCGGCATGTCTCTAAGAAAGCGAATACCGTTAAAGCAAGTAGAGCTGAATTTCCATGAGACACCACTTTGGGAAAACATGGAAGCAAGAAAGAAAAGCCAAGTGCTCCAAAGTATTACAAAAACAGCAAGAAATGCTTTTGGAACAGTGTCACAGGTACTTGTCTTTGCAGCAACATGTAGGTAATGTCTTTTTGCTTCAATTTCAGTAGTAAGATTGTTGGGCTTTCATGTCCTCCTTAGATTTATCCTCTCTACTGCACAACGTAGTGGTTGGCTCTGGAACATAAAAGCTATTGGAGGGTGTCCAAAGGAAGGCTATAAGGATGGTGAAGGGTCTAGAAAGGAAGACATATGAGGTCACTTAAGTTTGTTCAGCATAGAGGAGGGGAGGCCTCATGGCAGCCTACAGCTCCCTCACCAAAGAGCAGAGGGTCTCTGCTGAGTTCTGCTCTCTGATGACAGGACCTGAAGGAACGTCATGGAGCTGCATTGGGGATGGTCAAGTGGGGACTGGGGAAAGATTCTGCACCAGAGGGTGATGGGAATGGAAGAGGATCCCCAGGGAGTGGTCTCAGCCCCTTACTGCTGGAGCTCAAGAAGCATTTGCACAGTGCTCTCAGACATAGGATTTCAGTTTTGGGTGGCCCTGTTTGTAGACAGGGGTTTGACCTGACTATCCTTATGGGTCCCTCTCAGGGGGCCCTCTCAGCTCAGGATAGCTTATAAGTATATGAACTAGTTGATTTTTATTATCCCTGCTAGGTAGCTCTTGCCTTTTTATTATCTGGATAAATTACGGCTATGACAGAACAAGAAAGAAAGTGAAAAGTAGGAATATGGGAAGTAGTTCAAGCAAAACCTTTTCCCTTACTGCATTTCATAATGTAGGACAGAGCAGCCCACACAAGGAAGAATGTGGGTAGGCTGCCACTGCTTGCAAATAATTGTTTCTGAGAAAGGTGTAGCTTTATATATTATATATATTTAATCATTCTTGTACCCGCACTGTTTATTAGGATGTTCTTCCAAATTGTCAACACAATTTGGACTCATAAAATTCAGTTGGTAGTATGTTAGCAAAGTTTGAAGTTTGTATTGTTCTAACCGTTGGCGGCAGACTTTAAGTTAATCAGCATATATTAAGGAGCCTGGCTCTTTCTTGCACAAAATCAGCAGGTGCTTTTCTTCTAAAGCATACAGAAATCCTTGGCAAGTTTCAAGGATTCGGGGAGCAAATCATTCAACCCAAATGGGTACACAAAAAAAGCATTCATGCTAGACTAAACCTAATATGAGAAAGAGAGCTAGGGATTCGGTTCAGAGAGGCTTCCTCATCTTTCTGGTTCCAAACAATAGACTGATGGACTCATTTAGCTTAATATGTCTGTCTAATGCATATTTCAGAAAATACGGAAGACTTGCCAAAGGCCAATACATTCAACTGTGACCTTTCCAGCTGAAGACACCGGCAGCAGCTCCGCAACCAGTTTTTCCAAGAAAAGAAGAACAGTACAAACACCTTGCCTTAGTATAAACAGTGTTACTTCAGCAGCTAGTTCTACATGCACTCCAAGGTCCAGCAGAAGATGCTTGCTTTGGCCAACAAGGTTATCAGAACATACAAAATTGACGGGTTTCCCATCTTGGCGTGGTGAAGATGCTGTCCCACTCGAGATCAAGGAGAGCATCAACAGCACTGAAGAGCCTCTGTTCATCACCTACTCCTGCCAGCAGAAGAATGTAAGCTGCATTCTTTTGTAAACCTTATTGTTCTTTTTTTAGTTATTGTTGCTATGACTAAAGTATTTCTTAAGAATAAAGGCAAGATGAAAGTTGTTAACCTATTCCACTGAGACAACATACTACTAGAAGATTTAAATTATTATTTACATGTCCCACAGTCAGAAATAGACCATAACAAACAGCATCCGATTCAAAATCACAGAAGAAATCATAGAATGGCACAGGTGATCTTAAAGATCATTTAATTCCAACCCCCTGCCCTGCGCTGTGGGCAGGGTTGCCACACGCTTAATCAGACTGCCCAGTGCCCCATATAACCTGGCCTTGAGCCCCTGTAGGGGGTGGGGTATCCACAACTACTCCAGACAACCTGTTCCAGTGCCTCATCACCTTTTGAGTAAAAAATTTCCTACTAAGAGAGGGAACACTTAAATTAAAACCATTCCCCCTTCTTTTATCACTGTCTGCCCATGTAAAAAGCCTGCCTCCCTCCTGTCTTTAAGCTTCCCTGAAATACTCCAGTACTGAAATGAGGTGTCCTCAGAGCCTTCACATCTCCAGACTGAACAAGCCCAGATCCTTCGCTTTTCTTCATTGCTGAGGTGTTTTAGCCCTCTGAGTATCTTTGTGGCCTCCTCTGGACCTGTTCCAACAACTCAACATACTTTTTGTGTTGAGGGCTCCAAGCCAGGATGCTGTACTCCAGCTGGGGTCTTACAAGGGCAGTGTAGAGGGGAACAATCACCTCCCTTGCCCTCCTGGCCATCCCTCTTTTGATGCACCCTAGGAAACAGTTGACCTTCTGGGCTGCTAGCGCATGCTGTTAGTTCATGTTGAGCTTTTTACCCCTGAAAGTACCAGATTACTTCTCTTCAGGAGTGCTCTCAGTGAGTTCTTTTCTCAGTCTATACACATCCCTAATTCAAGTGCAGCACCTTGCATGTAGCTTTATTGAATCCTATGTGGGCTCACATCTCAAGATCATGCAGGCCCTTCTGGGCTCTTCCTTCTGATGTATCAGTTTCATCACTCAATTTCGTGTTATTAGCCAATTTGCTGAAGGTACACTCAATCCTACAATTCAGATAACTGACAAAAATGTTGAAGACCACTGATACTAAAATGGAATCTTTGGGGTTGCCGCTTGTCACTGACATCCACCTGGATTTAGAGCCAATGACCACAACTCACTGTGACCATCCAACCAATTCCTTATCCACTGAATAGGCTTGGGTATTGTCTCCTGTTCAGTCTGTTCATTTTAATCTTTAGTAATGACAATTCTGCCTCCAGAGAGGAGTTTGACGGTGAGTTGGAACTGGTCTCTTCAGGGATTCACCAACTGAAGTATCTCTTCTGGGCCCCTGATAATGATATTGTATAAGGGGAGATGTAAATACTGTTAAGTATCCTTCATCTCAACTCTCTCATTTGTAACTGAAGATAATGTCAAACAGGTGAAGTAGTTGTTCAATTACCTTGACTAGACCTGCATGTATCTATGAGAAAATCTGCTGTTTGGACAGCGAAAGATACATTAATTCTAACTTATTTAAAACTTCAGTGTGTGGAACCAAAAGGTTCTTCCCTCATATTCAGTGTGGCTTCTATAGCACATTGTTGCACAGTTATGAAGCTTAAGCTTTATATTGAGGATTAGTTAAATTTTGTGACTTTGCAATGAGCCATAAGTTAGGCTTCTATGTAAACAATTTTTCTCATCCCATATGAGAAAATGACTGGTACTATTGTCTTTGTCACGTGACCTTAGTTCTTACTGATTACTAAAATTATGAAGCACAGCAGAAAAAACTATTGCCCCAAACAGTCTAATTTTAGTCTTTTTATCTCTAGCATTGTCTTGGCAGTTAATACAATGACAAAAACTGTAGTTGATGCATGCATCGTTAGCATTTTTAAACACAATAATTGTACTTCAGTGAATGGGGAGCAGTAGTTCTTTGTTCTATGTTTCTGAACATCACTTTTAGTGTCAACTTATTGAACCATTACTAGGTTTGCTATGAGAATGTTACAAAGGCCTCACCTACCTTCTCTGTGATCTGCACTGTGATATTAACACAATGTCCAATACTAAAAGGAGGTTATAATCAGGAGGGAGAAAGACTTCTAACATGGTCTGATAGTGACAGGACAAGGGGGGAACAATTTTAAACTAAAAGAGGAGAGGTTTAGATATTTGGGGGAAGTTTTCACGGAGAAGGTGATGAGACATTGCAACAGGTTGCCCAGAAAAGGTGTGGATGTTCCACAAGGTATAAAAGGCCAGGTTGGATTGAACTCTGGGCAACCTAATCTAGCGCCTGATTTTGTAGCTGGCAACCCTGCCATGGTGTGGGAGTTGGAACTGCATTGTCTTTGAGGTCTCTTTCAGCCCAAGCCATTATATCATTAATACCATCATCTATTAGCATTTGAAGTATTCCTTTTGTTTAAAGGGGAAACTATACTGTGTATAACAGTTACTATTCTTGTAACAAGTTGTAGCAACATCATTTCTGTAACAGTTAAAAAAAAAAAAAAAAAAAAAAGAAAATTAAAAAAAAAGAAAATTAAAAAAAAAAAAAAAAAGCTCTCCCCTACCTGTGCTGGATTGAGGCTTTAAACAGTGATGTGTGCTGCTTTCACTGAGCAATTCATTCCAGTTTTCCTGCATAGATAGATGCATACAGTGCGCTGTCACTGGCTGGTTTGTAGGTTCTGCATTTGGAATACCTGTAGAATAAACTTTGCTTTCTGTTCTGGTATATAATTTGCAAGAATTTTAGCATCGTAGCTCCTGCTTACCTTTACCATGATGAATCAAGATTTGATCTCAAACTGTCAACGGTTGCTATCTCCATGCATTCAAATGTATCTGTTTTAAATAATTAGTTTATATTGCAAAAAATGCTCCTGTTGGTAGTCAAAATGTTGCCATACTTAATCAGTATACTGCTGTTTATGCTCAATGAAGGTTTAAGATTTTTCCAGCAATGCATGTGAATAACCAATCATATAACCTTGATGACTTTATGCTGCTAATAGCAGTCTTGTTCTTCTGCAGGCACCATGCAATATCAAACTACTGCTATTCTAATGGCATGAAGTTTGCAGCCTGTGCATCAATCTTGGGAATCACAGAATTGTAGGGGTTGGAAGGGACCTCCAGAGATCATCGAGTCCAACCCCCCTGCCAAAGCAGTTCCCTACAGCAGGTCGCACAGGTCGGCATCCAGGCAGGTCTTGAACATCTCCAGAGGAGACTCCACCACCTCCCTGGGCAGCCTGTTCCAGTGCTCCGTCACCCTCACTGTAAAGAAGTTCTTGCGCATGTTTGTGCGGAACTTCCTATGCTGCAGTTTCCAGCCGTTTCCCCTTGTCCTTGGAACTTCCTCAGGCTGTCAGAAGACAAGGAAAGAAACTCCGTTCAGCAACTGGTGCCTGGACAGAGATGGCTATAAACACCGTTAGTTTATGAATATATATATAAAGGAAAACTTCATTTGAGATATGAGACTATACCTTATACTCTGCATAGAACTGTGTGCTTTAAAAAACAATTATATTTTATAATATTTTTGGCAGAGCAGCCTAAAACTACTCTTCCCTTGCTTTTGCTGTTCAAGTCAACTAGAGAAATAAATCTGAACCACAGTGTACTACCTATCTTCTGCTGAGACAATGGACTATCTTCAATGGGGCTTTCACAACTTTCATAAAGCACTAAGTAGGAATGGTCAAAGCAAGGGCAGAGATCTACAAATGATGATCATAGGAAAGAGTAATATTCAGATCCTCCTATGTATTATGAAAGCACTGATCTGTTATTTTCTAAGCTTAACAATTTATCTTATTTTTTTTAATACTAACAAATCAAAACCTAACTTTACACGTTAAAAAATATTTTACAGTTTAAAATGTTAACTATAATGCTTAAATGATTGCTATTTGAGTTTTGACCCCAACTGCCATTCCAAGTCAGCAGGTTTCTGTACTCATTTCAAAGTCACAACAGTGGAGCCATGTTAGGACTCCAACTCACAGCCCAAGGATTGCTGTTAAGTAAGTGAGCCCAAGTAGTTCTACCCTAAATCATAGCAACTTAATTTTTTGCTCCTATTTTAAATACCATAATGGCAGCAGAGTTAAACATTGCTTTTGTACAACACCATCTGTCATTTAGTTATATGCAGAAATTGCTTATCAGTTAATATACATAAGTTGCTCTGAAAGTAATGCCTTATATTTATTTCCATAAATATTCAGCAAGTGCTGATGAATGTCAGTGGGTGCCATTTTTTTTCCCCACACAGAGGAATTCAGTTCCTCACCTTTGCTTCATACAGATCCTATTTTGTCAGACTGCCACTCTCTGTTGCATGACAAGAAAATGTAACAGAATAATTGTTTTAAATCACTAAGAAGATTCAACCTGTATTGCCATGCTACCAACATATGTTTCTGATGTTGCAGGCCAACATCATAAATGAGAGGCATTCATTTTGGAGCAACGCTCTTATTATAACTACTGTTATTTGCTGATACAATGCAGGCATTCTGTTCAGTGAAGTATACTAGGCATTTGACACGTCTTTCAAACTTAAGCAAAGATTTCTTAAGCTTCTAGAATTCAACAGCTATTTCTACAGTAGCAGTTTTGTGCAAGTTTTGGCATTTACTTTCTACTCTAAGCTGAACCTTCAAACAAAAGACAGATTCAGAGACCTTTTCCGTACAGTGACTTTTAAGATGCACATGTAATTTGGTAAAACTGGAACCGCTAGAATGTTAATGATATTAAGTATAAATGTAGGTAACAGTCATGTTCGATTCTGATTAAAGTACTGATTTTTAAACTTGTTTCTGATTTCCTTTTTACCTGTTAAACTAATTTATTAAATAATGAAATAATTAGCAAGCTCTGGAAGCACGAAGACAACCCAGCCTTCAGATGACTGGTGAGAATGTTATTTTTCTTTTTTTTTTTTTTTTTTTTTTTTTAAACAAACTGAACCAACTAAACAAAAAACCCACTGCCTTTGTATATGGAACAGTAGTTTAAGTTAGTCTTTGTATGTAGTGAGACTGCTTCTATAAAATTTTATAAAAAAGGATGGTGTCTCATTACTGAAGTATCTTCTCATATTACTTTTGAAAAATGAGGAGGGTTGGAGTTCACAGGTTGACTTCTATTCACAAATTGAAGTTTTACGCCAGATGGTCACCCATATTAAAAGCTTGTATACTGTTTCTACTTGTTACTACAACATGCAAACGATGATCTAAGACTTCCAATACCATTGATAAGAAGAGTCTGGAACACTGCTTGCTTAAAGGCAAGGAAGGTTTTATTTAAGTGATTAATATAAGATTTTAAAAACCATCTCACATCAAAATCTATACGAGTTGTAGAAATCTTACTCCTTATTTCATATTAAGAAATGCATTATTGTACATTTTTGAATCTTTACAAGGCAGTCATAAGAAATATAAACATTTGTTACCAGATAGAACCTTCTCACTGACCAACAACATTTAAAAGTTTACACTCAATAAAACTATAGACTGAAAGAACATGTACAATTTCAAGTTTACTTACAGGAATTAAGTTCTAAGTGGACTGCCCTTTCCCCTCCCCAGCAAATAGAAAAATATATTAGGGAGACAGCTTGGGGTTCTGTGAGAGAACTGCCATTTTGGCCTCTACCCCAGAGGTCCCAGAATTGCTAACCCTTAGAGGCTCCAATTTTTAATTTACACAGTAATCTCTATTAACTCATATCTCAGCAGTAAACCTGTTTCTTTTTCTCTTTCCCCCTCTCTTCCTCCACTTGAGTTCTATACAACCTTATCAATTAATGATCTGCCAAAATTTTTCTCATGCTCCTCTATCCTCTGAACAGTGCTATCCAATTTTAAAGGTAGCTTATTGGGCTAAATAAAAATAGAAAAATTTTTATCCCCTTACCTTCGGCTTAATCTGAAAGGAGGGAGAGAGGGAATACAACACCTTACTTTGATTCCAGAGTCCACGGCACAGGATTCTATCTGCTCCAGGACATCTCCTATTTTTGAAGAAAAAGGGCTCTCTTCATCCAGAAAGGAGTGTGATTACCTTTTTTTCTTTTTTTTTTTAAAAAAAGGAATTTAGGATCATAAACAGAAACTTAAAGTTACAACTGAATGATTAAATAGTATTGAAGTCAAATTACCTTGTTAAAATCACAATTTCTACCGAAGCGATGAACATAGATCATAAAGAATCACTGCTCTCACAGAAGCTGAGGAAGAAAGCTGGAAATATTTGCGCTTAGGGAATTCTATCTTGTACCCAACTCCAGATGTAAATGAGAAGTGCCACTTTCTCCCCTGCATGACTGAAATGAACAGTTCAATGCAGATATCTTGACTTAAGTTTTTGTATTTCAAGCTGAAACCAGAACAAATTATGAAACTGCACCATATAATCTCTTCTTCTTTCCGCTATTAAGCCAACAAGCTTATTAAGAAAGGGTCCACATTGGAATTGTCTAGTACTTTTATAACATACTCACTATCTGTAGCTTACAGGCAAAAGGAGGAAAAATGTGGGAAATCCTATCTGTTCAGTAAAAATTACTGCAGCAGTTACAAATTATAAAAGCTGAAAATACCTTTGGTTTTCTGGTATAATTAAGAATGCTTTCAAATGAAGTTTTTAACACATTTAGGACAGGAAGCAATATAAAAGGAGAATGAATTTCATTTTTCCCTTCTGAATTTATACTGTGAAATACATGATAATTCTACAGCCTTAACTATTGGGGATTAACTTAAATACACATATTAACAGTGCTATGATATTGCAATGTGTAAAATACACAACGTGTTCACTAACAAAAGCAAACAGAGGCTATTTTGCAAAATGGTGGAGCTTCAAGATAAATGTCACTGTTCTTATTTTAATTGTAGATGAAAGTATCAAGTTTATTTCTCTGTGGTTTCCTGATAGCTGCACTTCTACATAATGAGTAAAAAGTTTTAATTTTGTTAAGAAATTATTTCCCTATGTAGTAGAGAAGTGATATGTAAGAATGAAAGGCTATTTTCATCCAAACAAATCAAAATAGCAATTCTCACAAATCCCCAAGGAATGAGAGGAATGATCAATACCATGTCAATTTTACACTTGACAAAATTTTTATGCAGAATAGATATAAATCATGTCACAAAACTAAATAGGTGTAATTTGTCAAACAAGAACCTGTTCCAAGTGCACTAGCGAATACAAGTATTTTTTTAATTGAATAAACACAGCCATTGTTTAAAAACAAATTACAATTGTGCTGTGAAAGCAGAAACAAAGCATCACTTAAGGTTGCTTTCAGTAGTTACACAAAGATGCCACAGTGTAAATGTGTGTTTTCACAATATCTCAAATCTTGATAAGTCTAAAATGGCCACTGATTACAGTTGTTTTTAGTTTTTGTTTAATACAGTAATTTAAAACTGGATATACATCAACAATTCAAAGAAGTGCGCGGCTCACTTTGCACTGACTTGCACTACCACTTCAGCATTCACTGAAATAACAGCTTTGTGTTTCACAGTTTCACTTCTGCTTCTTCTGTTTGGCAGATCAAGTGTAAGTGCTTCTCTGTAATATACAGCTTCTCTGTCTGTTTCTCTTCTGTGGAGAGGCTTCAAAACTTCCACAGACTGTAAGGTTAAAGAAAGTATTGACTGTGCAGAGAATGCAGCAGTGAGGAACAGTAGAAAACTGAAAGACTATAAGATCATGCTCGACCTCAGTGAATGGCCTGCTCAGGAGGCCTGATTATGCCTCCATGATAACAGAAGTGAAACTGTAATCTCAATAGAAAATGAATGCCTGTGAACAGCCACGTGGTTTTATGTAGACAAAGTATAAAACTAAAGCACTGACTAGAAACAAATGTTCCAGGAGAAAATGGGATTGAAGAAAGTATGCTGTAAAAAACTAGCAATTCATCAGGGATTGTCCCAAACATAACTGGGGAAAAAAAGGCCAAAAAAATCCCAAGTAATTGAAGTCCTTAATCATGTCCACATGAACTGCCAACTTAGCTGTGAGATGCCTAAATCACTACCACCTCTTTCATACTCTTATCTCCAACATAAAATCTGTGTCATTTTAGTGTCAGCTGGCTAGGGCTTTCAAAAGAAATGCATCTCATGTTTGTGAAGATAAGCTCCAAATAAGCATGAAGCCTTAACCTCCAAACTGATGTCTGCATCACTGTTTGTCGAAATGCTCAGATGGAGGCATGCTATCAGGCGATGAACCATTCTATCCCTGAGCATTAGTAGTGCTGGCATGATGAAATGACCATGTGAGTTCTCATAGGAAACAAAGTTAGGGAAAATATTTCCAGCTGAATTCCAGTACTACGTTTAGAGACTGAATGGTTACCACTCTAAATCAAGAATGAAGAGTAGCACTTCTTTTACTACTTCTAGCTCATAATATACTGTATATACATATATAGAACCAACACAGTGGCTAAAAAAAACCCCAAAACTGTGAGAGCCATCTGACCTTGTGTTCATATGAAGTCTTTTAACAACAGTCACAGAATCACATACAGATCTCTCTTTTGAAAAGAAATAGGTCTTTTTATGTTAGCAACTTAAATCAGAAAATGGATTTTGGCATCTCCTGGCTTATAGAGGTAGACAGCTAAAGCAGAATTAATTTTGCTAATACTAGTAGGTATAGTGATTACTATGAGGAGACATGCTACCCAGCACCCAGTGCTTAAGAAAGTAAGTTCAAATTCTGCAGTCAGTGTTGACTTTACGTCCTCTAAGCAAATGTCAAGTCTGCTCTTTGCATTCCTTCACTCTTCAATTCATTCATCTATTTAAAACCAACAACCAAGAGCATGCTCGAAATACTTATGTTCCATTGGGCTTGCTCTGGCAAGAGTCAAAACTGCCAGTCATTAAAACACAAGAAAATAGAATGTTTGTTTTCCCAGGAGGCTGCCAAAACTGCTCTGTAATATCAGTTACGTATTGGTCAGACACCACGCTACTGTGGCTAGTCTTTTCCGAGGATGTACTCTGGGCATCTTTTTTTTTTTTTTTCCTTTCTTTTTTTTTTTTTTTTTTGCTACCTGTTAAAGCAAGATATACTTAACAGAAAAGGAGCACAGATATAAACATCAGATATGCATTTTTGCTACCAGCTTTTTTTCTTTCCTAGATTAACAGCAGGAAAGAAAACTCCATCAGTACGATAAAGAAGCCTTCCCTGCTCTAACATCATCTCTGGTACCTGTGCAAGCAGTGAACTGACTGGAGGAAGATGGAGTATGCTCTCTGGTATACCTTGTGCAATCTCTTCCTAGCTGCAGAGGCTAAGAAAAGAAATGGACACAATCAGAATAAAAACACACAGTGGACCACGATAAACCACTGAAAACTACTTTAAATTTACGTCTTAAACAACTATGAAACTAGTGGGAAAACTGTAAGCCTGAAGACTGCTTCAGTTCATTTAGCTTTCGCAGCTGGCTACCTTGTCAGCAGAGATTAAAAACCCCAGGCTCCAGTAACATAAGTTAACCGTGAGCTACTAAAATCTTAACATCCTTCCTAAATTTTCAGCAAAAAATTACCCCTTCCCTTACAGGAAGCATTATGAAAAACTACTGATGTGCCAGAGATCTTTCAGGATGTTTGAAATAGGTAACTCAGAAATTTGCTAAGTGACAAGCTTAAAAAAAACAACAACAGCAATCACCACCATTTATATACTAGTTTGCTGGTCGCCTTTTAAGACAATAGCCACAAAGCTGTCCTTCAAAAAGCACACTGAAACTTTTGTGTGAACAAGGAGTTATCGGACTTACTTCTGCATTGTCATCGTAGTTTTCCACTGCATTCCTTCTTTGTTTTACATACCAATTTTGAACTCATTATCCAACAGGCTTGTTTCTGTTCCTGCTATATATTAGGAAAACCTAAAAGGGAGGTTGGGGATGACGACATCCTCCCCCTGGTGCCAAAAAACTGAGGGAGGGAAGTCAAAGAAACCAAATCTAGAAACAGCTCAAGAAATCACCTGTTGACTTCAAGCTTTCTCAGGGTCAACACTCTGATCTTAACTTTAAAAGAAAACTGTTTTTTTGCTCTAGCAATTTCACTACAGGTTTTGAAACATACATCAGTTCTATCACAAAAGTTATATTGGTGAATTTGGCACAGTGGAAATAGATGCATAATGAACTAGAAAACTGCAACTGTATTAAACTAACTACAACATTTATTTTAGAAATATTATCACTTAGGGAAAATTTCACACATTTTACTTCTAATAAGTAAAAGATCTAAGAGAAACCAGGAGAACACACATTTGGCACCTCCATTCTTTGAAGCTCAACTGTTGCAAGTTTGATTGCTATAGATTGTCTTAGCAGAGCACTTGCTGTCAAGCATGAGAAGGTAAATAATTTACTCCATTAGCATTTATTACTCTTTCATCCTGCAGATTAAAGATTTTAGTTAGAATAATGAAAAAAGTGACCACTCTGCAGATTGCAGACCCCTTAGTGAAAAGGCTCCCTTAAGGCGTCTGTCTTAGAATCTATCTCAGTCTGAAATGGTCAAAGACACCTCCTTACACACAGTTCACACATTTTACACAGTCATCAAGTTTCACAAAAGTCACAGTTTTGTACACTTGCACATCACTTTGCATACAGCAACACTAATTACTTCCAACTGTGGCAGAGATGTTTATTTCTAACATTAAGCATTTACGATTTGGTTCACAGGCAGAGTTCTATTTATTTGATGTCCAGCACCTTATACAGGATGAGTGTCTATATTAGCATCTGTTGACCAACAGTATAAGCTGAAAGGAAATGTTGGACTCAAGGCACCCAAAAATCATCTTGCTGTACAAATCCTGATGACCCATTTTTGTACCCTCACCTCTGCTTCCCTTACAAATATATCGCTTCATCAAAAGTGAATTGGCAACAGATGAAACTATTTGTGTAAACTTTCTCTGTACTAAACTAAACTAAAGTGTAAACTTTCTCTGTAACCTAAGGGGTCTACTGTTTATATTGTTTTGGGTGCAGCTAGTTAGCTAATACTACAATCCTTTTGCGTAAAAAGTCTGTAGCAGCTTTTTCTCTTATTGCACATTTCATTGTATCTGTTGTAAAAAGTAACTGAAGACTTTTTTTTTCCTGTTGCTTTAATGCTTAAGCACTTGGGATAGTTTTAGATTGTTTTAAAATTTCCCAATACGTCACAAAACTGGAAGTTCTCTGGTTGGTGTAAGAAGGCATTTTTCAGAGCAGGGAAGACTCTGAGGTACAGTTTCCCCTCTACACCTCCTAGTTTGAAGCTGCCTAAATATTACCTTTTGAGGCATGATTACAAGTTAAATGAAGGACACCCAAAATCTACAGCCTCAGGCTTCCTAGGGAACAGATTCAAATTTGTGGACTCCACCCCTAACCCAAGCAATGGAAGGCAAATGCCTATCATGATCTTTGTCTGACTCGGGCTGGCTCTGGGCACGCTCTGGTTTGGGGTTGGAAGAAGGTGGATCAGGTTGCTGTACAGACATAGTCCTGCGGAGATGGTTTCTCTTGCGCAAAAATTCAGGTTGAGAGTGGAGGCCAAAGCTGCCTTTTCTCAAGATCATCCGAGAGTTGTTCTTTTTAGGTCGTGAATGAAGACTGAACTCCAGTGAAGCCAAGTGGGCTGCATAACCCTCACTGAGGAACTGAAATATGAAGGAAAGAAAGGGAGTGACAAATTACTGCTGCCTCAACCTATAGACTCTATGAGGAGTTAAGTTTATATCTTTGGCAGCCTAGTTAGAGATATATGAAAGAATAATATTAGACTCCTCTTGCTCTTATTTTCAATGAATTCTTCAATTTTGTTGTTCAAGAATATGCTATGCATGCACTTGCAGGTACAACTTGTGACCATTCAATTTTCTTTATCATTCACTCTGCCATAAAATGCCTCCTCCGAGACCAAAACTGCTTTTTTTTTTCCTCTGACATATTCTCTGCTCTTTATTTGGTGAGTCTGTGCATGCATGTGTGTGCATGCACACATTAACACAGACGCATTTCCCTGCTACCCTGAAGACTTCCTAGTTAAGTAGCAAGAGTTACTTACTTGACATTGTGCCTGGTATTTCTTTGTCGATCGTCCAACTATGTAGATCTGGGATGGCGACAGAGCTAAGACATTGTAAACGGAAATATCCTTTGTCGAACCATATGCAGCACAGATTTTGATGTGGCACTGAAACAAATATTACTTCCAGAGTGAATACTCTGACTACCGAACAGCATGCATTACAGGAATGGAACTTATTCTGCACTGAAGCAGCAGATAAACTCACTTAACATTTCTGTAAAGCACACACAGCCAAATCTGTCTATCTCAATGACAGCAAAATTATGAATAGGTAGACAGAAAAGAACAAGTAATTTATTTATTTGTAATACCATAAGCCAAGAGGTGCATTTGGATGTTTTGTTAGCCATCTTTGCTCTTTGAAAAGTAAGAAAAGACACGAGGAATAGCAAAAATATAACAACAGTAGGATTTACTGTTCCAAAGGAAGAGAGCTTTTACTTCAAACAATGACAATTTCTAGAAAAAGGTTTCAAGGATATCAACGTGTTTCTAGTACGTACCTCTTGCATGAGATTCCTTAGAAAAATAGTCTTTTGTCGCAGTGGGTCATGAACAAGTCCATCAGAGAAGAAGATCATTCCTTGAGGGAAGTTGTGTTGAGATAACCATGAAACCACACGCTGCTTTTGCATATCTGGACGGCCAGTAATATAGATAATCAGATATCCTAGGTCCTGCCAATGTCTGTCACAAGCAACAGATAAATTATATAGGTGAAGAAAAATAAATTAATGCCCACAGGTCACATCAGTATTTCTTTGCCTGGCACAGACCCAGTCATACAAGATCTTTCAACAGGTGTGAATCAACATGCCTAAGCATCTGCACCTATAGAGAAATGATGTAATAAAATCTTCATCTTGGGAGAGATGGAGGAAAGCAAGCAACAGTCCAGTCTTATACAGTATGAGACTTATAAAAAACTTAAAAACTCACAACAAACCCAGGCAACTCTACAGGCTTGGGAGGAGTGGCTGGAAAGCTGCTGGATGAAAAGGGACCTGGGTGTACTGATGGACAGTCAGCTGAATGAGCCAGCAGTATGCAAAGAATGCCAGCAGCATCCTGGCTTGTATCGGGAATGGTGTGGTGAGCAGGACTAGGGCAGTAATCCTGCCCCTGTACTCGGCACTGGTAAGGCCTCACCTCAAGTACTGCATTCAGTTTTGGGCACCTCTATACAGAAGGGACATGGAGGTGCAAGTCAAACGGAGGGCAACAAGACAGGTGAAAGGCTTGGAGAAAATGGCCTATGAGTGAGAGGAATTGGGGCTGTTTAGTCTGGGGAAGAGGAGGCTGAGGGAGACCTTATTGCTCTCTTCAGATACCTGAAAGACGATTGCAGTGAGAGCAGGGCTGGTCTCTTCTCACCAGTGACAGGTGATAGGATGAGGGGAAATGGCCTCAAGTTGCGACAGGGGAGGTCTAGGTTGGATATCAGGAAAAATTTCTTTACAGAAAGGGTAGATAAGCACTGGAATAGGCTCTCCAGGGAAGTAGTTGAGCCACATTCCTTGAATGTGTTTAAAAACTGTTTGGATGTAGGGCTCAGGGACATGACTTAGTGGTGAGTTGTTAGAGTTAGGGTAGTATGCTTAGGTTGTGATTGGACTTAATGATCTTGACTTTTCCAACCTAAGCAATTCCATGATTCTATGAACTCGAGCTATATCTCAAGTTCTACTACCTTTGAAATTTATAATGAGATTCCCTGTGATTTCAGCTGTAGGAAATGGAAAACTCTTGAGAATTGGCATCCCTCCTTTCCCATGCAAGCTCCAAAACGAGCGCTGTTTTCTTTGCCCACTGCAGCACTGCAAGAATTGCAAGACTGAATTAAGTCTTTTAACTTTTCCTCCAGAAAATGCTCTTGCACTCATGGCACTTTGTCATTCAAGAGCAGAATTCTGTCCTTATTTGAAGCTGACAAAATATAAAATACACTCTTTCCTAATCACAGTAACAAATGAAATCATTATAAATTCATTATGCTCACTTTAACATCATATTCTCCAACAGCAATCTTTATGCAACTTAACGTACAAATTATAAAGTAAACCACAGCACTCTAAGATTCCTCTGAAAACCAAGAACAATTGTTGTCAAGGTAAATACATAAACATATCTGCACAACATTCTACCCGTTAAAGAATTTTTGTATAGTTAGTAAAAAAAATCTGTTCTACCCTCCTCTGTCCTATTGTGCTCTAACAGAAAAATTAGAAATTTACAAAGCGAAGCATGCAAGCTATACTCACCTCACAACATCGACAGCCCCAGCTCGGACTTTGGGGTCACTTCCCATTATTGAAACACTTGCTGCAAATGAACCATCAATGCTGAACACAACGCATTCCATTCCTCGGGGAAGCACAGTCAGGTAGCTTGTGGCGCTGCTCTGGTCCCCTCTGGAGATTGAAAGCAATATATCTTTTTTAAAAATGAGAATATTTTCTGCATGTTCTAGTTAAGAACTTGTACTAGATCTGACTGGATCTGCAGCTTCAAAAATCTGTGTTAAACTGGACTTTTCATTTCAGTCCTGTATGGGAAAATTAAAGCCTACACTTTTAAGAAATAACTTTCCAAACAAGAAATTTGGAAGCTGACTTTAATAAGACATCACATTCATACAAATATACGATTTATTTCAAACAAACAACATTGAAGAACTTAAACTTTTAATGTTGTCTATATATATATATATATATATATATACACACACATACAGATAATATACTAATGCTCTGAGTACATACGTGCGTTTTGCACAGAAATTAGCTGTATCTTCTTTTCCCGAACAGTCTATAACTACTGGCAAATTATTAGAAATTACAGTGGAAAAACTGATATGCATCATTTATTGGCATCCACCTGCTTATAAACATCAACTTATCTCTACTAGAATTTTATTAAACAGAAGAATTTTTAAAAGCACAGCTTACCCCACTAGTCCTGCACCTGCGCCAACAAATTTTATTTCACACCTTTTCCCTCTTCATGCTTGACTTACCACAGAGTTGGTTTGTGTTGTTTGTTTTTTTGTTTCTTTGTTTTTTTAAGTGCTGGAGAGCCAGAAGAATTTATCTCAATGAACTGTTACTTTTAAGTGTTGTTTTCTTCCCTCAATTTTAGAATAAATATGGTCTTACAGAATTATAGTATATAATTCTGAAGTGTAGAATTAAAATGTCTCTTATAATCAGCCTGCCATCAACATATAAATAGCTGGCTGAGAAGAAGGCAGTACATGCTCTACTGTTCATGTCAACAGGAAAAGCTTCTTATTGAAGAACGCATGGCCATACCCATCAGTAATCTTCTCCTCAGTGAAGAAGCTCTGAAATAATCCAAGTCACACACTCTTGCCGTAACAAGACTGATTACAGTCATTCAGTCTCCCTAATTTTGCAGGTCCAAATGTCACTAAATTGAGTTATGTTGAGGATTTATGTTGCAGGAGGGATAAAACCCACTGGACTGAACACCTTTAAGCTGGCCAGTATGCACACAGTCGCTGCTTCAAATCTAAGCTGATAATACAGGAAATAGACCAAAGAAAGATAAACAGAACTGTCACTGGAGACTTGAGGTGCAAAGAAATTAAATCATTTGCCTAAGGCCACACAGAAGTCTGCAGTATAATCTAGAACTGGATCTAGAACATCCTGCCTGGATGCCTACTGTGCGACCTGCTGTAGGGAACCTGCTTTGGTGGGGGGTTGGACTCGATGATCTCTGGAGTTCCCTTCCAACCCCTACAATTCTGTGAACTGACCAAAATCCCCCTCCATGCCCCCTTCTATCCTACATATCAATATCTTCCTGATGACAAGAGCCCATAAAAGCTGTAGTATCAGGTTGGAACTGTTACCTGACAATCATTCTGATGGGATATACACCAACTCTCAGTCTCTTCTGTTTGGGTATACTGTAGGATATCCGGCCACTGCTGTTGGATATCTCTGTGTCAAAATAGACCCACCTACCAGAAGATGGTTCAGTCATTATGAAGATATCAACCTGCAAAACCAACACAAAGTCATCTGGTGTGATAGTGGGCAATTTTATTACCACCTTAGGAACATGGCATGCCAAGTCTTCATCATATTATTATCTTAATTCGTGTTTTGTAACCAAAGGTTGCAAGCTTCAAGGAACTTTGAAACTCAGAAACTTCTCAGATGGTCCTCACAACCAGAAAATGCTTCCTAACACACAGCACAAGAGTTCATTATTGTCTTGATCAATTAAAACACTCAGTACTGAAGGTATCAAGAAAACACAGAGCTCAGGAATTCTAAACTTTCAGAACAGGCAACACGAAGTCTCCGTGCTTCTGTTTTATTTGCAGCTCAGCAACACTGCTACATTAATTTCCATTAAAAATTCTTAGTCTCACTGAATGTGACCAAATGAGTTCACTCAATATTTATTTGGCTTTGTTATTTTTAAACTTCGCTACTGCAGTCAGCTTTAAGAGCACCGACTGATCCAGCTACGTCACATTACTGAAATTCTAAAACTACTCTTTACTCTTCCATGTATATGAGAAACAGCAGCTACCCAACCTTTAGAATCCCAATTCCTTTATCTAGTTCTCTTACCTTGAAAGGTGTATATACACTTTCCTTTAAGTGACTTGCCAACTGCTATGCAACTATTTTTTATCCTTACTCAAGTTAATCATCTCCAGCAGATGATGCAAACAAATGACAAGTTCAGAAATCACTGCATAGCATATTCTTCTTTCACCAGAGGAAATGTCCAGCATCATATAAAAAGAATATTAGCTAGAAAAAATGCAATCTACCGAAAAATGTGCTTACAGCATGGTGGGATGCTAGTTATGTACTCCCCCTCTCTGTAAGGCTCTCTCTGGTATTATGAACTACATGTGCATTATATTCAACAACTATCTGTATGTCAGTTGACAACAAATAAGGAAATAGAATACTTGATCTTTACCTTTTCACCTGTTAAAGCTACCATGTCCAGAGGTCCATACATAAAGCGCCCAACAAGTACCTGAGGACCATCTTCTGCAGCAATTACATCATTTGCCCGATGATTAGCAGTCACATTCTGAAATGAGACCGAAAAATGGGAAGTGTTAGTTTTTATGTAAGGTTACTGTCTCTATTATGTTGGTAAGCACAGTGATAAAGAAACACAGTCCCAGTGAGTTTGAGGAACTTTCAGCAAGAGCCAGGATCCCATTAATGGGGGTGTTACTGAATAAAGACATCACTGAGAACATCCAAGATGACAAGGTAAGAGAGTACCTTTATAGAAACTCCAACTATATAGGAGAGTACGCTTAAGGGAATGTCAATTATCCTTCAGTACAAGCGGTGCCATAGAGTAATATTATCACATGCAAGGCATTCATCCTGTCAGGCACTTTCCCATATTTTTAGTAACCAGAATTTTTCATAAAATTAATGCATAAAAGCAAATCTCCCACAAGAACGCTTTAACTGATGCTAATGCTGGAAGAATATCTACAACTTGGCAATACTTTCAAACTGAGTATACTTTTTAGCATATACAGGACACAAGCATTTGCTGATGATCATGCTTCAACATGCTGCGCTCTGAAGTGCATACTAACACTTACAGTATTACTCAGTACTTGTTAAAAATGTATCTGAAACGTAGTGGGCTCATTTTTCTACAGCAAAAGAATAGTCAGAAGCTCCGTGACTTGTGAATGAAATTTCACAATATGTGAATTTTTTTCATTTATTATTTAAGCTCATGACATCTAAAGAAAGAAGAAAATATTTTTTCTTGGGTCTTGAATTCATCCAGCATGTAAGAAAACAGAAGAATAACCTGTGCTTAACAGGTCCTTCTGTTATTTAAACACATGCATTTGGGGAAAAAAAAATTTCTAATGGTAAACCAAGTATTAATTGCTTTTATTTCTTAACTGCTAGATCACCTCTGTAGTTTGCAGTTAAGTACAATTCCATGCTTTGGGAGATTAGGCTCCACTTAAAGTGCTGCCCAACTCCATTTCCATAGCTATCCTGGATATTCAGAGACATACTTACTCTCAATTTGACGTGTGTCCTTTTGCGTAGCCATTTTTCTCGTGGATTGGACGGGCTTAGCGTTGCGGGATCCAGGCTATCATTTTCTTTGAAATTTACATTTTCATATCTCATCACCTGAAATGATAATAACATTCTAAAAAACTGTGTGCTGCCTGAGGAGCCCTGCACTTGACAAGGAAAGGAGTTATACTGCTGTCCCAGCTGAGTGACAGTGCAGAGCAAACAGCACAAGCAAAACAGAAAGATACAGGCCATGACGTCCTATTAAGAATTTAAGCCACTGACACCAGCGCAGAGAGCAGGACTTCACACTCGGAGACCAGCCAAAAGGAGATGTGAGAGCAGCAAACACGCTGACATCGTCCCAACTGATTTAATCAAGAAATATGACTGTAGTTTTCTGCACTCTTCTCTTGACCATTTTCCTCTGAAGCAGCAGCTGTTTCATCATTCACTGGACAAAAGATACACTGATTTCTGGATTAATCCAAATTAAAATGTTTATCACTGGATTCTACAAGGAGGATCATCTTGACTTCTTGGAGAGATATTTCTACTGCAGGTCACACTGAAATATCACTAAATTATTTTCAACCCAGGTGAGATTTCTCAACCTCACCACTTTCTCTAGAGGTCACAGCACGAATCATTTCCAAGTCACTGACAGCTGTGATCTAAAAACCGGAACAACAGGAATAAGAGAGACATCACATACCTTAGAAATGAATTCTAAGGAGACAGTGCGCACAATGCCTATAAACATACTAGTACAATTACAGGAGAGTCTGGTAATGAACAGTCTTTTCTAATACACTTCAGTCTCCTCATTTTTCCTTATTCCCTCTAAATTAGAGCAGCTCTTTCTTTGTGGAGAGAGAAAGAAACATCAACAACCTGTCTTAAAATGAATGCCACGACGTCTGTTGATTCCCAGTAGCTGGCATGGAAAAGATGTGGCAGGGCTACAGTTGGAAATGCTGTCAGGACATCTGGACAATACAAGGCATAATCAATTCGCTTTGTTCCCCACCACTTAGCAGTAACTACAAAAAAAAAAAAAAAAAAAAAAAAACCATAACATTTCTAAAAGATGTCTTCATAACAAATCTGCTGTATAAATGTATAAACTAGATAACAGAATGAAGCCTTCCGTTTTTTTAATATTGACATCTGGAGCCTGTTGAAAGCATCAATCTAACACAGAAGTTCTGTTTTCACTCACTGCATAATCCCTTGAAGTTCTGCTGTCTAAACTGCATTGCAAGTTTTGGGAAGCAGAGGTTACCACAGCACGATGCCCTTTGCTTCCTGGCCCACAAAAAGTGTACAGGAAAAGATTAGTTAACTTTATGATCGTATTATATAGCAAGAATTGTAAATACTTTCCAAATAGTGGTGACAGTACTAACGTAGCATTACAGTCTGTAAAAGAAGAATATAATGATCTATAGCACTTAAGAGAAATTATTCTTATCTATGTATCTTTCTTCATGCTTGGACTAGGGCTCTAAACCCAAGTTTGTCTGAAACTCTTAATAGCTTTGACTGTCACCTTAATATAAGGGACTATATAAAGAACTTCATTTCTATTACTTCACCTACATTACTATGGACAGTAGAGCAAGCTAAACTGTGTTATTTAAAAAGCACAACAACTTAAGCTGTTCTCGTTCTCCTCAAATTTCCAAAAAATTAATTTTCCTAATAATCAGAGTGATTAGGAACTCCCACATTTTCACAAAATGGCATTTGCTATGCACACTGCAACAAGCTTCACTCACTGTTGGTGAGGCATGCTGATGACAAGCTCTCTGCTGATCCTGAGTTTTCACTGTTTGTGCTGGCCAAGCTCAACCTTCTCTCTTGTTTCTGAGATGTGTTCATAGATTCAGAACTCTCCTGAGAGTGAGTTATGTTCAAAGAGCTGCTCTCAAGGAACAGAGCACTGTAGTTCTGGATAGCATCACCTGCAGATAACAGAAATAGAATAAAGCAAAATAAAATAAAGAAACATATATTCATTCACATATATACATATTCATACATACATACATATATATATATATATTCATACATATATATATGAATGAATTTTCCTCTGTCTTCTTTCAGTACTTGCTAAATATATTTGTGCCATTCTGACCCAGATTATTTACTTTTATCATGCTAGTTCAAATCCTCTTGAGCTGTGTAAGGAGAGAAACGTCAAGAGAACATTAAATAAACAGAGCTATGAAAATAGGTACTATACCTAACTGATGAGATCTTCCATCCCCCAGTGGGTATCTCTGGTATCGTGGAACACTGAATGGAGGCAGGAGATGAAATCTTTTCTCCAGCAATGGTTCAAGTCTGCAGGCAGATGGGTCAGCAGAGTGAAAGAAACTGTACACCTGGCTGCAGGCTGGGCGAACCTGACAAACTTCAATGAGAATGAAAGAGAGAAAGAGAGTTTGGTATTGCCACTTTAAGATTTTCAAGGAGTCTATGCATAAAGATGGTTAATATGGACTCCTGCAATCTCAGTCTTCCAGTGATCCTACGACACAATTTAAAATTTCAGGAAAGCAGATTCCAAAGTTACTTTTAAAGGATATGTTTATATATAGCCAATAATAACTTATAAAAGTGACTGTGGCACTTTCGAACATATAAACATTTTCACACACAGTACAGTACTCAAGAGAATGTAATCAGACTGCACACAAAATATATAACTTCTGAGCAAACTCTCCTGCTGTGGTGTTAAAAACAGCTCACAGCCAACACATCCAGGGACCAAGTTTAGTCATGAGGCCAGAAATGAAAAAGATGACATACTAAACCAAACACAGATGCTACTTTTGGTATCATTTTCAAGGATTACTCCTTGGTGAAGTAAAAGCTTTCACATTGCCCTTCGAGGAATATATATGATCAGCAGCAAATGACACACTACTATGAATAGGTGAGCAGTGACACCGCTGGAATTAAACTCCATCATCTCATGTCTTAGTACTAGCTTGCACTGACATTCCCATCTTTCAGAAGAAGGAACCCTTCAAGCAGGAAATCATTCCCTAGACTTCCAGTAGATGCCTTTGTTTACCTGCTTTTAAAATAACCTCTTTGTTTACAAAGTCATTAAGCATCCTGCATTCTAATGTTAGGAAGAGCTTACCATTCAGACCTGGCAGAACAGTACTCCTCATGGCCAGCACCAAACCAAGTGGTGATCCAAAGAGGAAGAAATCAGACACCTCAAAATCAAACCGGCCCAGGTTTACATCTGAGAGACTGGAATTCGCAGGAAGAAAGTCTGCGTCATCTTTCAGCACACTTGAGCGGATGCTGAGTAAAGAAAATACACTCATTTAACTATAATGAACCCAGAGAAGAAATGCATTCCCCAGACAGGTAGCTTAAAAAGCTCTAGCATCCAATATAGATTCAAGAAACATGCCTTAAATAGTAGAAAAATAATTACAGTATAGCAGCCACTTATCATGATTTCCAGTGTGGATATTAAATGTATTACCTTTAACATGCACAAGCTTTGTACTGTTGAAATACTTATCAGCAAGTTATGCAAGAACTCTAAAAACTGAAAAATTACCTCTTCTTCTTGTTAGCTGTATAGATGCGTTTAAGCTTATTCTGAAACTTTTAATATGAATTTGAGCCTCCTCAACTTGTATGAGGGCAACGGTATTAAAAAGTTACAGTGATGCCTTGTGCATAGCTTTTCATTTTGTAAATGATTAAAACGCTGATTTAGTTTCTATGCCACACATGCATAGAAATGGCTATATATTTGTTAGGACACAAATAAGTTAATTATGTTAAATCTTGCTCCCAGCCTCCTTCCATCTAGGCAAGACATTTACTCAGTTTTAGTTGTTGTTTTGCTTTAAAGATAGTCTGGAGCTTGCTGACCAATTGAACAGCAAAAACAATCATCTTTCTCTTTAGAGAATAAAGGAAAGCCTGTGAGGGGAATCCAAGGTTTGGGAAAAAAAAAAAAGTAACAAATTCATCCATCTTGACTTCTGTGGGTTCTTCTGAAGAAATGAAACTTGCATTTAGTTTTGCATATTCAAAACTCTCACAGCTGAATAAAAAATAAATAAAAAACTTGTGAGAAAATTCATACCAAACCCACTAAATCTATGTCTTTGGAGGATGTTTGCAAGAACTTTAAGCAAATCTCTAAAAACACAATAGAACCAATAGAAATGATTCTGCCCCTCCAGTGCTGACAAGCTGAATTGAGTGCCAATCCTATTTCTTTTACTCAGTTATCACACACTAGTTACCTAGACAGGAAAGCATGATGATTTGTTATAGTATCACAGTTGTAGGTGGATGAGTCACTCTGTTTCCTAGGCAACAGCTGTCTTGGCTCTTCATCCTCCATGATTTCTGAGATGTCAATATTGCTTTTGCTCAGGTGTTTTCTGCCACCCAGACTGGAGTCCTCTGTTAAAAGGGGATTATCCTTCAGAGAATGAACAGAGCAAAAAGAAGACTTAGACAGGGATCGAAATTCAACAGAGCTTATACAAACGGGATGCATTTATACATTTGACCTCATTTTATCAAAGCAGTGGTTGAAAGGGTTAGAAACTAGGCCAATTCAGCACATGTTTTAGCCCTAGCAGGGAGTGAGAAACACTTCTGAAAAGCACACTAAACCACTTAAAAATACACCAGGTAGTACATTAGAAGAAGGCTGAAATGATCAGTATAAAGACTATTCACTGCATTTCAAACTATTTAAAATCTTTTTTTCTATTGATAGAAACTCTCTCAGTGCCACCAAATGCCACAATAAAAAAAAAACTCATCTGCAGTGAAATGGTATCAATAATTAGGCTCTGAATCAGTCATCCACAGGTGAGTTTTATGTATTATATATCCATGTGGTAAAAATCATCAATTTTCTCTATCTCTTCTAATGACAGTTGTCTGCGTCAAAATAATGTGTTTTAGCTGTAGCAGCAAGAGAGAACCATCTTCCTCTTCTAAAATGCAATGCTTAGTTCTTTTCAACTTAGAACTTACATTAGAAATGAAATGGAAGAGGGGAAAGATGGGGACAAAAACTGGGAAGGAAGCACTACAATGTTGTGGAAAAGGAGAAAAGTAGGAAAAAAAGAATGTAGGAAAACTGGAACAATAAGCAAGAGCAATGCAGTCAAAGAACCTGTCCTACATTCTGATGTCCTTCTGAATGTCCTACATTCCCCCATTTTTGGTGAGAAATGTAACTAAAGAGTCAAAAGATGAAACAATTTAGCTAGCATCATAAAACCATCAAATAATACATTACAGGCACCTCATTCAGTATCAACACCACTCTTCCATATCCACTTAAGTCTAAAGTACATAAAATTAGTTGAACTCAAGCATTCCTTCTCAAGTGGAGAACACACAATGCAGCTTATATGACAGAAATGTTTACAAAAAAAAAAAAAAAAAAGTGCTTCTACTACCAAAAAAATACCTTCTGGATCACAGTGAGAATGAATTTCTCCTATTTCCAAATGTAGCACTCATTTAGAGACTTTGTTACTCTCACTGCCCTGTTCATTCAACCTCGGGTGACTTACATTTTTCACCAGAAAGTAGGCACATCTCTCACCAGTTAGCAGAACTTATTTATGAGCACATCTTAATGTTAGAATACCCCTAGGCAGTAGTATAATTGATCCTATAGTGTCTGGAAAAAAAAAAATAGACTGGCAGAAACAGTACCCTGAGATGACTGGGAGGATACATCTACATCTACAGTTAAGATGTCACCCAGTAATCCTACTTTAAAGATTTACTAATAAAGCCTTCACTACTGATGATGTATCATAAAACTCAAGCTGCAGACTTAATTTTCAGACAGCAATTTTTTGAGATATGAGCAAAATCCCATGCCATCATTATTATTTATCAAATCCTTAAATTTTTTGTGGTTTAATATGGACCTGAATTTCTTAGTTTCCCTCTAGGGAATGAATCTATATATAGGGAATGAACTTCAGCTGAGTAGATTTTTTTCTCTTCACCTGGATGCTGCTGATGCTTCCTCTCCTGCTACTGTTCTGACTCTCATCAGTTCTGTTAGTATTATAGCAAATGGCATCAAACCCCAAAATGCCTCCAATGCAGTCACCAATGAGACACACCTGAAGGAGTAAAAAAAATAGTGAATTAGTGAAATGTAGCAAGTATTTTAGAAGAAACAAAAACCGTCACAGACCTGCAGAAAGATACCCTACTCATTTTAAGCCCTTGTTCTTTTTTTCTTTTTAATACCTTGCTTCCTACTGCAGTTGAAGTGTGTAGTCACTTTTTCCCACTTCCTCTTATTTACAGACATATGCCCCATGCCACGAATATCCATCCCAGTGACTGTTTTGATAATCATAGAATTGCTGTAAATGGACCACAGAATTCTTCACTACACTGTACACCAAATGCAATTTTTTCTTCCCCCTTGTGAAAACAGGAAGTCATTGTACTTTAGAGAAATGAATGTTTCCAGCTATCTAAAGGGCCCTATAATAAAACATCAATAACTCACACAGAGTAGCAGTAACATATTTACTCTAAAGTAGGTAAGTACTATTTCTTTCTAGTCTAGAGATGGAGAAGCAGGAATAATAATAATAACTGTGACATGTCAGCTGGAAGAATTCAACAGGTGACTTCCCTGAGGAGTGGACCATACCAGAAAAATCAAATGAGTATACCAGAGCTACATGGGAAATCTGCAAAAGAGTCAGCAACTGAGTATTTATCTTTTGAGTTTCTCTGCTGTCAAATGCTTTATTACTACTGTGATGGAGGCAAAAAAGAAGCAATAAATTTTGGATTCTTTTTGCTGTCAGGGATGTGCTGATGACCCAACTCTTCAGCTATGGAAGGTGTGTGACAAACTCAGAAACACAGATTAGCAGTTGTTGTTTTGGGCTTGCAGACTTGTCCATTGCTTAGTATAATACACTCTTAAGACACAACTAAGGCTCCTGTATACTATCAGAGTTCATAGCAATAATTACTAAGAGCTTAGGTGTCAAAAGGCTTGTGGGAGAAGGTATAGTATTTTCTACCGACTGAATAAATCCAGGTTAGATTCAGCACAGGATTCCAGAAGGGTCTTCCTCATGCTGAGTACTGAGAGGGCATTTTGTATAAATAATCCCAAGCTAACGTTCATGCACCAAATTTACAGTATTGTTCTCTCACACTCATAACTTAAAACCATGAACGCATACTAGAAACAGCTTAACAAGAAATATACTTGCTCCAAAGGAATTTTTCTTTTATGTAAGAAAATAATAGTCCTACCTGCCCATTAAACCCAACTCCATCTGTAGATTTGAGAAAGTCATTGTAAACTTGGTTTGCTCTACTGATCACCATGGCAACTGCGTCCTGGTACTGAGGGGATGAAACAGCCAGCAAGGGCAAAGCAGCCAGCGGGATGTGGTCTTCACTGCTGCTGAGACAGCTTTCATCATAGCTGTAAGGATTTAGGCTAAAGCAGAACATGCTATCGTCAAGAAAAACGCAAAAAGCAGCACATAGCATTAGCAAATGAATAGTTATTAACAGAAATAGGCTGAGCTCTTGCAATTCACTATGAAAGCACAAAAAGGACCATTTGATCACAACACTCAACAGTTAAAAATCAAGGAGTTACAGCTTTATGAGACTAAGACAACCCCAGAACACAGTCCTGAAATTAAATACACAAGGTGAATTTTTTCCACCTTATTTTTACACATACAAGTGGACATAACTTAAGAGAATAAACTGATTATTCCCTATCAGCCTTTTTCCCCCCCATATACTAACTTACTATATTAAAGAATGGGATTCAGAAACTACAACAGAATGTTAGTTCCTAGAACAGCAAATAGAAACATTATTCAAAAGCATATAAAAACATTTTTCCAAATGTTCCATCCCTTCAAAAAGATGGAACAAAGTTGCACTGCCTCCAAAATTATATGCAATTGTTTTCACAGAAAAACGTTTCAAAAAGGAGGTTTAACAGCTAAAAATGTAAGCTTAAATTTGACAGCATGGCATTCTAGTTTGGATGTGTGCTCTGCAAATTTTTCAGTAAATTCCATTCATATCTTGACTGATAGATGAATGGAGAAAACAATTCAGAGAACCAAAGGTGCAGGTCACATAACTTGTGCCAAGGCAAACAGATGGTTGCTCTACGTTGGCACGCGCTATGCTGACACATTCATAAAATTGAGTATACACTCAAATCAAACATGAAATTTTATGCTGCTGCTTAATCTGGCTCACACTTGATAAAATATTTCAGTAATTTAAAACACACTTCCTTCTCCACAGTTTGCTAAGTGGGATGTTTACCACAACTTTACATTCCACAACTGCTTCCTGGAGTTCTGACTGTAAAAGCTGCTGGTGTGAAGCTACAGCAATGTGAGAGCAGGGAATCACTTCTCCTTTTGTCAGCTCCAAACAGATAAACCACAAAAGCAGCTCTGTGCAAGAACATATCAAGGCAGTACCAATCATATGTCAGCACCGGGAATGATTCCACTGGACATTCAAATATTCAGCTTAGCTATTTTCAATTGGGCTGAGTACTGTATAATGCAACTAGAGAGAATCAAAAAAACAAAGAAAAAGCAGGAGGGAGTCTTTTCATTTGGGGTGCCAGCACAACCTTCCTTCTACTCTACCAGCTCTTCTTGCAGTCAATCAAGCCCCATGGGCTATACTTTATGAGACACCTAGGAGATGCTACTGATCTGGCTCCATAAATAGCCCATTTAAAGTGGGATCCTTCAAAAGCCTTTCGATGCTTCAACTCTCCTTCTTCTGCTGGTTCGCTTTCTTTACAGGGTAGCTACTTGGACACACACTTATACTTCTTTCCTGGCTGTTTCAGTGTATTCCCTCTTGATGTGAACACTGTTGCAACTTCCAGCAGTCTGGTTTGCCCTTAGTCATCCCTTCCTACTATAAGCCCGTCAACAGCTTTGAGTCCAACCAGTATTTCGGAACTTTAATGTATACTCTAATCCCTCCATTCCACTGCTGTCACCTAGATAGCAGGCATCACTGTTCTCACATCTAAAGGTCCCAAATGTGATTTTAAAAAACTCATATCCTCTTCTGTGAGGTTTTCTGCTCCACAAAAAGTTCAAATGTAAGCTCAGGTGTTATACTGCAACAAAGGCCATAAAAGAGACCATCATTTAAAGGAAGTCTCAGGAAAAAAAAAAAAAAAAAAAAAAATCAAGCAAGTCCGAATCTTTCCTCCCCATCACCAGAGTTGCTCTTGGTTTACAGTCACAGAAGACTTGAATTGGGCCCAAGAACACATTTCTTTCTTCATTCTCTATCATGCAGAAAAGATAAGTACACATCTCTAAAATATTTATATCAAGGAAAATGTCACCAAGGAAATACACGTTACCTGAAAAGGTTCTCTCATTTAAGGGGTGAATTTCAGGACTGAAAAGAAGAAAAGTGGGCACAGACAACCAGCCCACTAGAAAATTCAATTTGGTATTTTAAATTCAGCTCACCAAGACCACAGAAATAAATAAAAACAGTGAAGAGATTTTTAATATTTTAATCGTTATGTTACAGAATATTCTGCATGAGCTCAGTTAAAATACTGGTTGGACTAGTACCAGCACCACAGCACAATCAGAACTACTGCTACCCAAGCTGGTAAAATATTATTGGTTACCATTATGGGGATGTAGAAGCCAGTTATAACAGCACTCGGAGGAAAACCTGCTCAGGAACTAAGGCTATCAAGTGTTTAGTGTGCCAGTAATGCTGCATGGAAAATTTTTTACTATTGGGAAAAAATGTAAAATTAAGCTGGTTACTCTACTGCTGCTATAGCTCTCCTTTCTACATGAATCTTATAAATGTAACATCCTCTGAACATACAGGCTAAGATCAGCTGCTGTCCCATGTTAACAACCTGACAAAGAGAAACATCTTAACCATGGTACTCTCTTATACCCATATTCCTTAAATTTTCCACATATATTCTAGGCTACAGGTACAATTAAAAGACAGCATAAATATTCCTATTTCTTCCTCAGGCTTTGTGCTAGGCTTTTGGTTAATGACTGAAAAAAAATATCTCTTTGTATTATTTTCACCTTGTATCTCTTCCAACTTCAAGAAGTGAGGCACTGATGAACCAATTTACTCATTCAAGGTCATGCAGGAAATCTACTGCAGACTAAGGAATACTACTCTTATTTCCTGACTTCCATGTTAAGATTATATCTAAAAAGTCTCCAGGAGCTGCTGCTACATGTCATTTTTCAATTCTCACAGCAACATCATTACGAGTGCATATCTGAAATTTTTACTGTCATATATATAATGATTGTTAAAATTAATAATAACAACAGTTTTTCACTGTGAGGGTACCTTTCATACAAGCATGCAAAGGAACTTCAAAACATACTACTGATGCACAGTTAAGAGTTATGTTCTTGCTCTGGGCACAGTAAATACCAAACTAAGCAGGTCTCTAAGCTGCTAATTACCCTTTCTCTGAAATTACATTCAGAATTTCCTACTGACTTGTTTTTGCATTGAAATATTATCACAGCATACTACACAGCAATAATTATCAACTACAGAGCTGACTTGCTACAAGAAATGTGATCTGATGAACAACCTCTTTGGTTTGTTCAGCCCAGAGAAGAGGAGGCTGAGGGGGGCCCTCATAGCAGCCTGCAGCTTCTCACAGGAGAGCAAAGAAGCAGGCATTGCCCTCTGGTGACAGTAAAAGGGCCAAAGGGAACAGAATGGAGTTCTGCCAGGCGGGGGTTGGGAAAAGGGTTCTGCACTAGAGGGTGCTGGGTATGGAACAGGCTCCCCAGGGCAGCAGACGTGGCCCCAAGCTGCCAGAACTTTAGGAGCATGTGGATACTGCTCTCAGATATAACTAAATCTCAGATGTACTGTGAACTGAAGCCTTCAATAGCCAAAGGTATTGTTTCTTACAGATGCATTCTCTGTAACTCATTCAAGACTATACTGCATTCACATACTGCATTCTTAATGGCAACAAATGAATACCACAGAACTACAGGACTTCAAAGAGTGGTAGCTCCTATTGGGAATGAACATGTCAAAAGCCTTTCAAAACCACACTGCAAAGCCAAATAATATAAAGCAAAATCAGCTTACTTGGAAACAAGAGAGAAAGCTGCTGAACAGATTGCTGGGCAGGGAACAAGTCTGATTAAGATGTGGCCCAAAGCAGCAGGGAAATGGTCTTGTGTCACCTTCTCAAAGACAGAACAGAAGGTGTTGATGTCCGCCAGCTTGCTGCTTTGATCCTCTCCCCCATTGTCTAAGATATTCCCTCCATGTAGGATCAGAATTAGCACACGAGTTTTGCATTTCTGGTGTTGAACTACTTCCTATGAGAAAAAAAAAGAAATAAGAAAGTAGGGAGCCTTAGCGTTGGTATATTTAGGGTAAATGTTCACAAGCACTGATTTCTTTTTTTCCCATTCCCACTGTGATCATTTGTGTCACCTGACTTTGGGAGGGGGTGGGGGATGGCATTTAATTCAAGTATATCTGAATCAGGTAGAGCACACTAAGCTCTGCTGTAAAGCCCTTGCAGCTCAGATTTAGGTGTTGGACTAACAAAAATTATAAACAACTTTGTACACATCAAAAGCTATTGGAAATATATCCACACTGGAGAAGACGTCAAACATTCACAGACAGCCTAAGTCTCTAGGTATTGTGAACTGGGATGCTGCAAATTTGGAAAGGTTTATCTCAAATAATCATGGGATCTGAAAAGAAAAACAAATGAGAACATTTCTGGTTATTTTCATTTCTGCCAATAAAAGCATCAAGCAAAAGAAGGTGACAGAGTTTTGACAACAGCAGCCTCTTGAAATTGACAAAATATTAAAATGAAAAAGTGGGGTTAACTTACCCAGACATTTACTGAAAGAGTAAAAATTGTACTGGAGCTGACAGCCATAAATCTCATAAATAAATTTATGAGCACGTGAATGCATGCATACACAGACAACAATCTACCATGGAAGGTGAAGTGATGTGGTCTGCAGAAAAAACAAGATGTTATCTACTTGAAACTGGAACAACGTTTTGCAAGTTTCACAGATGCACTTCTATTTTCCCCTTCTGTAGACTCTACACATTCACTCAAAGGACAACTTACTAAATACATTAAAAGATCAGGAAAATTAGGTGATTTACTGAGAAAGCAGTTGAAATATAACAAGATGTTATACTGTGAAATAAACTCCATTTATTTCCAGCAAGGTCTTTTAAATTAATTTATATTTTTTTATATTCTACTACAACCTGATCATAATCTAATACGTCTGTATCTTTATCTGCTGTGCTCAGATGATGTCTCTTCTCTTTTTCATTCCTTTACCAGTTTATCTAAACTGCAAGACATTTAAGGCAAAAGTCAGTTTCATTCATATCACAGCGCCTTCTAAAAACAGGCATTCAAACATGCCACAATTCATATATATACCCCTCCGGAATGCAACTCTCAGCACGGTATTATGTTTTTGTGAGGAAACTGACCAATATTATGACAACTGTGTCCATTTCTGGGCTCTCCAGCTCAAGAAAGACATGGAACTGCTAGTGAGAATCCAGCAGAGGGCAGCAGAGATGGTTGGGGCCTGAAGCACCTTTCTTAACAGGAAAGGCTGAGAGCCCTGCGGCTGTTCAGCCTAGAAATGAGAAGGCTGAGAGGGGATCTGATCAGTGTTTATCAAAATCAAAAGGGCAGGGGTCAGAAGGGAGAAACTAACAAAGTAACTGCACAAACACACAGTTCAGCCCATAGTTTAGGAGGATATGCGGGGTGGGAGGAGAGGAAGAAGAGGCACATGTTGGGGTGGAAACACTGACACAGATAAGGAAAAAAGATGTAGTTCAGCATACAGAATAGTGACAGAGAAATGGTTGAAAGAGAGAATCATAAGCTGTTCCACACAGCCATTATCTCTGTTTAGCCTACATTTTTTAGTCTCCAATAACATTTACTCATTTTAAGTCTCATAGTCATCTCCTGAAGGCGTGTTTTCTGCCTTTTAAGTTTTGGATATGCATGTAAGTAGAATGAGTATTTTTAAGGTTCCACTTTTTCCTGCTCTAAGTTACAAATTCTGACTCCATTTATTCCCAATCCAGTCATTCAAAGAGAAACTTAATTCCATTTAAAAAGCTAAGAGTTCTTTCTAAAGCCAACATAAGATTGTAAACAAGTAGCGCTGCTGAAAGGTTGGTGTAACCAAAAGCTTCAAAACAGAGAGAAAAGCTCAGGTAAGTCAGTACTGCTCAAGTCGCTGTTACTAGAAGTGCCTCAGCTAACTGCATTTAACAGGTATCCTTTACAGAAGGAATCAAAGGGAGTGAAAATAATTTGTCTCTAAGGAACAGCCCAGGCATGTCTAAGGAAAGGGGCTCAAGGACCAACTCAAAGAGCATCTGAAGTGAAAGACTATCAAAATTTCCAGGGAGCTTTAGGACTGGGATTCCTCAAAAACAAAAAAGTAGGCATTTCTGTTTTCTGTTTACATGGGAACAGATGACCTTAATCAGTCAACTGGAAGGACTAGAATTAGTTTTGATTCTTTGCATCTTCTAAAGAAGTAATTCTGTTACTATCAATTTCAGACTGCTGCTGAACCTTCTCAAAATATGCATTTGCACTGGAGCGCTATGGATACATAAAAATTTCTCAAGAGACATAGGGTCATATTTCCACTCAAATTAATTATGCAATATTTTAAAAACTTGGCTTGATTTTCTGTGATTGCACGTGCACTTACTGAACAAAAAGAACATTAAGCCACCAAAGAGGCTTATGATTCCATAATGCAATATGACAGTATTTCCGCATGTCTGCACCCTGGAAATCAGCACAGTTTGTTTTGGGAAACACTCACCTCACTGTCCTCATGTATTTCAATACTGCCTTGTGCAGGTATCCTTTGTTTTCTTAATGAGGCATGATATAATTCACCTGAAAGGAAGAGAGACATAACTGAGTATATAAACACTTGGGTGCCTCATCTTTCACAGACATCTGTGGAGTTAAGATACAATTATGGTTTCAAGACAGAAAGATTCACATTCTGTGGACAAACAGAACAACAAAGTTCTTTGCAGTCCTGTGTAATACAGAGTCCTCTATTCCTAACAGCAACATCTGTAACAAGATTCTCTGTAACAAGATTCAAGTCATTATGCAAAGGTATACTGTATCAGCACAGGTACTGTTTGTCATCTGTGCCTTTCTGGAACAGGCTGAAATGATGGACTCTGCAGTATTACTTTGTCTAAACATAAATACTGTCAGGTAATGAGAAGGAGCAGAAACTAGAATAAGTTCATTATAAGAAGTATGACATGGTAAAAACTATAGGGTTTTTTTTTGCTTAAAAGTAAACAATTACAAACTAGAAGTGCTAAGTTGTCTTAAGATTATATCTGTTGTTCCTGTATGTCAGTGGAATTTACACAGTAATTAAATATTGCAATATTTCGCTAAAGGGCAATTACTTCAACTGAAGTCTGGAAGATTAGTTCTTTGAGAGGTTAACCCTTCTACAGACAGTGATGAAATCCCAAATGAGATGAGAATCTTCCCATCTCTGTTAACACCTTCTCCCTTACAAGTGGGAAGGAGGCTATAAGTGCACGCTTACAGCTTCCTGAATTGAAACAGACTTTTTTCTCTATTTCCTGCAGCATGTCTGAAGAAAATAAAATGCATCATATAATGCTACAGACAACTCGGCTTACTTTTTCTTTTGGAGTACTGAACTCATACCATGTTTGTTACTACTCCATTTGAGACACTTTATAGATAGTCTGCCAGACTCTAGAAGAATAGACTAGTTAAGCAGGGTCTGGTCAGGCTATCCTAAAAGCACTGAACTTAGTCCAAAACAAACTTCAAATACTCTTAACTTCTGCATTAGAATTGAGAGCTAATTCCATAGCCAGTCTTACAAATATCATTCCTTATATCCATCAAACAATATGGCCACATTTCTCCATATTTAAAAACAAATTGATTATTCTTGCCTTTCTGGCAGGCAAAGATTTAAAGGATTAGTCATTTAATATTTGTGTAAAACAAAACATAACACCATCACTAAACAACCCCCACACAAGAAACACCCACAACAAACAGCAAAAAAACAAACCCACAAAGCCTTAACTTTCAACCAAATGCAATCACACTATGGAACTCTCTAAAAACTGGTCTCTGCAGTTTAAAGATGCTTCTAACTGAAAGTGGTGTTTCCAAAAGCTTGGCCAGCAGACCCACTTTTCTTTCAGTTGCATACAGGAAGAATGTCAGTTTTCTAGCAACTTAGCTCACAACAGAACCAATACCATACAAACATGAATTCTGAGTCCTGAAGAAGGGTTATTCTAGACCACGAGGAAACATCTTACAGTGAACTATAATATTTATCCTCAACAGAGTACTTAAGAAATCCAGGACTCACCAAATGCTCAGAAACCTTCACTGCTACCTTTCTCCACAGCGCACCACACTAGGCAAAATGCTTTCTGGAATTACTTATACCCTGTTCCTTTGAAAATCCCATTCTAAAAATACATCTTTAGAAAGCAAAGAGAGTGGTTTGCTTTTTTCTTAATGCACTGGATGCCAGGTTGAATGATAATTCGCTACTGGCCTCACATGCATGGAAAAAAAAAAAAAAAAAAAAGTCATAGATAACTGGATTTTAAAAACCAGGAATTGTGATATACTGGGCTTCTTTCCAAAGAAGCACGCGTGTGTGTGTGTGTGTGTGTGTGTGTGTCAGGGGATATGTGCCTCCATTTCACAATTCAGTTTTGCTAATTGTATGTTTGGAAGATAACCAGATTTGGGGACTAGATTCAGCTTTACTGTTTTGGTTAAATACCAGACACTGAAGTAATGGGGAACCTCCTCCATAATGAAGATAATATAATGAATCAGACTACTCAACAGCTGAAGCTCTGTCCAAGAACATGCATCATGACGTATTGCAGAAAAACGCTGAAATTTCATTAGACAGCAAAACAAACTGATCACAGAGATTGCATATTTTATTATTTATTGGAAGGGCTTTAATGAGGTAAAATACTAATAAGGCTTGTCTGACCAAACCTCTCTGATGATGTTACCAACATTTTACAAATTTTTCCAGTAGTCTTGATTCATACTGTCATTAGACCAAATTATGCTAATTGTGTCATTATGCAAATTACAGTAGGGAAAAAAAAACAGTATTGAAATCCTATAGTAAAAAAACAGTGGGTTGTAACAGATTACATTCTAATACCTAGTAATATAGTCAGGAAAGTTCAGGATGAAATAAGAAAAAAAACATTTGAAAAGTAGTTATTTAACTTGCAAATTCACCAACTAGAAAGACACTATGGCTTCTCAAAATCTGGCACAAGAAGATACAGGAACAGGAGAACCATCTGAAACCTGATTCCTCAGGACAGTCAGCTCTCATACAGGTATCTAAATAAACTAATCAACAGTGAGCAGGCAGTAGTAATGGCTAGTCCCCACTGCTATCCTTACGTTCAAGTTTTTAAAACTAACCAAGCCCCAAACATATTGAGAACTTGGAAAAATCCAGCCTTTCTATTGTGTCTTTCTGGGAACAGGACTCTTGAAAACCCAGATCTAGACACAGCTGCTGAGCCATCCTACACAGCTCTAGCTCATATTACTGAGAAGATTCTTCTGGGAAATACTGAAGAATTCTTCATGCTCCTGAGTGAATGTGTCCTAATAGCACTCCACTGGTTTCCTGTAGGCTACAAGTAGGAATGAAAAGTCATTGTCTTTTTCTAAACACTTACTTGACCCAGCCAGCATGCCAGGTTGTAAGGTCACAATCAATTAACCTGCTAGTATATAAAGACATTTCTCTAGAAATTCAAATAATCTTGCCTCTACAGACATGAGTATCTTTTTCGGAGGTAATCTGAGATTAATTCACTTAGCACAAAACTTAACACCTTCCACTCCCACTGCAAAACACTCTGCCTGTGAGGGAACAGACTTGAAGGTACAGCAGCAGCAATTTAAACAAAACGGAACAAAACAAAACAACAAAGATTGAGAAATAAAACTGCTGAATCACAAAACTACCTTGCACATAGAACTCCACAGTGGACAAAAAGAAAAACGAACGGACTGCATATGAGAAATTTAAGCTAGAGCACATTACTATACTCCTAAAGATAAGCCACTTTAGGACAAACTAATGAAACAATTAAATAATGATCTGCCGGCTAGGATATAAAGCTCAGTTCAAATTTGTGCTTAGTGTGTGCTTCTTCTGTATCACATATTATCACACTTCTCTATGCCCTTTCTTTAGCTATGCAGGTGGATTCTAGAAAACGGCTGTATTACAAGGTTATGCAGGTAATCTATCAGTGAATTTCTGGATTTGCAGGATTAGCACAAGAACAAGCTTAATGCAGAAAAGAAAAAATATGAACAAAAAACCCGGTCATGTGTTTTCCCTGTGGGAACTCCATTTAGTATTTTACAGTAATGCTTCATGCTGCTCAAAACGCCCTCCTAGAGAACACTTCCTGCTTCATCTAGCAACATACTACATTACTAGGCTGTTTTGCACTTCTTATTAAAAAAAAAAATTAAAAATTTTTAAAAAAGCATACAGTCTGTAAAGCGTAATGCACTATTTAATGCACTGAGTCTTACAGGCACTTTTGGGGTACATTTTCATAAACCTCAGTAACAATAAAGAAATTACGCAAACACAGCCTTTGCCCTTTCATACTCCAAAAAATAACATTTGACGAAAGCACAGTAACACACTTTTGCTGATCAAAATTTATTACTATCTCTAGCTGTTAAGCAGCATTGAATACAAAGAAAAATGAAAATAATGTTAGACTCACGTTGCTTTTCCTGTAGAAAGCCTGATGAACAAAACACAGATTCTTCACCTGTAAAAGGGAAAAAAGAAGGGAATGAAACAGGACTGATTTACATGAACATCAAGTTCCTTCCTTTTTCTAATATATTACAGTGAACAGTTTGCACATGACCACTATGCTGATTTTTAAAACATCCAATGGCTTCTTTGGAAAGAGCTTAGCAAAAGACACACTGGAGAATTACTTCCTAGTGAATACGAGTCTTGGCTGTGTAACATGGTGTATTTGCTTAACATTCCAAAAACACTTTAAATGAGATGCAAAATACAGCCAATTCTTCACAGCCCATTATTTCACACAGCAAGTACACACATACAATCCATAGGCAAAATAATGTAAGCAAAGTCAGCTAGAAATTCTAGATTTCCAAAGAAATTAACACATCTCAAAACCACCTGATACTATATTTTAATTCTGAACTGTGACATTGTTAAATTTTCAGATGCCACAGTTAGACATCTCATGAAGTCTGCCCCCCAAATGCTTGACACAAAGTTCTTTCAAGTACATAACTAAAATTTGATGTCATCTATTCTCACAAATATTCACAAAATGTTGTTCATAAGAAGGTAGATCCAGAGAAGTATGTTCTTTTAGCTTTCGGGTATCAGTTCCTGAAGTTCGGTTCTGGTCTCATTTCCTCCTTCTCCTCACAAGTACCAGTAACCTGTTTAGTATTCATCCCACAAATTTACAAGCAAATTTACAAGCATCTTTTTAAGTCTAGACCATTTAAGGAAAATAAACTAACAAACAAACCTTTCCACCTTAACTAAGTGGAAAATGTTAATTCACAGCCAAGATAATACAGTAGTATTATTAGACTACTACAATTCTGTTCAGTGTCTTGCAGAAACTGTGGCAAATTACACAGACTGGCAACTGCCTCCCTCATCAGTCAGAAATGTGCTGTTTCACACACAAATTACAGTTGTTTTTTGTCTTACATTAGATGGAAAAACGGTAAGATCCAAAAGATATATGAGAGGCCATAAAATCATCACTCTGCAAGGCTTCTTTTTAAATGCAGAGTGTCATGGAGTTACCTCTAGATCTATCTGCCTCCGCGACAGGGGGACAGCAGGCCCACAGGCCCAAAAAGGGAAAAAGGGGAGGGGAAGGGAACAAAGAGAGAAAGAACATAAAAAAAAAAAAAACAACCAAACAACAGTGGCAATGATCTGAGGAAAGTTAGTTTACTAGTCATAATAGCAGAAATACAAGTTAATTGGGATTGAAGCTATTAAACAAAATAAATGAGAGAGTGTCCAAAACTGAAGGCCTTACTCTAATGCTGAAGGCAGGTGGCTGGGGAGAACACGGCACATAGATGACCAATAAAAAGAAAGGGGCAGCCTCGTGACATGGGAACAGTTTATCTTTCCCTCTAAATGGAAAACGGAAACAGAACAGTGAAAGTCTTCTGGGAGATGGAGTTCTGAGACTAGGTACCCAAAAACATCGGCAGTCCACAGAACTGGAACATTAGCTCTTAACATTAACTCCCAGTGCATTAAATGATGTTATGATGTGGAAAACTGATAACAAAAATCATAAAACTATGACATAGAGTTACACAGAACAGCTGTAGTGGTATGGAGCCACAGTGCACACTACAGTCTTTGGAGAACAATTCATAGTAAGTTTTAAGGAGAGAAGTACAGCATTTGTTATTAAAAAACAAACAAACAACAAAAAAGAAACAGTAGGAATTGCATGGCTCAATTCTAGGTGGTGCAGAAAGGACAGGAGTACAGACGTAACATAACTTGTCCAACAGTAGCACTTCCCAGCTCCAAAGCACTACCTCACAACTACACTGGGTGGGAGAATTAATGTTTAGTCTAAGTCAACAATTCAAATAAGTCCTAAAAAGAGAGCAGTATTACTATCAGCATTTTTTTTTGCAGATAATCAGTGCATTAAAAGATGGAAAGATCTCAAAACCTGGTCTTGGGTGGTGATACCAGGACAGAGCTTTAATATATCAGGTATTAAAATTCCCAGTTGTGTAAGCTGACTGTGTCCATCTACTTTGCTGGTTACCAGTAAGACAATCCCATCAGTCTGTACATGCAACACATGAAGCATGGGAAAAAAGAATTTCACAGGAATTCTATGGCTAATTACGTTTTAATCAACTAAAATCATGTTTTAATCAACTAAAAATTTATTTTCTAAGTTGTCTACCTGAGAATTCATCATAATCTATGACATTTTAATTGAATTATCTGGATTTACAGTGCATAACAGTAACATATGACAGAATTGACTAAAGGCTCTTAAAATGTAAGTAGGGCTTATTAAATCAAGTTACCCCATCAAAGCTGTATTGCAGAAATAATTCCTTTGCTTGCTTATGTTATATTCTACAAAAACTATCACTAATGGCAACTTCTTCTCCTCCTTCCCTCTCCCTTCCACACCTGCCCCTGCATAAGATTTCCATATTGCAGAAAACAAAAAAAAAAAAAAGAAAAAGGAAAAAAAAAAAAGGAAAGAAAGGCAGCATGCTCAAGTCCTTGCTAGAAATTTGGCAGAGCTGACCTTTAAAAGTTGAGAAGTTAAACAATTAACATAGCTCTTGCTTATTCTGGCCTAAGCATAATTCTGTCTTTCAGAAAACACTAGTCCAATAAGTTTTAGTTTTAATTAGTCAGACTGCTGAGTATTAATATAAATTAAAAATTAACAACTATCATAATAAAAGTAAAAAAACCCCAATAAATTAGAAAATACATAGTAAAACATTAGAAAATAAAATTAATGATTAATTGCAGCTGCAGCATCACTACAGTTTCTTTTTCTTAGAGAAGCAGCAGCCTAGTAAACTAAAAAAGTGGTATGTAAGGGTTTACCACAATTTAGCAAGAACAGTGCTCTCATCAAAGCTAAGAGGAATATGATCACTTCCGTCAACAAAGCCAGATCACATAAAGAAAGAAGAGAAGCAGACAGGTCATTTCTGAAGAAAAGCAAAAGGTTGTCATTAGAACAAACATCATTTAAATACTCTGACAAGCACAACTGGTTGCATAATCTTTTGTCTTGCCCTCTATCATAATTGCAAAAGTAACGATAGGAAAGCTAAGATTTAAAATGCTGGCAGCAGGACAGAGTCACATTACCTAGTATGATGCATGGAAGTATAATTACAGTTAACGAGATTAAACTAACAAGAAGGGAAGCATAGAGTATTAGAAAATACCTGCCAATAACCAGACCTGGCCAACAGGAAGGAAAACAATGTAAAAGGAATGACAGCAAATCTCTGTCACTAGCAGTTCTTCCATTCCTGCAGCAAATTCAGTGCTTGGTCCTCTCTTTCTCAACAGGTAGCTTACCACATCCCTGTCAACTGACACTTCTCCTGTGAGCTGGCAATTTTTACAAACACTGTTTGTGAGAAAAACCGAGAGCAAAAAGTAAGCTTCCATTTAGTGAGAATTAGCTTTCATCTGCCTCAAAGCAGGCAACAGACTTGGCCAGTAAGATTTTTGTGAGTCGGGAGAGCAACATCTATGCTCACAGCAACAAAAATAGCCTTTGTAAGATTTCTTACAAAGTTCTTACTGGTGTGAACTTGTGTAAAGCGTTTCACAAACACAGTCTCCCTGTCAAAGAGTTTCCAGTCTAGAAAGGCCAAGTAGACCAACAGATAGGCAACCAGGGGAGAGAGAACAACCCCACTATTCACAATTCATGTGACTTTATTTTTTTTTTTTGTAATTTAAATCATGCTCAGGTTTAGTCTCAAACGTGTAAGCTCTGACCTCACAGTTAATACCAACCACATCAATGGAATTTTCCCCTACAATTTCACCTGCTGAAATGCCAATACAAGCATAAATTGACCTATGAACTACTAACTTGGATTGAATGGCACACCTTTTCTGTAACAAATACTTGCCTGGTTTGCTAATTAAAATGTTTCATGATCTCAATTCTGACTATAAAGAAACTCCAGTAATGAAACATACTACACGCTGAATTCAAAGTATACAAAAAGTCTGCTGTATTTGCTGAGAATTCACCTCACTTTAACTGTACTGTGTCAACAGTACAAGGCTGTGCTGTCGTTCAGTGAGAACTGGACAAGTTGAGAGTGGGGCAGAGAGGAACCTGATAAAGTTCAACAAGGGCAAACGTCTTCCCCTTTCACCTGGGGAGGAATAACCATATGCATCAGTACAGGTTAGGGGCTGAGCTGCTGGAAAGGAGCGCTGTAGCGGACTGAGGTGTCCTGGTGGCCAACAGGCTGACCATGAGCCAGCAGTGAGCCCTTGTGGCCAAGAAGGCCAATGGCACCCTCAGATGAGTTGCACAGAGCATGGCCAGCAGGGTAAGGGTGGTTTCTCCTCCCCTCTGTCCTGTGAAGGCCACATTTGGAGTGCTGTGCTCCCAGCTGAAGGCAGACAGGGAACTGGCGAGTGGAAGGTCACAAAGATGATCTAAGACTTGGAGCATCTCCCTTACGACAAAAGTCCTATGGCTGTTCAGCCTGGAGAAGAGAAGGCTGTGAGGGGACCAATGCTTGCTGAAATCTAAAGGGCAAGAATAAGATATAGGGCCAGGCTCTTTTCAGTGGCGCCCAAACAGAAAAAGGAGGAATGGTCACAAGCTAGAACATAGGAAGTTCCATCTGAACTTGAGGAAAAAAATGCTTTACTTTGAGTGTGACAGAGTCCTGGAACAAATTGCCAAGGTTGGTGATGAAGTCTCCTTATCTGGAAATATCCAAACCCACTCGGATGCTTTCCTGCATAACCTGCTCTATTGAACTTGCAAGGAGTTGGACTGGAGCACCTCAAGAGGTCTGTTCTAATTTCCACAATTCTAGGAACAATTACTTTAACCTCACAAATGTTAACAATGTTTACTTAAAGATACGGGGTCAGGTGGCTAGACTAAATGCAAAGCACTGAAAACAACAGTCTGACTTTGCTCCTAGTTCTCAGAGCACACAATTTTCTATAAAGCAATATACAGATACTTTATATCAGTAGTGAATTTAACTGCATAACTATGATGTGTGAAAATGCTGTTTATCTTACCTTCTGTAACAGAAACTTATTAGATTTAAATGCTGCTCTCAGTAAATAAAAAAAAAAAAAAAGAAAAGAAAAGAATTCATTGGATAAGCAGATCATACTTCTTACACTTTTCCACTGAAAAAGTGAAGTACCACATCAAAGACAACACAGGACCTCCCTCTCTTTTCTACACAGTACTTTAAAGAAAAAAAACAGCTTTACCTGGACACATAATTTTTGACTATAAACACTTGAGCTAAGGCTGAAATACTTCCTACTCTATCTGAAGATTACTGATCACAGATATCTCTGAAACTGCTGAATCAGTAATTCCACTCAGCCTTATTAAGCTATAACAAAAGCACTGTCTAATTATCTGTATTAAAAACACTGTGGTAAGTATTTGGCAGATAATTCCATGAAGACAGACACAGCAGATGTAAAGGAAATCAGTAAATAACAAATCAGTGGGGCTGAATTTGAAAGCTTAACATGGCAAGGAAAAGAAGGAAATGCATGTAACTGCTTCATCTGCTACAAAATCTCACATATTTAGCAGGCATGCAAGATGGTTCATGGTGAGCCATTTAGAAAACTAAGCCATATTTGATACAATACCATATTAATTTTTCTTACTACTCTTTTTTGTCTTGCAGATAAAATGGTATAATACACCAAATCTAGCAACTCTTCCAAACTGCCATTTGGAGTCAGAGACACAATGAAGTAAGTTACCAAGTAACATCAGAGAAAACTTGGTATCATTGTTAAGAATAAATGTAAAAAAGAAGTCTTCCCGAATTACCTATTTAACAATTGTAAACATATTGTCTGGATTGGCATCTACTTGTCATTTTATTGCTAGCAATAAAACATTCCAATGGTAGATAATCAAAAAGTTTCTGAATCAGATAAATATTACTTTTAATCAATCCTTATACTGAAATACACTGGCTCATATTTACTTTCAGGATTGATTACATGTAACAAATCAGTACAGAAAAGCCTCCAAAAAAGGATCTTCAGATGCACAAATCCACCACATTCTTAAAAAATTTAGATTAATAACAAGCACTATTCTACACAAATTCCCTTATCACAGATGGGCAAGTAAGATAGGTCCACCATTCTCCAACCCAAATCATTCTATAGTTCTATGATTCTCTGTAAATTCAGTGAGGTAATTTTCATTTTTAAATGACAAGATAATTTAGGAGACAAAGAAACAATTAAAAAGAGTTGCTTAGGCTTCTGTCTTAAGGCCTAGATTCCTACTGGTGTATCAGCATTCACTTCTCACTCATAGCAGTGGTCCACTATTACCTAAATGTTAAGCTAAAGCTGTCTGAAAATATTCTTAGTGCGTCTCCTTGAAATTTTGAGATAATGATTTGTTGACGTTGAAAGAAGACTTCAGAGTGTTTAAGTAACAAAGACTTACTCTATGTAGAAAATAAACTAATAATAATGACCAAAAAATCCTTAATATAGATTGATCACAGGAAATACAGAAAATGCAGGCTGCAGTCTTGTAAACCATCTTGTAGTTTTTGAGCTTTCAATCTAAAACAGTCCCACTGTGTCAATACATTTATGATGCTACTTAGCCTATCAGCGAAGTTTCTTCCTGGAATAGATCAACTAATTCACTTCCCATCACTAAAACATTACTTACATGTTTATTTAGATCTTTAAACTATGTGATATAATGAATTTTATTTCTGTTGAGTATTTACATATCCAGCACCTAATTGCTTAACTTTAAATAGATATGTAAGGCAAGCTAAACAGTACCTTGATTTTCTTCCAGCTTCCCAATTGTTTCTATCTGCTCAACAAGGTCATTTGAGTTCCACTGGCTCATGCCGATGAGAATAGCACTTTTTCCTTCCACCACCTCTTCTGTATGAGGAAAAAGGAAAAATAAAAAAATAAATGGCAGTGATGAATATGAAAACACCACAAAGGACTAAAACTAGGAACTGTGTGAGAAATAAGCAGCCGAAGTTAGCACAGGCAAGACTCTCCAAAGAAGTTTCCTGCTTGACATATCCTGAAGTGTACCTATGCACTACACAAATTTTGTGCAGGAAAACCAGAGAGGAGAGAGTTGTTTGAGTATTTGCTCTTATCTCAAGCAGATCACTTAAAAACAAAGTTGGGGATAAATCACTCAAGTGTCTACTATCTTGACACTAGTTAGAATTCCTTCCCCTTTCCCCACTCCAGGAAAGCACTGAAGATCAAAACAACCCTAAAACTGACATCTTTGTTTTTTCCTAACAGCTTGCAGAAATTTCACAGAACCTACAGCCCTACCCAACTCAAAATTCTCCTTCCTCAGTTTCTAAAAATTGAAAATACTTACAGCACTAAACTATTAACTTGTGATTGTTTTTCATATGAAACAGCCATACAGAGTATACTCTCACATTCATTCAAGAAATGAAATGAGCTATACTATCGTCCACAACAGTCAAACTATATGAGCTTCTCAGAATATGAGTAAGAATTTTTCTCCAGATGTAAGGGAAACTTTGGTCAACATAGTAAAACTTACACATATATTGGTAGTTCAACATTCATTTCAGCCTGAAAATGGAGCTTTGTCCTATAATTATAAGCATTTTTAAGTTTCTTATATACCACAATTTTAACAAGTAATTAAAAGTAGTCCTACTCCAGACAGGCCTGAAGTGAAAGATGCAGCAGAATATGCTCCACATTGCTCTGATGCCAGATCCAGTTCCTGGCTGCTTATTCATCCACACCAGTGCTTCACCCATCTCTGATACTCAGGCCTGTTAAAAAACCATACCTCAATCTGGTGAAAACAATGTTGTTAGTCCATTCCAAAACGAGCTTACTCGCAGCAAATCTGGCAAAAGAATAGGGATACTACAACAAAACTTTGCACTGACCTCGAGCATCAAAAAACTCATCATCAGAGCTTTCCACAGAGTCTTTGCGGATGTTCTGCATGTGCCACTGATCACCAATGAATCTGCGTAGGCCAGCTGGAAATACAGAGAGACTGACATTAACCCAAGGAAATGCTTGCTTCTGTGCCAGTACAGTAGAAGTACAGTAATAAGCATTGGTGGTGATGTTTTAAGAGGATCCTTTTAGTCAGAGCACCTAATCTCAAAAGGATTCTCAAGATGGCATAAAAATTACACTTCTCACTTTCACTTAACAAAAAATTATTAAAACAAGGTTTTGATTAAAGATGAGCCCGCATCACTTTCAGTTAATGGAGTGACTTGAAAAGATAAATTCTAGCATATGCAACTCACCAGGTTGTCCAATGCCAACACTCAGACTATACAACATTTGTTTCTGAGACCTCAAGCAACATTTCCCCAGGTCATGGCAGTGGTTCCTGTTCAAATTATACTTCACTTCTGAGAGAAATGGCATCCTATTTGGCTCACATGTGAACAGACAAACTAATGAATACTCATTCATTCAAACTTATTCATAGAGTTTTTTCATCTGAGAGCTTTGTTTTGCCAGAGACCTGTGCTTACATTCATAGCCTGTAATTACAAGACAGGAGGGCAAAATCCCAACAGAACAGGTACAGTAGCAAATACATTGACAGTAGATTCCAGGGGCTACATATAACTCAGGCTAATTTTTTATTAGAAAACCAGCCCTACACAATTACATCAGTCCTTCTTTCATCTACAGCAGCACATATATTGCCTTACACTGACAATAAACACACCCCAAAACACTGCTGAAACAGGAATCAAATTGACTGTAATAACTTAGGCAGAGCCAGACTCCTCACAGCAGCACTGGGCAAGGACAGAAGACTCTGGGCATAAGTAGAAGTGAAAATTTCATACCAGCTTTAGGGAAAATTGTTTTTCACAGATAAACATTCATTGAAGCAGCTCCTCAAAATTGTGCAATCTTCATTTTTTGGAGTCTTCAAGGCCCAGTTGGATAAAGTCATGAACAACCTGGTCTGCTCCCAGACCTGTACTGTCTGGGAAGTCACAGGCACAAAGAGGCACTATGATCAACGCTGTATTCCTAGATTTTGTATTAAATGCTTAAACACAGCTCAAAATGATTGGAATCATGTATTCTGCCCACTGCATGGGAAACTTAGCCATCACCTCCATTGATGATACTCTCACCATCTCACAAGATAATAAAAAAAATCCCATCACACCTGTAGAGTCACTTTTCTATTCTTCTTACTGACCAACTTACAAACAAAATATCTTTTTCCACTGGGCTGACCACAGCCTTGCATAAATGCACAGCATATCTCAAGCAAGGAGAAAGAAAACAAGAAGAAAGGAATGGACGCAGAGAACTTAGGCGACCCTGTTACACAACAAATCACTGCAGATCCTTGCAGAGCCAGAAACTTGAAAGATAAATTAGAGAAAAAGAGCAATTTACAGATAGTACAGATGAAAGGGAAAAAAAGCTCATGTGCCGTCACGGGCTCTGTTATAAACTCAAGAAGGCAAGGTACTTGCAGCAGGATTCTATACTGTGGGTCAAGAGCACACAAATTCTGGATGTCTGTGATTGCACACAGCAAATATAGCACTTTCAAAGAGTAGCCATCTCTCTCCACAGTACTTACCAGTGAGACAAGGAGACTTGACTGTGTCTCCACTCTGTCACCTTCTTTTATTGGTCTGTTTCCCTAGAAAGCCAATTCTGTCTGGTGGTTGCCCAGACCTATCAGAATCAGATTAAAACCTGCTTTGCAGCCTCTGCAGTTGGCCATAGTACACTAGAATCAGCTTTATGATAAGGATGAAATGTATTGCAAAAATTTTGCTACCAAAAAAGACCTTGGCAGCACCAGCTTTATTATATCTCACTAGGAATGCTTCTAGATTTAGAAGCAACTTAAACAAAGACACAGCTGGCAGCACAAGTCTGCATATGCTAGCTGCAAGCAGTTCTTCATATTCACATTAATTTGCTGGCTGGACTGCAACACACTGCCCTAGTATAATAGTCTTACCAAGTCTGCTTCATTCTGTGCCAACAGCTTAACATTCGCAGCCTCTGCAGGACTCTATTATCATTCCTTGATTGTATTAGACACTGCCATTGCCTGGGGTCATTGATTTCATTTACAGCATCAAGTGCTGCATATTTTATTATTTAATTTCAGAGAAGGAAAAGATCAGATTTACTCCAAAATACAGGCTACCTCCCTGGTGATGACATTTGATGCTTTTAAGGATTTCTCTTTAAATACTAGACTTGTTGACTGATTCCCAGCAGATAGATTTCAGCATTTTTTTGAGAGCAGGGCAATTAACTTTTAATTTCAGTTGGTCTGTATTGCTGTTTCTGAGAGTAGCAGGGAAAGCTACCCAGAAAAGCAATCCCTATCATAGAAACCCACATCACTAACCTGCAGGTCACTCACACAAGTGAGCTAGAAGCACATGCACAAATTTTCAGAGGCTGCTGGAGGAAATGTACCAGACTGACAGTGAGGACACAAGCGGAATACTTTCACGCAACACAGACAGTCCACAGAAATGCACAGAGGCTTTCCTCCTAAGAGAAGCAGAAGCAAAGTTTTCTATCTAAACCGCTTTCTTTTGTATAGTACTGCTGATCACTACACTCAACTGTTTTGCAGACAGCTGAGTGTGGGTTTGCACTGAGCAGAGCCATCCTAAGCACTGAGCAGAAATGTTGAATTCTCTAGTTATGCTCCTGTATGACTCCAACTTTGGGCAAAGACCTTTAAAATAAAGAAATCTTACACTACACCACTAGAACATGTCCCTTAGTGCCACATCCATACATCTCCTAAATACCTTCAAAGATGGCAACTCCACACTTCCCTGTGTAGTCTGTTCTGACAACTAACCAACCTTTCTGTTAAGAAACTCTTCCTGATGTATACGTATAACCTAAAACTCTATTGTAAATTAATTTAGATAAATTTAGTTTCAACAGGAATTAGGATTTATTATTAACTCATGGTAAATAATGAGTTAAGATTCTGTGATTTTTATAGCACAACTTGAGGTCCTCTCCTCACACTCTGAACTGGGTCCTGATATTCCATTGAGCCCACTACAGACCAGCTACAAGGTGAGCCAGGACAAACAAACAGGAAGCTTCTCATTTTCAGCTACACTCACAGTTACAACTATCTCATTATAAAAATGGGTTGTTAAATTATAGTTTTGACGGACTTGCAATGCTAGGCCAAGTGTATGTACCAGTGCTGACCATAATCTTTTCAGATCCAATCTGAATGCTTAATTTTATGCACGTACTTCATCCCATTGACATTTGTAGAAACACTTGTACGTATGAAACTAAGCAACTGTTAATGTACTGTTGGAATTAGGACTATGAGATTATAAACACTTGGATATCAAAAATTAAATAATCGAAATCAATCTGCATGAAGTTCTGAAATTTTTTCAAAGATTTTCACTCATTGATTCCCCCCACTCATTTAAACATTTTCTTTTCTACCTTAAGTTTGACTACTTCCCCACCTTATTACAAAAGCCCTGATGTTCAAAACTCATTAATTTCTGAAGACCTAAGTATCATCCAACAACCCCACATCTCCTACTACCAGTACCAAGTGTTGTTTCAAGATTGCTTGTTAAGGAAAAATAGAAGATTAAATGTGTATCAAATGATGGGGGAAAATAAACAAAATCTAACAAAAAAACCCAACTTATTCCAGCCCAGTAACAGGAATTGGCTCTGAATTAGAATAAACCAGCATCGTGCACTGTAGGCCTCAGGTCTTTCGATGAAATACATCTAGAAGTAGAATGTTTGTATAGAGGGCACAGTAATATCTTCTGCAAAAAGTGAAGAATACTTGCCTATGGAAATAATGTCCTATAGTAAGCAGTACATTTGGTGAAAACGCAGGGCTCCTGGATCTACTGACTTGAGAAATCATTTTACAAATGCACTGGGAAGTAACCCTAGCTCTCATGTCAAATCAAAACCATGCCACCTTTTCTCATTGGCTCTCCTTTTCCCCAGCTTTGAATAAGCTTTTACAAACCAACAGCAGCTGAAAATGAAAATCGTGACTTGTGTCATCACTGCTTATTACAGCAGAACTTCACCAGCAGGGTCAGCACAAGCACTTTGTGAGTGGGCTTTCCTGCAAGACTCATTCAGTGCAGTTCACATCATCGTCACGGTCATAGACTGCATCAAGCTTTGAAGCATGCCCAGCAGTCCGCTACATTTTTCGCTTGATAATAAACATTTACCAATCAACTGTAGACACAAACAAAAGCCACAGAGTGTTGAACATTAAAGTAGCACTCATGGATACTACTATCAACCTATTCAATAGAGCTATATTCTGATAACTACTGAAAACTCAGTATACTAGTAAATTTCTGAAGACTGAACTAATTTCAAAATAATTCATCAAAAATTGACTTCATTGCATAGATTAAACCTTTCTGCTTACCAAAACTTATTTTAGAGTTGTTTTCTCTTTGCATTCAGGAAAGGTTTTTCTAGTAAAATCAAAAAGCACAAGTCATATTCTGTTTGGAAAGAAATAATGGGTACAAAGACTTTTGTTGTTGCATAATACTTCTTTCTGTTCTGTTGGTTTCAGATGCATCCTTCGTACCCTGTAAGTGATTTAAGTGAGCTACCCACACAATGTTACCTAGGAACTACAGAGCTGAGTCTTACCAGAGGCTAAAATTATCCATTGCTATTTTCTAGCTATATTTTATTTCTTCTATAGCAAACACAAAACTGAAGATAAACGAATTTTAACTGCTGGACATACTTCTTGGACTTGAAAGACTCCGACAAAAAAGGGGGCGATGCTGACATTCCCTCATATTAATCCACATTGAAAACTGATGTAGGAAGTAAGCAGCACACATGGTGGGGAGCAGGGGCTGGTCAGTACGGGAGTCTGAGAGGAGCAAGAGGCCTCAGAAGAGAGCACACAGAACCAGAGGAAGAAAGACAGTGAGTCCAGATGTGGAATCCATGGGACAGCTGGGAACCAAGAGTGGAGCAAGGGGAGCAAGGGGAAAAGGAAGACCAGCAAGGGGCAAGGGCCTCCCACCAGCTGCAAGGGATATGATCCTGTTTCGTTCCACCAGCTAGGCACAGCATTCACTTAACTCTGCAGTTCAGCCTGTAAAGCCAGCAGAAATGTTCCAAAAATTTAAAATAACAAAGAGTTTTCCACTTCTTTGGTTGCCAGAACTAGGCTTCAGAAGAGCTGGGGAAGCTTGGTAGCTGGCAAAGGAAAGAGGAAAGGCACCAAATTTCTCTTATTGTTGTCAGCAAGGCACCGGATCATCAAAGTACTCCGCATTCATGGTCTCGCAGTACTCCAATTACTGCCCTTCTGAAATCTGCATACACTTACAGTCTTGAGAATGGACGACTTCTAAGTACTGCTGGCACTTCAGAAAGAGGAGAGACAGGGGGATTAGTCAGGAAGAATTAAACAGTGGACAGAAATGGGCGCTCTAACTACAAGAATTAGGAGAAAGCTTCTGGTTTAATAGGCAGTGAGATAAAAGACAAAAAGTCAGAAGCATGTTTGCATGAGAAAAAGATATTAAACAAAGGTAATCTTGAAAGAAGAATCAAACAAGCAGGGGCCTACAGTAAGCAAAGTCAGTATATTTAACAGAGAAGCTGAAGCCCAGAGAACAGGTGTTAACATAATAACTCAGAGTAGATCTGGGCTGACAGAAGCACAGTGCTGAGATTCAATTTCTAGCAGGTAGGAAAGGTGCTGGCAAGTACAGTGAAAGAAGAACTGAGAGGTGAAGAAAAGCATTAAGGGATGAATAAAGTAATCGATGTTGTAACAGATGCAGCTTGGGACAAGAAGCAGAGAAGAAAAGCATCACGAAGACAGTAAGTCAGATGGACACAAGAAAAAGGACCTCCCTTTATTCTCACTGTGATTGAACCTGTACCAAAATAAAAATGAGACAAAGAGCCCAGTTGACTCAGCCACAGACAGAGTTAAAGACAGAAGTTTCACACAAAAAAAGCAAGTTCCGTTGCTATGAAGTAAAAGAGCTAACTGGAAGAACAATCCAGACAACTCCATGGGCAGAAATATCCAATATTATCAGCTCTTCTCAACCATCTCCTCACTCTGTGCCTTTCCAGTACTAGCATTTCAGCAACTGAAAGTCCCTTGCTACCTACTCTGTACATCCTTCAACTGACAGTTCTGCAACAGATGGCATGGATAGGTTTATATGTTTGGCTCACTGAGAATAGAAAATGAAGCAAGAAACTAAGTTATGCAGGCCTTTGAGCCCCTATTTTAAGGTACCAGTGACATTTTCAGTCTTGCACCTTATGGAATTACCAGTGAAATAGAGGAAGAGTGAGAGGTGGTTAAATGTGGTGGTTCAGGCTCCAAATCCTAAACTAAGCTTGCCTGTAAATACAGTACATCTTTCAGAGCTGTTTCTTGATGCTTCGGATGCCAGTGCTTCACAGCAGAAACTAACTTCACCCTCTCAGCAGCATCACCACCTCCTCCACACTCACTCTCCAAAACAAGGAAAATATGAATATTCTCTAACCTTTTCTTGCAACAACTGTAGGTGGACTGCCTGCATCACATCTGAAAGGCTCTACTTCCACAGCGCAGACATCTTTGCTTTCTGTGAAAGATCTGGTAATTTTGAGTCACTGCTGTTACAAAAATGAAATGAAGACGAAGAACAGATACCACACCACCCACAGGGACATGTCAGGTAGATCTGCAGCTGCCACTATATGCTCTGAAACTTACAATCCTGCATGAGCCTGAGCATTTCTTTACAAGGACTTTATTCCAGTTGCTTAAGATCTGGTGAATATGTCAAGCTGACCACTTCTGAAAGCACTTCATAAATACACGTGACATTCAAAAGTGATAAGCAACACATTTAACAGCCACTAGAATAACAGTCTTTCTCTGTATTTGTGACAAAATAATGGTGGCAGAAAGGCAAGGAAAGCACAAGCACAACAATCACATTTGTGTATTTGTGCATATTCCAGCTTATGTATAAACTCAATTTATAAAAGCAGTAAAAATTTGCTCTGCTCCTAACCAAGATATATTTAATTTATTGAGGATGAAAAACAGTGACAATATAAATAGCTGGCATCAAAAAACACATTTTACCTACAAAAGTGTGTGGAATCAATTAATCACGCACAAGAGAATAGCTACACTTGAAAATTCCCATGCGAAGTTGTGCATGAATAAGCACGCTATGTCTGCAGAATAGAATACCAAAGTACCACTGAATGCGAAAACACCATCTCCTTATCTTCCTATCAAAGCTAAAACGTTAGCAAATGAATGCTCCAAAAACCAACATGACTTTTTCCACTTTGATTAGAATCATAGAATCACAAGGTTGAAAAGACCTACAAAATCACCTAGTCCAACCATCCTTCCATCACCATCCTACCATAAGCCACTAAACTATATCTTGTAGCTCCTCATCCAGACGCCTCTCGTACACTGCCAGGAACGGTGACACCACCACCTTCCTGTGCAGCTATTCCAGTGCCTGACCATAAGGAAAAAGTTTTTCCTTATGTCTAATCCAAGCCTCTTCTGGTACAACTTGCGGCCATTTCCTCAGGTCCTGTCTGCCGACTGGGAGAAGAGGCCAAATCCGTCCTTATCGCAACCTTTCTGCAGGAAGAGTGATTAATCCTTAATTTATCAAAGAATAAAACCAACCATCTAGTTCTATATTCAATTTTTTTTTTCATTTTGTGAAGCCACTGATGCTCTCATATTCTTGAGTGCTAATTCTTAGGGTTGCTACCAATCCATGTCTATCCAGGGGCGGAGGGGAATCCTGTTTGGAAGGAAACATTCGGTTTTAGCTGTAATACTACCATATTGAT